ATGAGCGTCCCTGAAGAATACAAGACTCTGGATACTTCCTTTAAGGAATGCACTGCCAGTTTCAAACATGAATTATGCGAAATTTCTTTGTTTTATTTTTGACTTCTTCGAGATTTAATCGTTAATGACTTATTTGTTATTGTGACACGATCTTAGGATCTATTTTGTTTTATTATATAGTGGTGAAGGAGGTGTTAGTCTGTCATAACCTAGTTGTTGCAACGGACTTAAAACAGAGATTTATCATCATCATCATCACTTGCCTGAACCTTCCAGCATCTTCCAGTTACTTCTGGTTCCTTCCGGTTCCTTCCAGTTGCTTCCAGTTGCTTCCGGTCCCTTCTAGCTGTTCCCAGTTGCTTCTGGTTGCACCCAGTAGTTTCCTTAGGGTTTCAGTTTCCTTCAAGGTAACCCTTGATCCTTCTGCATAATGGAACACTATTTTCAACAGATGTAAAAAACTCTCTTTCCACAACCAGACTTTGAACACAATAAATTAAATAGAATAAAATAAAATAAAATAAAACCCTACAGAAAGGTTTGTAGTCACAACACAAAATTCTGAATTTCAACACAACGCACCAGGGGCTTCTTTTTTTTTCTTCTTTCTTTCTAAGTAACTAAGATTGAAAGATTCATTGTCATCATTATCAGCGTCAGAGGCTTCTAGACAGCTTGCATTGGGACAAAGTCACATAAATATTCATCAAGGAAGCTCTCCGAATCCATTTCTATAGTCATTGGCTGATAATGAAAGATGTGGCATGATTGAGATCCAAATCCTCTTCATCAGAGTCCAGGTCTTAACAACTTCATGGCGCAAGTTCCTTGATTTTTAGCTGTCGAATAGACAAAAATAATTGCTTAAGGGAAGGAGGCTCTGCTACAGGACAGGAAGGACATAATTTGACAAACGAGGGCAACGTTAGAGAGCAATCCCTGGTGGAAACACATGAAAGGGGTGGAGAGACTGGACGACGCTGTAGCAAGTGTAAGAGGATGAGACATAATGCATGCACTTATAAATAAGATGCAGAAATGTCCACTCTCTAGTATTTTGAATCCTCTATCATCGATCTGTGGTTGCGTCATCATTATTTTGATGATAGATGTGGCTGAAAGTGCACGGAACCTTATCAACTACATCATTTGACATGATTAAAACATATCTCAAATAAAAGAAAAAAATCAAAAAAAATCAGTAGTAACCTTCCAAGCTATCAACTTCCTTAAGAGACCTAGAGAGTAGTGGTATGGCTCAGCTGTATAGATGCTGCATTTCTCCCTTTAGATCCATGATTCGAGCCCCGCTTGGGTGCTTTTCCTGGATTTTGGTCTAATAATGAACACCTCTGATGACTTTCAGCTTGATAATTTTCAACAAAAATGGTCCTGGCTGCAGAATTTGTACTGAAACCCCCACTGCAGTAGCACTAAGTATACAGCAAAAGCAGTGAAAGAAGTTAGATATCTTGAACTTTATGGATTATACTTTGGACTTTACAGCAACACCTTCCCTTTGTGGAAATCATTGAATTGAAGCGATAGTAGCCCCCCCCCCTCCCCAGAACTTCGGGCAGGCATACTTGGATACACTATCAGGGAGATGGAAAATTGAAGTTGGATTAGAAAATGGAGATTTAAAATTGCTGGAAGAAGTTGAAGACAGTCTGTCATAACCTAGTTGTTGCAAATAGACTATAATAAAAAGATTCATCAACACCATCATTATCATCATCCCTAGTATAGTAGCACCAAGGCTACACAAAGTGGTGACAGAGATAAAATTCCCTGGATTTTTTGAGTTTTATACAATTATACTATGGACTCTACATCAGCATCTTCCCTTTCAGGAAATGGTTGAAGAAAGGCCCTTACTAGATTGCCTGGCCTCCTCTTTAGGCAGATATACTTGGATATTTCAAACGAGGAGATGAAAAATCGAAGCTGGATAAGGAAGTGAAGGCAGAAATAAATGGTGGGAAAAATTGGAAACATTTTGTTATAACCTAGTTTGGGTATAGAGAGTATGATCGAAAGATATTAGTGTCATCAGTAGAAGGCCGAAGCTTGCTTTCATAATTCTTGGGACTTCAAACTTGGCATTCCATTCATTGAGAGTGCGGCTATAGACTAGCTTATTGACAGAGTGCAAGGAGTTGCTATGACTGACACCTTATAGTGAATTTTGCGAGATTTGTTTTTGTTTTCTACCTTGAGATTTGATGATTTCTTTATATTACTGTTACGTGATCTCAGCGAAGGCCACAACTTGGGCAACAAAGCATCGACTGTCAAACGAGGCCATCCATTTCTTCACTGATGTCCCTGCTGTCTTGAAACGCCTGGAGAAGCCTCGGCGCGCCTCCAATCAATGCCAAGCCACTGTGATCTATCGAGCCATTAATCAACTGTCTGAAATCAACACTAAAGTCTCTATCTATTGGCTTCGCTCCGCTACCAAAGTGGAGGGCAGCAATCGCGCCCTGGCCTTAGCAACTCAAGCAGCCTCGTCGCCAGACCGCGTCAATCATGATTGTTCCTTGCGCTTTCTTTATAAGCTCGTCGATGACCTCGCTTTTGAAGAATGGAATGCCAGGTCCTCGATCAGAATATATAAGCGAGCGCGTTGCTTGTGCCACATTTTGTTCAACATGAGTTGAAATTTGAGCTTGTTGTCGAAGAAAATACTGAGCCAGCTCACTTGATGGACCGGCGCTATAACGTGCTTGTTGTATACTGACTACGAAGAAGAGACTCATTATCACAATCGTTGTCCGTCCTAGAGTGTCTCGTACATCTCTAGAGGCTTTAGGATGCTGCCAGAAACAGAACTTCTGACGCTCTTTGGCACAGAGAGAAATTGCGCTGAAAGCACATCAACACGAGCGGCTATGTCACCAAAAGATGTCAGCGCTTGAGCTGTTTGCGCTTTCTTTACAGCAGCATCGAAAAGCTCGCTTCTGGCGAACGGAGAGTCGATATCAGTGCGAAACTTATAGAGAATTGTTATAGCTGACTCAATTTCGACGGCTTGGACGGTAAATACACTGCCATCAAACTAGGTGATTCATACATGGCTTTAAAGAAGAGGTAGCAATACTGTGCGCCTTCAATGTCGTCTAGACTACTTGTTAAAGACCATTCAGCTGGATTTCCAACCCCAAAAGACGACTGAGACATTCAATGTTGGGAAATATCCGCCCTGGCGCGTTCCGGACATCTATAGCAGGCTTGAGAAATTACCAGAAAAGGAGATTTTGGGAATCATTGGCGAGGGGCTGGAATATCTACACTCGTTGATTTTGCAACGCTGAGGATAACGCTATTGGCTGGGCTTTCACTGACGAGTATGGAGGCTACTTCAGGCATGATCAGTTCGGCATTTTGGGCTCTCAATCTGATCTTTATTTTGCGGCGATAACCGCCTTAGCGAAGGCCACAACTTGGGCATCAAAACAAAAACTGTCAAACGAGATCATCCACTTCTTCACTGATGTCCCTGCTGTCTTCAAGCGCCTGGGAAAGCCTCGGCGCACCTCAAATCAACGCCAAGCTACTGAGATCTATCAAGTCATCAACCGACTGTCTGAAACTAACACCAAAGTCTCTATCTATTGGCTTCGCTCCGCTACTAAAGTGGAGGGCAGCATTCGCGCCCTTGCCTCAGGAACTCAAGCAGCCTCGTCGCCAGACTGCGTCAATCATCAATGCACCTTGCGCTTTCTTTATAAGCTCGTCGATGACCTCGCTCTTGAGGAATGGAATGCCAGGTTTCAAGCTGCGCCTCGATCAGAATATTATCAATATGAAGGCAAGACTCGATTCTCTATCAACAAACCCCTTGTGGATATCCCTCGCAGCGTCGCTAGCTGTATTGTGAGCTTCCGGACAGGACATGGCTTATAGTCCCTCTCCAGACTGTTGGTGTGGAGTTCCACTGCAGTCAGTTGAGCATGTGCTTCTTTCTTGTCACAAGCACAGAAGGGAACGGAAGAGCGCCTTTGAAAGTATCCCTATGGCCGAACGCACGCTCTACCGCATTATCTGGACAGACAAAGGTTTTTCTGCACTTGTCAAGTATCTCCAGAAGACCCATGTTGGCACTGGTCACTGGTATCATCAGCAAACCTCTCTCATACAGAGCCAGAGAGATTAGTTATGGATCAATTTTTTGGTAGATTCGAGAGCGGGCCGTGCAAATTTCGATATGGATGAGTAGCACTGAGGCCTCTGAAAGAAGCTGATAGCTTGGACAATTATTATTGAATTTTTTGAATTTTTATCTATTATTTGATATATGTAATAGCTGGTGAATTTTGCGAAATTTCTTTGTATTATTTTTGACTTGGAGATTTATTAGTTATTCGTTCGTTTGTTATTGTGACACGGTCTAAGGATCTATTTTGTTCTATATAGTGGCGAAGGGGAAGATAGTCTGTCATAACCTAGTTGTTGCAACGGACTTAAAACAGAGATTTATCATCATCATCATGAGGTAACAGTACTAATAATCATTAGTGAAGGGCAGAGGTGAAGTTGTATTCTATATATATAAACAAATGATATGATGATTTGCTAGAAATCACAAAAATGGTTGAATGAATTAAAAAGTATGAGAGCACAGAAAAACTCACGCCCAGCGCCTGCATTATTGTACCCAAAGAATGTTTTCCACCCTTGCATGCATGCTAATGGTCCAGATGGACAACATAAAAACACAAAAATAGAATCACGTATCAAAAACAGAAGCCAACCAAGCACATGAACAAAAAAATCGCTGAAATGACAGATTATGTATGATGATAACTTCCCTTCTCCACATCCTCTACTTTCATGTGAGCGAGTTCCGGCTCGCCGACAGCAACATCTATTTCACCGGCATCTTGGCTTGACCGCATAACCTCAGATGATGGGTTGTTTGACGACTCGCTAGCTTGCATCCCATTAGGCTTCTCAGCCATCAAGGCATTTTTCTTGCTCTCCTCCTCTAGTCTAGCTTCCTCTTCTTCGTCGGCAACCCATCTTCTGAACACTGGAACCGACAATGAAGAGAAACAGAGCTGCTCGATTTGATATAAGATAATGGGAATCTGAAGCATCTGCTTTGCCTGGTCATTGATAGAGGAGTGACTGTAGAGAGCGTTGATCAACGGAACTCCGAGGGCTGGTGTTTTTGCAGGAACAACATAACAGATCGCAATAGTGTCCCGCTTGTTAAAGCGGAAGAAGCCAACAAATGCATCAAGGTACTTGTTCTTGAAGCGTAGTTTGTGTGATCCTCGGGTAATCAGCAAAGTCACGAACAGGAAAAACCAATAAACGCCAAAATTCTGCATGAGAACAAGTGCTGTAGTCTGTGAACTCGACTCGTCAAACGCGCCGGTGTAGAAGCAAGACGAGAAAGTACTCCACATGATGAGAATCAGGAACACTTGACTGAATTTGTTGATTTTGAATTTAAGCGCAAACCACGTCACTTGTTTCTCAAAAAAGAACCGCAGGACCTGGCCGACGAAGAGAGGAACGAAGACTGTAAGACCAAGCTGTTTGAAGACCGAACGATAGAGCGTGCTGTATCCGCCGCTCGACTTGCCCGCAGGTCGGAAATCACCCCATTTGTCCGTCGAGGACATGTACATACTGATGAGCGCCGGAGAGAGTACTGGAGAAAGGAGGTTGGCTAGATTAGACGTCGTTAATATATCATTCACGTACACAGACAATGACTGTAACCAGAAATCGGGTCTATCATACCAATGGTAACTTCCACTAGTGTCGCAGCATGGTTTCCGTGGGCGTTACGCGTAAAGACGACGTTGGAACCGATTGTAGTAGGTGTGCAGCCGAGAAGGATAAAGCCGGCGATGACAGCGGTGCTGAGATGCGGGTCGTCTGACATGAGGGCGGCATATGCGAAAACGAAGAGAATGCAGCTGGTGAACATATATGACAATATTTGAGCAACGAGATGGACCCGGTAGAGCGTTGCGGATTTTAGGAAAACTTTTGAATTCATGGTGAGGCCGGAGATGAAGAAGATGAGGGCGGGGCAGACGTAAACGATTGAGTACTGAGCAGCTATCCAGCCGCCTTTGCGACCGAGGTTGGGCACGAGGTAGGCAATCAAGATGGCAATACCGAGGCAGACGAGGAACCACTGGTCGAGAACCATGTTCAGGTAGTCGCGCCAGGTCATCTTCTTCCACGCCGCCCAAAAAGACGACGCGAAGGCCTTCAGCTTTGGAAACATCGGTGTGAGAGGACAGGGAACAAAGCACGAATTCTTAGAGAGACTGAGAGTTAGTCCGGAAGTCCATGAATATTCACGAAGAAAGAAGGCTGAGAGCAAGGAGTGTAGTCGCGGGAAAGATGAGCAATTCCGAGATTATTTCCAGCCCTTTAGCACCAATTGAGGAGGCGTGGAGCTTACCGGAGATAAAGAAGCAGGCGATAGAGGGCAGGCCAGGTACTACTCCAAAACACAAGCGACCTAGTTGTTTCCCCACCGAATAGTAGAGATACTGAAGAGAACCAACGCGAGTCAGACGATAACAGACAGGCAGCAAGGAGCAGAAGACGAAGGAGCAGAACCGCGAAGGTTGACGGCGGGCGGTGGAGACGAAAAAAGATGCAATCGTCGCGGAGCTTTTGTGCGCCGCCGACCCCCCCGGCCGGATACCCGCTGATTTGCCCTAACCCTGGCCGCGTCTTCTAATTCTTTGTTATACTCGTCGATCTATTGGTGCGCTATTTGTCGCTCAGAAGTTTAGTTAGTATAGCATGTGATTGAAGTTGATCTTGTGTATATTATTCTATCTGATATATATTCCTCAATTCCGAGATCTTCCAACCGGCGCAAATAGCTCATTCGCGCGTTTATCATCAAAGCCGGCCAAAAAGGGACCCCGGCTTCGGTAATGTGATTGTGCGGCTCAGGTCCGATTGCCATTGGGTTAGGTTTCATGTAAGACCGGTTTCTTGCAGAGCATCCCATCGGACAGAGATCCAGGGCGCGTGTTCTGCTCCCCGGACTCCGTCTTACGGACTCCTGCCTTTTACAGACTCCGCGCCAGTTTCAATACACTTAGAGTGTAATAAATCTGGCGGCTCTTGCTCTCCCAGTGCTCCGTTAGAACGCTTTCTCTGGATTGAAACAGCCGCCAACAGGCATTTGTTTCGGAGAAAGATTCTGCAGCCCAAAGACTGCATCACTGGTTTAACTACGTCTTGCACATAGTGCAGTAAAGTAATAACGTCAATCAGATTGCAAACTCCTAAACAGCATAATCACAAATGTAAAAAATAAATGTATATGTGAAGATCAGGGAAAAGTCAGCAGGTCATATGTTCTTATGATCCCGGCATCTTCACACTAGCTCTTGATGTGGCAACACATCTAGAGCGTCATGTAGTGATCAAAAAGCGCAGAGATGCTCTCACCGTAGTGATTTCTGCGCATGCACTCGGCCAAGATAGGCGAAATATCAATCACTATCAGCTTATTGTGGCTGTTGCGACGAGCAGACGGAATCGGGAATGTGTTTGTGACCACGATCCAGTCAATACACCGCGATTTCTCCATCTCTTCCAGAGTATCATCGCCAAAAACACCGTGTGTCGCGATAACGTAAACGCTCTTTGCTCCACAGTTCTTCCGGCAGTGCTCCGCAGCCGCAATAAATGATCCAGGGCGATCAATCATGTCATCGACAATAATCGCAGTCCGGTCCTTAACATCACCAACCAAAGTGATCATACGTTCAGCATCCATCTGCTCGAAATTATCCTCATCATCAGATTCGACTGCATCGATTGTTCCTCCAAGGGCCAGATCCGTCTGTGATGCTATGGAATAAATCGACGACTGCATCGGGTCGAGCTCGGAGTGTGAGCCCTCCGTTGATTCCTCGATAGGTGCTTCATAGTCGTCATCAACAACATGTCCTTGGACGACTCGGGCTGATCTGATTTCAGACATTGACATATGATCCTCTTCCTGATCTTCCTCTTCTTCTAGTATAGTAGGCGAAGCACGTGAGATGGGGAAAACATTTCTCCGACGTCTATCAGTGTGGATCATTGCGAAATCAATCTTGAGCGCATCCGCAAGCGCTGTAACTCTCTTGGTTCCACCCGGGTTCTTCGAGACCACAACCGCGTCCCGCCAGTCAGGAACGTTATGCCGGATCCAGCGAGCCAAAGTAGGGCCCGCGTGCAGGTTATCGACCGGCTTGGTGAAGAAGCCCTGCATCTGCGCAGCGTGCAGATCCATCGTGATAACATGATCTGCGCCAGACATAGTAAGGAGATTCGCAATCACTGTAGTTGTGCAAATTAGTGGTTAGATAACTTTGATTTCATGCTTCATTGACTGTTAAACTCGATCGAGAAACAATAACTTACTTCTAGCAGTGATTGCACCTCTATGTTTCTTCATCTTACTCTGTTTTGAGTAAGGAAAGTAAGGGACGACAGCTGCAAGATGCGTGAACGACATATTAGCAGCCGACAGTAAAAATGGGGCCATAGGCGACCTCGCTTGAGCGGCTTGTAGGACCTACCGGTGATCTTGTTCGCAGAACCTCCCCTGCACGCCGCGATCATGATCATAAGCTCCATGATATCATCGTTTATCCTTGACAAGGGTTAGATTCAAAACGTGAGCCTCTTTCTGGTGTACAACGAGCAGTACTAACCGTGATGATCCGCTCTGAACAATATAGACATCTTCGTCCCGAACAGACTCTCCTACAGTGATTTCAGCATGTTGGAGACTTCCCACCGCATCGCAGAAACGTTCAAGACACATACCCATAGACACTGATGTTTCGCCATTTGCAAACTTCTGCAGAGTGCATTTCCCTTCCTGAACCCCAAGCCTCTCGCAAACTAGCTTGCCGAGTTCTGGATGCGAGGATCCGACAAAGATCTTAGATTTGCGCATGATGATGGATCCAAGGCCAGACCAAAGAACTCGCTCTAATATCTATCCGAAAGAACACCGCTGATAGAAAAGAGAAAGACAGCTGGGGACCAGGCAGAAGCTGTGACGATTTGCGGACGAGCTTCTGAGAAGCTTTAACTTGAGGATTTTTTTTGCACGCGCTCACAGATAAACCTTAATCTGAATATTTCTTGTCGACTGTCAACGCAACTCGCGTGATGTATAGACACTTGTGCTGGGTTTAGGGTTTGTTCTCTGCTTGCTCCTCCACCACCGGTTCTGTGTTAACGTTCGATCTGATTCGTGTTTTCTTGTAATCACCATGATCCATCAAGAGAATATAAAAATGTATGGTAGCTGTTTATACTCAACTCGCATCTCTGTCTTGACTCTCTCTCTGACCAACTAATTCTTCCAGGGCACCGCATTCTCGGACGCCGTCTCCCGGCAGATCACCCTCTCCCACCAGAACGCGTTCAGTATCCCGAGGACGGTCTCTCTCTCCCCGACCTCTCTCAGACGCCGGCTCTTCCCGTAAACGGATTTCGCGCGGATCAGCTTCCCGCTCTCCCTCCCGCTCTCCTATCCGCAGTCGCAGCCGCAGTCGCGGCCGCAGCCTATCCCGCTCGCGCTCTCGAAGCTACAGCTCAGCCTCGCGGAGTTACTCGCGCTCGCGATCTCGATCTCGGTCGTACACCCCTCGGAGTTATGATTCCCGAAGCTTGAGCCGTAGTAGGAGCAGAAGTCGATCTCCTCCGTACCGGGGAGGCAGAGCCAGATCGCCTGCTCGCTCTCTGAGCCCCAGGGGTCCTGCGCTCATGCCAAAAAGGGTAAGTGCAGTACAGCAACGAACTTTTTGGTATTCTTGTTACTAACCTCTCGAATAAACAGCTCTGTATTCAAAAATTATCCCCGAGTGTTAACGAAAGTCATTTACGTGAGATTTTCTCGGCATATGGTCGAATCACTGACCTATTGATTCCACGCGGTCCTAGAGGTTCGTAATTCAAATTAATGTGAGGTCAGATTAGCTACCATTTTTTGCTGACAATACACCCCCTCTCACCAGGACACCGCGGCATATGCTACATGTCCTTTGAGACCGAAGAAGAAGCCGACAAAGCGATTGCGCATATGGACGGTGGTATAATCGATGGCTCCGAAATCGACGTCGAACACGCGACACCTCCTCCCCGCGCAAGAGGTCCTCGGAACGGACCTGGCCCGCGTAATGGCGGCGGTCCCCCACGGGGCGGCCGACGTGGTGGTTGGGGCGGAAACGGGCGGATGGACAGCTATGTCCCCGGAAGGTCTGGCGGCCCGGCTTCGTCTGGTCGGAGGTGGTCGCGCAGCCCGCCACCGCGGCACGGAAATGGTAATAATTATAGAAGTCGGAGTCCTCGTCAGGGATTCAGATGAACGCGCGCGTGTACGTTGTGATTAGAAGGAGGCAGGGGTGGTGTATGTTATCTTAGCTGAATGGATTACTATAAAAGCGTGATTACCAGCTTATATTAAGGATTATAACAGATTATATACATTCGGTGCTTCTAGCTGTATTGTATTGATCATATATGTACAAACCGGCCATATTGTCTGGAACCTGCTAAAGAATACACGTCACTTTAGCCTCCTCATGTGGAGCACCCTCCTCGCGAGGATTCCTTATAGCCTCTTCAATCTCATGAGCCGACAATGGCCGACACAAAAACTTGAGGTCATCCAGACTACTAGCCTGAATCGCAGCCATCGCGCCGAGAACGTAAATCTGTCTCAAGCCTGGGAAATTGATGCCACTGATCTGCTTAGCGCCCGAGATCAAGAAATCAGGAAACTCCGGAGACTCATTATTCTTTTCGAGAAAGATGGACTGTGTCGCCGCCAAATCAAGGTCTTCAAACCCTCCATCCGCGAACGGGCGAGATTCTTTCATCGTTAGAGAATCGATTGCGATGACGGTTTTTCCCTTCTCCATCAGAGCAGCGATCAACTTTCTCTTCGAAACAGTGTCAGGGACGATAAGTAGTGTCTTCTTGATCTGTCCTGCGTCGAACTCGGAAATCAGGGCTTTGAGATGGCGCTCTGTAATCGTATCCGTAACCACGTCGTGGTATTTTTTGGCTGGTTTCCAGCGAGCTCCAGCAGAGAGAATCGAATTTATGTGACCTTTCTCGACAACTTTCTTGTAAGTGATCTTGATAGGAAGATTTTTCTCTGTATCCTGGCCCGAGTCGCGTTTCGAAGGCTGAGAGTTCGGGACTGAATACACTTTCAACGGCGCGCCGTCCATCCATTCTGTCTTTGCAAGCTTTTTGACTACATCTTGACCAATAGCCCTCGATGAAGACAAAGCAACGTTGATCAACGGGAGGTCGAGTGAATAAACTCGCAAAGCCTTTTGCCGAAGCTTCGTCAGGTATGTCATAAGCTGATTGATCATCCGTAAGGGCTCCATTTTCCGGAGCGTTTTCCCCGACGTCTTTCTCTTGATGTCCAATTTCGTCTGCTTGTCGACCTCGTCGATAACAACGGTTCGCACAAACGCGAGGTGCAGGAGTTCGCGCTGCTGGTCGTTCGAGAGGATTTCAAGCATCCGCCCAGGGGTAGCGATGAGTATATGGGGCACAGGATATTGGCGCAGCAAATCAACTTGCTGCTGTGCGGCATGGTCTCCGGCTCGGCAAAGCACTTGCACAACTTGGGGGATAGGAACGGGTGCGTTGCCTTGCCGCAGTGAACTGACAATGATATCCATATACTGATGCGCAAGTTCGATCGAATGAACAAGGATCAACGAGGACACGCTCGGTATTGGTGTCTTGTACCTAGGCTGCGAAAGAAGATGGAGAACAGCCGCGAAGGACTTTCCGGTGCCAGCGGGAGAAACTCCGACGAACGAGCAATTCTGCAGAAGAGCATCTAAGAGCTCTTGCTGGACCGTTGTCGGATGAGTGACTTCTGGATATTTGAGCTTTAAACTCCGTAGCACTGCTTCCCTTAGGTTGAAGTCCTGCAAATGTGAACAATTATGTGTCAGTAACGAGTCTCACTTTGCTTCAAAAGTAGTAATAGATTTCCAAACTCACCTCAAATCGCTTTCGAGGATGGTCCTTGAAATATTCATTCGTCGTCTTTGCTTCTGGTCGTTCAGGCCTGGCCTGCTTTTCCTCTGTTGTATTATTTTCATCTCGTTGTTTGTCCTCCTCTTGTGCCCCCTCTTCTGCCTCTGTAAACACAGGCGCACTCTCATCATCAACTTCACTCGCCCCTTCTGCCTCCAATAGCTCAGATGCAAGCGGTGCGCTGTCTTCCGAGACAGATCCGCTCTCAACATCTGGTGTATTTGTCGTCGACGTCGAGTACAGTTTCCGCGGATCACTCCTGCTGCGATCAACAGCTCTCACTCGTTCGACCAAACAGATCGAGCCTCTGCACTGCCTCAAGCTAATATTCGCTATGCACCGAGCAGGACGTATTGTCCCCACCGCTCTTCGCGCGGCCCGAGAAATCATTTTCCTTTGTCTATAACCTGCGTCGACCAACGTCTCTAGCAAAATCAAAAAAAATCCTGAAGGTTGGGAGTTGGGAGTCGGAGCGTGAGTCAGTGATTAGTCATCCAATTGAGTTGAGAGCGCTGGTTGATGGGCATATGACGCGATAAGGCAAAATGATACAAACCCAGGTTGGGATTGGTCACGGACCAGCGTCGTTTTCCCGACAAAGTCATAAGACCAATGATGGTTGCTGCGTTCTCTTTTTCCTGCAGGATATGAAGTGATGGAGACTTGAATTTGCGTATTATTTTCCATTATTTTGCTGAAAGAGTATACGAAGCACAGATTATCGCGAGACTTCAGGGGGTTGTTTGTTATCTACCTCGTCCGATAAAGATAGAAAAAGATGTCGTCAGCATCAGTGGTTTCCTCCGACGGACCGATAGACTCAAAAGTCGACGTTCTGCAGCTTCCCGGTATGTGAATGAAGTAGCAGATCTCTCGGTGTATATCATCATACTAACACGATGAGCGGTTACAGCGGACCTGCGGCGGCAGTTCTACAAAGACCTGCAGAGCCTGACACAGTATGTCGATAGAGACCTAAGGCAGAGAATCACATCCGTCCACGCGAACTCGAAGCATATTGCGACGCAGTCAAAAGAGATCAGAGTGCGGACCGGTGCGCTTGCAAAGGACGCTACAAAGTGGGAAGAGTTGTCGGGAAAAGCAACACAGGCGTTGAAGGTATGTTTTAGCTTCTGCCCTACCGCTTGAGTGTTGAAGTGTTTTGAAGCAAGATTGCTAATATGTTGGTGGTTTGTAGGAAGCTGGAGACGTACAGAACTGGGCTGAGATCCTGGAGGTCGAAATCAGCGCGCTCGAAGAGACGATGAGAATAGTGCGAGGAGAAGTCGACGACGAAGATGAAGAGGACGCAGCATTATCGTCGAAATCATAGCGCAGTTATATCATGGCAGCTGATTGCAGCTGGATATGAATGCATCATAGTCGAGTAGCTTGGTAGTTGGATTATCTGGTTGTTTACATTTGGGAACGGAGTTTGGGGTGCTTGGAGACATTGCGACTGGCTTTTTTGTATACATACGGTCAAGTTATAATCGTTATTTGGAATCTAGGATGGTGTGTTTGACAACATTGACAGACTGTTTGAGTACAGCAGTGGAAGGCGGGCGGGAGACGGGAAGGATAGATGGGGATGCTGTACATGGAATGGATTGTATGTGCCTTGTCAGCGGGGTATATTATGAGCTCGTTATACTCCAAAGCTGCACAGACATTGGTCTATAGAAGCTATTGATATCTTACGACGCATAATAAATGATCATGTTTCTACACCGTCTTTTATAATTACACAGAGGAAGTAGATTAGTGGTAGAGCTAAACCCTAAACATAAAAACCACTGACCGACGCCTCCAACGTCATAAAGCAAAATTATCAAATCCATCCAACCACTCCGTGCATTTATCTCAGAACCATGGCCTCCGCAACATCTTTGGTGAACGACCGAAAGTCGCTATTCATCGCATTCGCCGCGCTGGCAGCTACATCAGCGGCCTCGGTTCTCTGCACGCTCACGGTCCAGTCCTGGGACCGCCAACGAAAGCTGCGCGAGCTGAAGGAATCAGCGGCGTACTTTGACGAGGTTAATTCGTCGACTCCGCAGCTTTTGTCGCACGTGAACTCGTCTTCGGACGAGGCGTCGAAGAAAAAGACGAAGAAAATCAAGTTGAATGAATTTGGCGTGCCGGTGTCGCATCAGGGTTCGTTAAATTCCATCTCGGAGCACGATGAAGACGGACAAGAGAAGGAGTATGATCCGGTGCTGATCGACGAGCAACTTGCGCGAAACCGGGTCTTTTTCGGCGACGAAGGGCTGAGCAAGATCCGCGACGCGTTTGTGATTGTGGTTGGCTGTGGCGGGGTGGGAAGTTGGGCGGTGACGATGCTGGTGCGGTCTGGGGTTGGTAAGGTGCGGATCATTGATTTCGACCAGGTCACGCTTTCTTCGCTGAACCGGCATGCGAGCGCGACGCTCGAAGACGTGGGGACTCCGAAAGTGGAGAGTTTGAAGCGGTATCTGGCAAAGATCGCGCCGTGGGTGAAGGTCGAGGCGAAAGTTGATCTATGGACGAAGGAGAGCGCGGGCGAACTGCTAGAAGGAAAGCCGACTATCGTGGTGGACGCGATCGACAACATCGACACGAAAGTGGATCTGCTGGAGTACTGCTACCGCAATCAGATCCCCGTGATTTCAGCGATGGGAGCAGGCTGCAAAGCCGACCCGACGCGAGTCCAGATCGACGATATCTCAGGCTCGGCCGAGGACCCGCTCGCGCGATCTACGCGGCGGAGACTACGGATGAAGGGAATCGTGACCGGGATCACGGTCGTGTACTCTTCCGAAAAGCCAGCGCCGGAGAAAGCTTCGCTGCTGCCGCTCGACGAGGCGACGTTCAAGCAAGGCAAGGTCGAAGAGCTCGGCGTGCTGCAAGATTTCCGCGCGCGGATCCTGCCGGTTCTGGGGACGATGCCGGCGATTTTCGGGTTGACGGTGGCCACGCATATCTTGACGCACATAGGCGGCTACCCGGTCGGCGAGTACATTGCGACCAAGAACCGGATCAAGACGTACGACACGGTGCTGCACCAGTTATCAGGGCAGCGGATGCGGACGGAAGGCGTGCAGGTTCTGCCGTTTGATATCGAGGATGTGGGGTATATGATTGAAGAAGTGTTTCGGGGCCGGTCAGTGATTTCGCGCGAGAGCGGCGCGGGGAGGATCGCGTTGTCGAAATGGAGGGCGGAGGAGGGATGGACGATGCAGAATGTGGTGTTGATGACGAGGGAGGAGATGAAGAAGCATGAGCAGCGGGTGCTCAAGGGTGGGGAGAAGGTCGAGGAGGTGTATCCGCAGTCGGTTTTGGATTTGGTGGAGCGACGATTCGAGGAGGAGAGGACGTATTCAAAATATAGAGAGTAGTTGTTAAGAGCTACGTCGACGGTGTATTCTAGTGTATATATTTTCTAGTGGAAAACTTTTTTGAATGTATTACATCAAGTAAATTGTAACTCCTAAGGTATAAAATAAGTCACCGCCGATTGACGGCAGTGAAGCCGCCTCCGAAAGAGACGTCCTCCATTTCCTCATCTTCAATATCCTCATCCTGAGCTCCGCCATCTTCTGTTTGAGACACGATCGGGGTATCTTCCTCGTCGTCGTCTCCGTTCGCGTCGTCAGGGATGGGTGATCGAGAAGAAGGACCAGCGCCTCCACCACCACCGCTACTGCCACCACCGCCGGATCCAGCGCCAGCACCAGAGCCAGAGGTGATGTTCGATACGGGGGTGACGGGAACCGGAGGTAAGCTTCCGGGCGCGACGTAGGCCTCCATTTCGCGATTGTAGCGGGCCTTTTCGGCGTCGTAGAGTTCGTAGTACGGTTTGCGGCCATCGTCGCCTAGATCACGCCAGGCTTCGGCCATGGCTTTTGTGAGGTCGAAGTTTTCGCCGCCGTGGGCGATGCCGTCGGCTCGGACTCGCTCTTTTTCATGGTCGCAGAAGATGATGTAGGCGTTTTGCGGGCGCTTGGGGGCGTTGGGATCCCTCGGGGGCTGCTTTCGCTTGGATGTAGGGACGGAGTTGGGGGCGGCGGAGGCGGAGTGGGGGGCGGGGGAATTGGCTGATTTTGCGGTGGCGGAGTGGGCGGAGATGGAGGTGAATCCGGAGACGTGGTCTTTGGATGAGGGGGAGAGTGAGCCGTCGGAGTCTCGGCGACGGTGCTTGTGAGTGCGGGGGGCTATAGAGTAAGAATCAGAAGGGGTGAGATGGAGAGGATTGATGGAAGAAGACATACAGAAGGAGGAGGGGATGGAGAGCCCTCAGAGTCGTCGACTTTGAGGATGGTTCGCTCCTCGAGTTTTTCGAGCAGGAGGGCGCGTTCTAGGCGCATACGCTGGACGGCGCGCTTTGAGCGGGCGATGCGAAGGGAGAGGATGTCGTTTTGATCCTCAATCTGGGATATGCGTCGCTTGAGATCTTTGCATTTCTGTTTGTATTTAATCTCTGAGGGGGGAGGAGGGGTTAGAGGAGTGTGATGAGGAGGATAGTAGGGAGGGGATCGACGTACCTTCGGAGAGCGGGATGGAGGGGGCAGCGAGGGTTGATTTCGGGGGCTGCAGGGGGTTAGTATGGCAAGAGAAGAGAGAGAAGAGAGAGAAGAGGAGGATGAGGATGAGGAGTACCTTTGACATTGTGGATGGGAATGTGATTGAGGACAGAGGGTGATGAAGGGAGGAGGAGGGCGGAAGGAGTTGCGGTTGAGGAAGTTGTCCTGAGGGCGTCGAGCGCTGAGTTTTGAGCTGAGCTGAGCTGCGATGGTGACGCAGCAGCGGGTTTGTTTACACTACAATTGATGTTGAACTGTTCATTCAATGATTAATCAGTGTCTACAAGAACGAAATATATCGAGAACAGTCTTTATTATAATAACTAACACCAGCTACACAGCACCTCTTCACTTCATACTGAGTCCTAAAAGGACGAAATCAAAAATTATAAAGCCCAGACTACCCGAAGATAGTTGGCAGTCGCAGAAAATCCGCGCTGTGCAATGCAGACTCCGCCACCGGCCATCGAGAATTCTTGAGCTCCGATGACGCTTTCAGGTAAGTATGAAGAAAAGAAGAAGAGAAGCGGCAAGAGGAGGGAGAGGAGACTCCTTCTTATACTCCGCCAAACCCTACACCCCTGGCTGTTAGGGCGCAACCCTACACTTTACTATTCTGGGGCCATCTGCACCCGCTGCATTCCTCAGATAAGCTAAGCCGCAGGCACACTTTGTTTCTCTACTTGTGCCCCAACTCCCTCACTCTCTGTTCACACTTCCGTTATCGCCTGGCCGAACACGAGCAACACGAGGCCGCCGTAAGCAACGAGCTGCTGGTCAAAGCCAAAGCCAAAGCCATCACCGCCCTCCACCTTCGCCATCTTATCCTCCTCCTCCTCTTCCCTCCTTCCTATCCTCTTCTCTTCCTCTCCTCACCTCTCCTCACCTCCCCCTCCTCTCCTCACATCCTCCCAATGTTCGACAAGCGAACTGCCCGCTACGCCTCCCTCGTAGCCGACTTCTGGGTTTGTACGTTATCATCCCTTATCATCCCCTCCACCCCCATCCCGTTATCGCAAACTAACCACAACAACCCCGACAGCCCTCGGCTCCGGAACCCACTATGTCTACTCCGCCTACGGACCTCAGCTCGCTGAGCGTCTCGGTTTCTCGGCCACCCAGTCCTCAGTCATCGCGACCCTCGGCAGTGTCGGGGTCTACCTGTGCGTCCAAACCTCTCTCCTTCCTCTCCTCCCGTAAACCTCCCTACTGACTCTGACTCCTCTCAGGGTCGCCCCCGCCGCCGGTGTCGTTATCGACCGGAAGCCTCCCCATATCCCCATCACCATCGGTGGCTGCATGATCCTCTTCGGTTACATGATGATGCGTTTCGCCTACACCTCCGAGCTGCGGTCTGTCGCCTTCGTCGGAATCTTCATGATCGTCGCCTCCGCCGGAAACACCTTTGCCTACCACGCCTGCGTCAAGTGCGCCGCCGTCAACTTCCCCCATAAACGCGGTACCGCAACATCCATCCCCGTCGCGGGATACGGTCTCTCCGCCCTCTTCTTCTCCCAGATCGGAAATGCCGCATTCCCCGGTGACACCGGTCGCTTCATGCTCATGCTGCCCCTTCTTTCCTCCGGCCTCGTCTTCCTCGGTCTCCCCTTTGTCCGCAACATCACCCTCGACAAGATCGCCGACTCTGAAGTCGCCGTCATCCCCGATGACATCCAGTCCGTCGAGACCGATGCCCTCATCCGCCAGACCACCAACTCCGCCTCCTCAGTCAACGAGAAGAAGTCCTACGCCGCCATCTCCGAGTTTGAGCACGAGAGCGCCCAGTCTGAGGTTACCGACGAGGAGGCCTCTATGGCCGACGAAATCGTCTACGCCCCCGACGACCCTGATGAGATCGACATCCACGGATGGGCCCTTCTCCGTGACTTCCGGTTCTGGACTCACTTCACCATCTTCGGTCTCATGTCCGGCTGCGGTCTTATGTACATTCTCTCCGACGGATACGTCCTCCGTGCTCTGTTCACCTACCGCAACCCCTACATCTCCCCCCAGGATCTCCTCACCAACCAGGCTATCCAGGTCTCGCTCGTCTCCTCCTTCTCGTTCATCGGTCGTATCATCGCCGGATACTGCGCCGATCGTCTCGTTCGCCACGGATACCAGCGCATGTGGGTCATCTTCGTCGGTACCCTTTGCTTCGTCCTTGCTCAGATCGGTGGTCTTACCATCACCTCTTCCCGTTTCATGTGGTTCACTTCGATCTTCAACGGTATGGGATACGGTGCTCTCTTTGGCTCCTACGCCTCCATCATGTCCGAGGTCTTTGGCATCAAGCGTTTCTCCGAGAACTACGGTTTCCTCACCATCTCCACCGTCATCGGCTCTGATGTCTTTGCCTTTGCTTTCGGTGCTATCTACGATGGCAACAGCTACTTCATCCCTGAGGATGCGTACATGAACTACCCCGAGTACAAGGGCGACTTCAACTCCTCCTCGCCTTACTACAACATGACCACAACCTACCAGTACTTTGACGAGTTCACCAACACCACCATGCGGAGATTCGGTTCCCAGGTCGGCCAGGTCTGCGACAAGGGCGTCGACTGCTACCGCACCGCCTTCATCATCACCCTTCCTTGCTCCATCGTCGCCACCGTCTTGTCCATCCTCCTCATCCGTTACGAGAACCGCAAGAACACCAGACTCGCCATGGAGCAGGAGGCCATGCTCGCGGCCGGTAACGCAAAGTCGCTTGCCGAGTCCTCGGACGCTGATGCTACCCTCGTCGCCGGGCAGTAATTTCGCCACCCTGCACTTCTCTATCTCTCCTACCCTTTTCTCTCCTCTATACAATCCACAGAACTTCCTCCTTTGCAAGGAGAAAGGAAAATATCGTCATTACACCGCTAATGACCTCTAGAAATCTATTGCATATGATCTCTTTTTTCTCTTTTATTGATTTCTCTACGGATTAAATGATTGGCTGTGGTTCTTCATTCTTCATCGGTGTTTCTTCCTCTTTTCTTCTTCTTTGTCATGATTGCTTCATTCTCATGCACTTCTATGTTCAAATCTGCTATAATATCAATGATGAAATTGTGCATTCTTATCATTATTGTTGAGGTTCTCGGAGGGGTTATTTTCATTTTTTTCACTATTTTTTTATCTATTCATTCATGTTAGGAAAGGAGTTGAGTTTGTATTTCTGGTTGTACCTCGGTTTTTTCCTTCTTGTCTTTTTCTAATTGGTGTCTCTTCTCAAATGTGGACCAGACACCGTCAACAATTGTCAGCTTCATCGACTGTGATGAGGACGACAGAAATTACCAAAGACACAAGATAATCTTTTTTTTTCATTTCAAGACGGTTGGGGCTTTCTTCTATGTCATTTTTCAAAACTGTTTTCTATATGCATGCGTCTGTCTGTTCCAAATAAACACAGGAAACCCTGTCTACTGGTGATGATAATGCTTTTTTTCGGCGGGTGTGGGGTCTATATATTGTCAGAAGGATAAGATATTCTCTTCTCCTGTCTGGGTTTTGTATCTACAAGTATGCTGTTTGAAAGTAATTTGCTGGCTCGGATCGTGTTGTATCTATCTAATCAACCTCATCAATTTCTATTCCGATCAAAAAAAAAACTATAAATATGCTGCTTCTAACAGTGTTCTTGTCTTGTCTGACTGAGCTCGACAGTACCGAGTCAATGAATAATATTGAAAACTGATATGCTTAATGTATGGGAGAAAGTATAGGATCTCTTAATGGAAGTAAAACCTCACGGCATGCTTCGCGACATTAAAGCCAAACAGACTCGCGAGGAAGAGCACGACGAACGCCAATATCGGCACAAGTATGATCTCTGTATGTTCCAAAAACGGTAGTGCTGCAGAGAGTTAGTACGCAGAGATCTCAGAGGGGGGAAGAAGTTGAAGACGTACAGCTGTAGCCAAGGTATGTGATGACGACGTAGTATGAGAAGGCGCCTAGGTAAAGGAGGTTTCCGATGAAAAGGGATATCCTGGTATAGTGTTAGATCGCCGCGATAAATCAGTGGAGAGCACGCGAGCTTACCAATTATCCTTCACTATTATTGGCAGCATGATAAACTGCAGCACGTATAGGCAAAACCATATTATCAGGAACGAATTGCAATGCACATCAAAGCAGTAACTAAACTCAAGTCAGTCAATTACTTCCACTACCGAGAGAAAATCGTCAAGTTATACGTACGCCCACTCCAGCTTCGTATCGCTCTGCGTCATCGACATCATTCCCCGTCCACTACTCCGCTGCCTTAGAAATTTATTCACCAAGACCCATCCGAGCGTCGAAATGATCGCGCCGACCGCCAGGAAATCGATAAGCACGATATTGAACATCAGCTTGATGATCGGGAGGAATCCCGGCGAGTACGCGATTCCCCAGGCTATGGCTGACAGCATCAGAAAGCCGGAGAGGAGGAGGACGAACGAGGGATCATCGCGTGCCCATGTGTTTTTTGTCTCTATGGTGAGTCAATATTTTTGTTAGTCTTTTGAGATAGTCTCTCTGGTGGTCTTGTGTAGATGAACGTACGTTTCTAAATGGTGATATTCATTAGATTAGGTGGGCAAACCGACGAATCCAAACCACAAACACTTACTCTAAAATACATCTGTCGATACACCTTTTTCGGCGCAATAAACAGGTAGCATATCTCCCATATCGCAGTCTCGAAATCCAACGTCGGCGGTTTCAGCAGCCTATTCAATCCGATAGTAAGCAAAGTGACGACACCCCAACGATACCCCAATCGCATCTACTCACCTCCGCAGCACGACCGGTAACCGCGACGATCCGATATGTGGCGTTGTATTTGACCGATTCAGGCGCGGGTACCGCCGCGAGGAGGTTATTGATGATGTAGGAGACGGCGGAGAACCTGCGAAACGACCGATACCAGGTCCGCCGGGGCTGTCCTCGTTCACGGGCAGAATCGAGAGGCCGGAGGGGCCGTCGCCGTCGCCGATTGAAGGTGTGAGAGCTCTTCTGATTGAGTGGAGCGCCATTCAGAAATCGACAGTGTATTTATGATAATAGATGAGGATAATGAAAAGGGTGTTTGAGGGATATGGAGAGTGTGGAGAAGATGTTTGGATTCCAGGATTCAGACGGGTCGTGGCGAGCAACAAAGCCAGCCAGCCCTGCGGCTTCATTTGGAGCTTCAAACCTTGATAAATAATTTATTCCTTTAAATGTCCAGATATTGCTAAATACCTGATATTCTCTTTTAATAGTCTATTAGTTGATTCTACTGGACGTTCAGGTTAGCTGCGGAATTTTTATTGCATGGCAATTGCTATCTGAATTATAGCGAGCAGAACAGGAGATGTCGGGCTCTACGAATGATCTGCTTCAACTTGCGCAGTGGGTTGTCTCGAAAGGTGGTTTCTGTTCAGAAAATCTATCGTTTTCAATAGGTAAATATCTCTTACAGCTGTTACTACTTCTATCAAGGACTACTTCTAAGCAAAGACCATAGACGACAAATCTGGATCAACCGCGCACGCTTCTTCCCTCATAAACGCCAGCGAAAGCAATCCTCTCCCTATACTTTCCTGCCCCCTCAGTCTAGTCATTGATTTCGAAAAGGCTGCTACATATATCTGGGGAACTAGCTCAGCCTGTCCGATAAAGTCTGATCCGGTCATTGCAGTCCGCATCTATTTATGTCTCCAGCGTCTCGAGGGGGAAAATGCAGAGTATTTTCCATACATCAAGACTCTGCCGTCTTTGTTCGGCACTCCGATCTTCTTCACGGCAAATGAACTTGATCTCCTGCGCGGAACAAATCTATACGGCGACGTCGAACAAAGAAGAGCAAAATGGATCACCGAGCACTCAGAGATCCTTCCCCACATCCCCGACACCTTCGACAAGTCCAGACTGACGTCCGAGCTGTATCTATGGGCATGCACCGTGCTCACCTCGCGCTCGTTCCCGTCAAAGATCGTGTTCAATACAGCTGCAGAGGAAGAAGATTCCTCGTACCCGGTGCTGATTCCTTTGGTTGACTCGCTGAATCATTACCCACGAACTCCGGTCGTGTGGAACGTTGATCCTTCTTCGTTTGCGCTGGCGGCTGCGACTACGATCGAGGAAGGGCGGGAGATTTTTAATAATTACGGACCTAAAGGCAACGAAGAACGTATGTATTTTTTGAACTTGAATAATACTCTGGGATTGTATACTGACTCGTATCTGTTTAGTGTTGATGGGATACGGATTCTGCTTACCCGATAACGAGTTCGATCTCGTTTCTCTCAAACTGAGACTCCCGAACCTGACTCCTGATCAAATCGCAATCCTACAAACGAGCCCAGACACCGAAAACAGCGGTATATTCTACCTCACACTAGCCCATCCACTCCCCGACTCCTTGGTCCGTCTATTCTGCGTCAACGTCGCGAACGAAGCCGAGTTGGAGCACATGAAGTCGAATACAGAGACAGACAGTCTCCGTTGTAAGCTCGACGCTCTGATGAATCTCAGCATCGCTATATCTAGAAAACTCTCGGGTCACCGGCTTCCAGAGTTGCGAGACGAGTCTAGCTCCACCGAACGGAATATTTACCTCTATATATCTGGCCAGGTAAGGATTCTATCGGCATGCGCTGCTGCAATCTACAGACAGATTCTCGACTCTATAGCACCGAGGTCCAGCGCTAGTTTCAGTTTCGAGAACGAGAAACTTCGGCAAATAATAAAAGCAGAACTGCCGAGTTGCGGATTACATCTCGAGACTCTTGCTGCAGACGCGAGGTTTTCGCAGTTCTTCAACGCGGTGAAATCAGTACATTCTGATTTCCTAACCTCGGAAATGGACGAACTATATCTCTCGGTTTTCATCGCACATCTAGCTATACTCAGCTACTCCTCCGACAAGGCATCGCCGTACCGCGAATGGATAGAATCGATGCGAACGCGCTATGACGACAAAGAAGAGCCGGATGCAGATGCCGCGGATCAATTAGAGTATATGGACGACATACTGCAAAACTTGGCAGAGGTATGTCCCGAGGTTTTTGCAGGAGACGCGTGGTCGCAGACGCTGCTGGCATGGGCGATGAAGGTGGTGGGATCTGAGGCTGTGTATTTCCATTACGAGGAGCGGAGCGAGCCGATGCTTGTCGTGATAACGGGGAAATGAGTGTATCCGCTGTATGAAATGAAATCTATTGTATATACCCGAAACATAACACCTATTCTATCAATCGCCAATATTCAACTATATGATACAACCGACAATGCTAAAAGATCCTGCGATATCTAAGCCGCCGTAGGCGCAGACTCAGAATCACCTTCTGGTACACTACCTTCCGTCGGTCGCTCTTTAAACATGTTCTCAAGACTGCTGCCCACGTACATTGTAAGCATCGACTCTGTGACCGGCACGACTTTGCATTTGACCATTTTCTTCCCTGTGCGTTGGTATGCTTGGAATCTGTGGCATCCTCCGAATCTGAGTGGTTCATATTAGCAGCCCGCATACACACACCGAGTGAAAAGAGCAAGGCTACTTACCCGAAATACCACGACTTTCCATTCTTGCGCACCGTCAGAACGTCAATTGGCGGTAACCCGTCATCCAGAGCTTCCGGGTCTGTGTTTTTCAAAGTCTCAATCATCCGAGAAATCTTCTCCTCGTCCAGGACAGGAACAATGGGCCGCCGGATCGAGTCGAATGGCAGGTATTGGATTCTGTTGAGGTTGCCGGTTTGAATAGACATGTTTGTGTGCTATGCTGTGTTGCTGTGTTGACTGCGGTAACCGACAAAGGACGCTTCTGCTCTCGTTTATATCAGTTCAACAGCAAGTATGATATAGTAATAAAAGTTCACGAGACCTGTGGTGAAAATGGTGGCAAGTAGTATCAGCTGAGAAGGGCTATCAGTAAGCTGCTCGCGTAAGGACTAATCCTCCTCCGAGTCTAGATGAGAGCGCCGCACGACCACCCACCTCGCCGCAATGACGTCAGAATATTTCTCAACTCCGAAAAGATCAATGATCTAGAAAGAAGGTATTCTAGTTGCTTTTGAGGTTTGAATATTTGTTGTGTGAGTTGTGGCCTCGGCTGCGTCCACATGCGCTAGTTCGTTCAACCGTCGCTTTTTGGCGGCTGCTTTGCGTAGGATCGTTAATGCCGTGGTGGTGCACGCTGTTTGACTGCTTTTCTCTTTTGAGCCGGAAAAAGAGGCTTGTTCTGGCTCTGAGGAGACAAATGATTTGCTTCTCTTTGAAGTAGTGGTTCTGGGAAAACTGTTGTCGATCGACTCGCTGTACTGAGTCGGTGATGATACCGAGGTTGTTCTTTCCGCTTTGACAATCCCAAGTGAAATCGACTGAGAACAGGACAGTTGAGGCTCCATCTTAATCGATTCATCCCGCAAAAACTTTGACAAAAACATACTCATATCCGTCTTCTGCTTCCTAGCCATCACAAGCTTCGGCAGCTCATAAACGTCAAAGTAGTGATATATATTCTGCGAGCAAAATTTCCCAAATAATCTCTCCACCGTCAGATTTTCTTCGTAAAAGTAGTCGCTTACGACGCAGGGGTACACGTCGAGCGGAGAAAATAGGCTGACGAGATCGCATAGCTCTGAATATGAAGAATGTCGCGAGTATGGGACTCGTAGGACTTTGGGCTGGAGGTTTGCTGGGGTACTTTCTGTATTTGCGGAGAGGAGAATGGCCTGGTTTGCCGGATCTGGTTCGGATTTGATTTTGGATCCAGCGATGTAGGCAGAGGTTTGTGGGAAGGCGATCGGCTCGGTTGCTGGTACTCCTATTTCTTTGAATAATCAGCATTGTGACACAGCTTAACTAGCTGAGAAGAGAACTCACCAATATATTCATGCTCATCCAGAAAAGCGGCACCCAGCTCAGGCACCACATTAGAAACAGTCGGAACGACATGTACAACCTTTGTACTCTTCGCTCGTCGACCATCACATTGATACCCCAGCTCGCAGCAGTGAAACCGCGACTCGAGCGGCTCTTCAGTAAGACACTGCAGCATTCCATATTCATACTCGCCCCGTCTCGCCAGTCTTTTGAATATCCGGTATCGGTAAGGGTCGGTATGAATCTTTGTTCTGAATGCGGCCGCGATGGTCATAATAAGCTGTTCGTAGCCAAAGGTCCATGCATTGAGATGGAAGACTGTATCTGAAGGATATTCTCTGATCTTGCGAATAAGACTTCTCGCCCCTTCTGCTTTCGTAGGAAAGAAGTAATGACAGCTCGACTCCCGCGAAACAAAACTCGTATCGAGATACACCGTCGATATCTGCTTCTGTCCAATAGTATACGGAATAAAAAACGGGTTCTGCGCAAGTTTCTGCAGCCACCATGGCTCGGCTCGTAGATCGCCGGTGTAGAGAATCGAGCTGTGGTCGTCTTCGATCAGAAACATGGTCGAGCCGGGACAGTGGTTTGCTTCTGTGAGGGTTACTGTGATGGTTTTTTGTGCGTCTAGATCGATCGTGGTTGGTGTATCGTACGGGATCACGCGCTGCAGTCATAAGTCAGTCACAGTTGATAGATAGTTCTCAAAGAGCGGAATCAGTTACCATAACTTTCTCCAGATGAGCATACATCCTCCTATTCTCCATCTCGATTCCCTCCCGCAAACCTTGAAGCCTGACAGTCTTCTTCTCAAGCATCAAAACAATCTACACAACACCAAAGTAAGCGCTATCCAGCTCCTCGAAACGGTTATCAAGCATACACTCTTCGTAGCAGCAGAGCAATATATCAACGGTCCATTATACCCCTCCAGACCCTGCAAATGGTCGGAATGCATGTGCGACAAAAAACATGCTTTGGGAGGAAGTGTTCCCGGGTCGATTCTGAAGTAGTCGACTATATCATGAACGTCAGCTCAGTCGCGCTGCGGAGAGGTAGATGGTTAAACACAAGCTCTCGTACTTCGAATCTCTGGGAACTCCCGCGGCACGCCTTTGAAGGTACTCTACCACACAAAAGTCAGTACAGTATTCCCTTACCAAAGCCAAATCTCAACCAGACAACCCACCATATTCCCATTAATTCAGCAAAGTCAGTAGTAACTCATCTAGTCAACCTCATCACTTCCGCGCTCGCCTCTTGCGCGTTTACCAAAAGCTTTTTTCAGGAAGCTGACGCGCGCTCACGTGATTGAGAATCCCTACAGAAATGCGAGCCGCACGGGCGGGAAGAAAAGGAAATTGAGCTTCCCGGTTTGCTCCATATGAGCTGATTTTATTTTAGTTGCATACATACGGCTGGGAAACTACAGCCAGAGCATACTAGATAATGTGGGGTCTTATTCCGCGCTTGTCGCGTTTGTCGTCGCTTGCGTATTGCTCGCGACGGGCGGTAGCACGGCAAGAGATAGCTAGAAGATGGTGTGCGACGCACAGCGATGGAGACAAAGATCAGGTAGCTGCCGAGACTGAAGCGACTTTTAAGGATCACCGACGGATTGGACTTCAACAAGAGCTATATATGATTAACGAGCATACCCCCGGCTCGATATTCCTGCTGCCGCACGGGACCAGGATATACAACCGCCTGCTGCTGTTCATCAGAGCGCAGATGAAGCAGTTCCGCTTCGACGAGGTGGTAAGTCCGATAATCTACAAACGAGCACTGTGGAACACGAGCGGACACTGGGATAAGTACAAGGAAGAGATGTTTGAGGTTAAGGGACGGAGCGAGGCCGACTCGGAGCAGTACGGACTGAAGCCGATGAATTGCCCGGGCCATTGTCTGATTTATCGACATATTGATCGGTCGTATCGCGACCTGCCTATTCGCTATGCCGATTTCTCCCCATTGCATAGGTAAGCAACATACTTTTAATCACACTAACTGATTTCAACTCACTCTAACTAACATTTCAGAAACGAATCGACTACTACAATTACCGGCCTCACCCGCGTCCGCCGTTTCCACCAAGACGACGGCCACATATTCTGCCGCGTCGACCAAATCAGCGTCGAAATTCAACAAGCCCTAAAACTTATCGACGAAGTCTACAAAGTCTTTGACGTGCCCTCCTACAGACTCCTTCTCTCAACCCGCCCGGAACAATACATCGGTTCGCTGGAAGACTGGGACCGCGCCGAATCAGCCCTTCGCGAAGCGCTCGATTTCTCCGCGCACGACTGGAAACTGAACGAGGGCGACGGCGCGTTCTACGGCCCCAAAATCGACATTCTTCTCAAGGACCAGAACGGGAAAGAACACCAAGCAGCCACGATCCAGCTAGACTTCCAACTACCGCAGCGGTTCGATCTCAAGTACAGAGGCGAGGACGACTCGACCGAGCACAGGCCGGTTATGATCCATCGCGCGGTGTTTGGCTCGCTTGAACGGTTTCTTGCGATCCTGATGGAGCAAACGCAGGGAAATTGGCCGCTGTGGATCAGTCCGCGACAGGTGCTCGTTTTGCCAATCACAGACCAGCACGCCGCGTACGCTGAAAAGGCACAGTCGATCCTCTCGGGTCTGCCGCTGGGGGCGCCGACGCGGCTGCTGGATAGTAACGCGGAGACGTTTTTTGTCGATGTTGATGATCGGTCGGAGACGCTGGGGAAGCGGATGAGAGAGGGTATTCAGAAGGGGTATACGTATCTGGCTGTCATTGGCGACAAGGAAGTCGAGAGCGGAACGATTAGCTTGAAGAAGGCCAAGGGGGGAAAGAAGAGTAAGCAGATGACGTTCACTCTTGAGGAAGCACGGAAGTTCTTGGAAGACGAGGTGGCGCAGTATCATTGATGACAATCTCTTCACTTTACACTCGTAATTGTATATACATTTATTCTACCTACTGTACATTTTTAAGACAATAGCAACATCTACTACTGGAGAAAGTCAATCAAGACCGTCAACATCTCACTCTGATCCAGCGCTTCAGCTCTCTGCTCTGCCTCTTCTTCCGTCATCTCTTCATCATCCCCGACCTCGCCCGGCGTAATATCCTGTTTAAACGCGGTCAACGTCGCCTTCAAATCTGCAAACGACGTCCCTTTTTTTTTCAAGAACTCGACAATGTGCGTCTTGATCCCTAGATCGCCGTCATCGTCTTCGGCTACTAGCCAGGCGAGAATGGTGTCGATGAGCTGTAAGCGGAAGACGCCGTCGTCCATCCGGCGCAGATACCACTCTGCCTCGTTTGCTTCCCGATCAGCTTCCCAGTCCTCCAACAATTCAGGATTGGATGGTTTTGTCTTGACAAATGCGTCGCGCTCGGCGTTGATTACGATATCAACCCGATCGACGCGCTCGACGGTGATGGTGCGGAACAGCATCAGACGCCCGAGTTTCTCATAGTTTTTCTCGACGAAGCGGGCTAGTAGCTTCATCTTTTGCTTGGAAGATTCGCCTAGGTTTCGGAGAAGCGAGGAGATTATACCGAGCACTGCATCGAGTGAGACATGGGCATCGCCGCTGCGTCGTTCGCGCGCTCCGTGGTTTTTGGCGTCAGTGAATCGCGAGGACATAAGTAGTTTGAATAAAATAGGCAAGCCGTCGTTATTGACAAAGTCAAGTGCCAGCGGTCCGGATGCGCCAGAGGCAAGGGCATAGTCGAGTGTTTTGATGGCGCGCGACTTGCCGTGCTTCCCGCCGCTTTTGACAAAGAGCAAGAGGAGGTCGACACCCTCGTTTTCCAGAAACTTGTCCTTTCCTAGCGGTTCCTGGACGATGACTGCGAGCGCATCAAAGATGTTTTCGAAAAACTCGGTCTCTTCGACTTGCTCGGCTGGAGGATCGAAGCGGCGGTAGGGCGAGAGCGCACGCAGGAGAACGTCGACGCCGGCGAGTTCACCGAGTACGCTGTCGTTGTAGACTTGGTTGATGAACTGGATCCGCGAGACGTGAGAGTTTTGCAAGATGATTGACAGAACCTCGGCAGCGTACTGCTTATTCTGAGAGAGAGGTTTTTCTTTGACAAGGATTCGCTGTAGCAGCCAGGGTAGTAGACCGGTGTCTCCCTGTTGCCGAGCTGCAGGAGAGGTGTTGATGAGTAATTTGTCGGCGGTGCCAGTCAGAGCAGTCAGACTTTCGATAACGCTCAGGATCTGGAAAACACCCGCGCGTTCTGCTTCGACTTCTTCACCCTCTGTAGTTTCCTGGTCTTCGATTCCACGAGCGCGCCGGCTGTCGTCTAAGCGTGAGAGATTTGTGATTAACGAGTCGACAAGACCAGCTTCAAACATGCCATCGATAAGGGCACGAAGATCAGTTTCTTCTGCTTGCGTGTCTTCGTCAATGAGCTCGTCCAAGACCTGGATTGCGTCGACGACGATATCTGAGTTTTCGTGCGCCAGTAAGGCTTCGAACGCGTCAAGGCCTTTCTGCTCGACAAAGATAGGGTAGAGATCAGTATGTTCGGTCAAGATCGAGAGGCTCTTGACAGCCGAGTCTAGCTCAGCTTCAGATTCGAGGAATTTCTGCGGCGTGTCGGAATAGCGAGCGCGCAGCTGCGCGTTCTTTTTGATAAGCCGATCTAGCTTTGTGACTTGCTTGCGAACCCAGGCCGAATCAAATTTCTCTTCTTCGGCAAGATCCTGCTCGACGGTGTCGACGTAGTCCAGAACGTCTTTTTGGTTCTCGGTGAGTCCGCCGCCGAAGAACCTGCCGCCTTCGTCGTCGTCGTCGGGCAGATCAGAGACGGCGGCCGAGTCATCTTGGCCGTCGTCTAGTTTGTCTTGGACTGTGGAGGGTAGATCATCGTCTGTGCTATTTTTGTATTTGTCGACTAGAGAGGTCAGCGGTGAAGAGGAGAGAGTGGTGAGGTTGGGAGAGAACATACCGAGGTTTGAGAGCTCGTCGAGCCTGCGCTTTTTTGCTACAGGCACATTACTGCTGTGGGAGGAGGTAGAATCTGCGGTGCGCTATGAAGAGAAAGAGTGAGCAAGGAGTAAGAAAGAGTAGAGGTTAAGAGAAAGAAGTGCCCACCTTGAACAACGAATCGATATTCATCGTGTTATGGCAGCCAGCACAGCAGAGCAGAACCAGAGAAAGGCGATGACGGTCGACGACGGAATAAACAGCAAAGTTAAACCTTAAGCAGTCAGCGATTACGTAACTGCGGCAGATCCAGGCGCGCAGACGCAGCTATAAAAGCAAACTTCGATTCCTGTTTCCTCTCCGCCGCCCGGCTGCTGTTGCCCGTACCCTGCTGCCCACCTCTTCACAACTCTTCGTCAACATGAGCAACGTCGCCGAGCCCGCGCCAGAGGACAGGAAGCTGTCGGCTGCCGCTGTCCAGGTCAGGACGCGGTTCCCTGTCGTATGTTTGCTGTAGTGCTTTTGCTTCTGCTGTATTGTTGCTGACACTACTCCAGGCGCGCATCAAAAAAATCATGCAGGCAGACGACGACATCGGCAAAGTAGCCCAGGCCACTCCTCTCGTCGTCGCAAAAGCTCTCGAACTCTTCATGATCTCTCTCGTCCAAGAGTCCTGCGACCAGGCTCGTCTGCGCAACGCCAAACGCGTCTCGCCCGCCCACCTCAAGCAGGCCGTACTCAACACCGAGCAGTTCGACTTCCTCGCAGACACCGTCTCAAAGTACCCGGATCCCGTCGCTGTTCCTGGCGAGAAAGAGCCCGGCCCGGGTCGCGGTCGGCGGCGGAAGACTGCCGAGTAGTGCTTCTGGTTGCATTTTTGGGACGGCGTTTGACTTGTTATGACTTGTTTCCTTGTTTACTCGTTTATTGGTGGTCGTGTTCGATACTGTGAGCGTCTATGCTTATATCTTTGCTGCTCTATGACTAGTCGGTCTGGAACCGGCAACAACGTGCAATTGCAGCAATTCTGTATGATAGAAGACGAATAATGTACGATATCCTATTGTGCTCTCCACGTAGCCCCTCAAACAAGGTTTATAGGCCCTAACCCACTATCATTTCCCCGGCGCAGAACTGAGCACGGCAGCGGATTTCTGAGTCCGCCGCATTTCTTGTTTTGCCTTCTTCGCCCGCCTCGAAACTCGCCTTCTGCTACCACGCTCCACCACCCGGTCAGTCTCTGATCGTCCATCCCCATCCATCCCTCTTCTTCTGTTGTTGAATTTCCCTTGTGTCGTCGTACTTCTTCTGCCTGTTTCAGATCAAGGACCTGCGCGAAGGGATCTCTGGGATTGAAAAGAATAGGACGCTCTGTTTGAGCTTGTCTAGAGTACTCTCGTCTCGCTTTATCTCCCGTGGCAAAGATGAGCGGCACGCTGTTTTCGTACTCTTCGGCTCCGGTGAAGACCGTGAAGGAGGTCTGTGTTGATTTGCTTTGTTCGAATGCTCTTGAACGAGCGAATTTGCCATAGTGACAGTGGGCTAACCGTCTCTTGTTTAGATCCAATTCGGTATCCTGTCACCTGAGGAGATTGTATGACCCCTTTCAACTCACCACCTCCACTCCGAAATCAGAAAAGAATCCTTACTAACATTTTTTCAACTTCTAAAGAGGGCCTTCAGTGTTGCCAAAATCGAATTCCCGGAGACGATGGATGAAACTCGCATGCGTCCCCGGCGCGGTGGCCTCAACGATTCGCGCCTTGGCTCCATCGATCGCAACTTCAAATGTGAAACCGTACGTCTGCAATCAAATTCAATTTAGTGTGGAATTATGAGTTGGTGGCAAAATATAAGAGAAAAGAGGTTATGGGATCTGTGTTATGGTATCTTCATACTGACACGCATTTTCGGATTTAGTGTGGCGAAGGCATGTCTGAATGCTGTGGCCACTTTGGTCACATTGAACTTGCCAAACCGGTTTTCCATATTGGTTCGTTTATTCTTCTTGATCCTATCGCCCTCTCTCATCTCGAGAGAGTGCATTTAGAATCAAACTAACCCCGCCACTTCAGGTTTCATCAGCAAGATCAAGAAAATCTGTGAGGCTGTCTGCTTTCACTGCGGAAAGCTGAAACTTGATGAAGTAAGTCTCATCTACTATTCTCCTTGACTATATCAAATTTCTGGAAATTTACTCTGTTTTTAAAGAGCAATCCTGCTTTCGCCCAAGCCATCAAAATCCGCGACCCTAAACGCCGATTCCAGGCGGTTTGGTCTCTTTGCAAGGCCAAGATGATGTGCGAAACTGATGTTCCGAACGACGACGAAGAGGCCTTTGGCGAAAAGGCTCCCAAGAAAGTCCTGCACGGTGGCTGTGGTAACGCTCAGCCTACTATCCGCAGAGACGGACTCAAGCTGTGGGGTACTTGGAAGAAGGATAAGAACGACGAGATGGATCAGCCCGAGCGGCGCCAGCTGAAGCCCCAGGAGATTTTGAACGTGTTCAAGCACATCTCTGACCAGGACCTCGACCGCCTTGGTCTCAACGCCGACTACGCCCGACCCGAGTGGCTCCTGATCACCGTTCTCCCCGTCCCTCCTCCACCGGTCCGTCCTAGTATTGCTATCACCGAGGCTGCTCGTGGTGAAGATGATTTGACTTACAAGCTAGCCGACATCTTGAAAGCAAACGCAAACGTCCGCCGATGCGATCAGGAAGGTGCACCCGCTCACGTTCTCAACGAGTTTGAGTCCCTTCTCCAGTTCCATGTCGCCACTTATATGGACAACGATATCGCTGGTCAGCCTCAAGCTCTCCAGAAATCCGGCCGTCCTGTCAAATCCATTCGTGCTCGTCTAAAAGGAAAGGAAGGTCGTCTCCGAGGTAACCTCATGGGCAAGCGTGTCGACTTTTCGGCTCGTACTGTCATCAGTGGCGATCCCAACCTGGCTCTTGACCAGGTCGGAGTGCCTCGCAGTATCGCCCGTACACTGACATACCCGGAGATTGTGACGCCGTACAACATTCAGAAGCTTACTCAGCTCGTGCGAAATGGTCCCAACGAGCATCCTGGTGCAAAGTACGTCATCCGTGACACTGGCGAGAGAATCGATCTGAGATACCACAAGCGGGCTGGTGAGATTACTTTGCAGTACGGATGGCGTGTCGAGCGTCACATCGTCGACAACGATCCAGTTTTGTTCAACCGTCAGCCGTCTCTGCACAAGATGTCTATGATGGCTCACAGAGTCAAGGTCATGCCTTATTCGACTTTCCGACTTAACTTGTCTGTTACATCGCCCTACAACGCTGACTTTGATGGTGACGAAATGAACTTGCACGTTCCTCAGTCGGAAGAAACTCGCGCAGAACTTATGACTATTTGCGCCGTGCCTCTTCAGATTGTGTCGCCGCAGTCCAACAAGCCAGTTATGGGTATTGTACAGGATACTTTGTGCGGTATTCGAAAGATGACCAAGCGAGATACATTCATCCCTTACGACCAGGTTATGAACATCCTTTATTGGGTGCCAAACTGGGATGGCGTTATTCCGCAGCCTGCTATCTTGAAGCCGCGACCGTTGTGGACTGGTAAGCAGATGGTTAGTATGGTCATTCCTAAGGGCATCAATCTGCAGCGTTTTGATGATAAAAACACTCTGCTTTCGGTCAAGGACAACGGTATGATGATTGAGAATGGTGAGATCATGTATGGTGTTGTCGATAAGAAGACTGTCGGTGCTACTTCTGGCGGTCTGATTCATACCATCATGCGTGAGAAAGGAGCCTATGCGTCGCGCGACTTTATCGGTGGTGTTCAGACAGTGGTCAACTACTGGCTTTTGCACAATGGTTTCTCGATCGGAATCGGTGATACGATTGCTGATGCAAAGACTATGCGCAATATCACAAACACAATCTCGCAAGCCAAGCGCGAGGTGCAGCAGATTATTTTGGATGCTCAGGCCAATAAGCTGCAACCCGAGCCTGGTATGACCTTGCGAGAATCGTTTGAGCAGAAAGTTAGTAAAGTGCTAAACACTGCTCGTGATACGGCCGGTCGTTCGGCTGAAACCAGTTTGACTGAGGCCAACAACGTCAAGCAGATGGTTGTAGCGGGATCCAAGGGTTCGTTCATCAACATCTCGCAAATGTCTGCTTGCGTCGGTCAGCAGATCGTCGAAGGAAAGCGTGTTCCGTTCGGCTTCTCGTACCGTACACTGCCGCACTTCACAAAGGATGATTACAGTCCCGAGTCGCGTGGCTTCATCGAGAACTCGTACTTGCGTGGCTTGACCCCCCAGGAGTTTTTCTTCCACGCCATGGCTGGTCGCGAAGGTATCATTGATACTGCTGTCAAGACTGCAGAGACGGGATACATTCAGCGACGATTGGTTAAGGCTCTTGAGGATGTCAGCGTGCAGTATGACGGCACTGTCCGCAACTCGCTGGGTGATGTCCTCGAGTTTGCGTATGGTGAAGATGGAATGGATGCTACGTTTGTCGAGAAGCAGTCGATTGACTCAATGTCTGGCTCGAACGATCGGTTTGCGCAGAGATACAAGATCGATCTTATGGATCCCGCATGGGCGCTCAAGCCATCGCTTTTGGAGAGCGGCAACGACATCATTGGCGACGCTGATGTTCAGGCTGTGCTTGATGATGAGTACAGTCAGCTTCTTGCTGACCGGAAGCTGTTGCGAGAGTTTGTGTTTAAGAATGGTGAGGACGCGTGGCCACTGCCGGTGAACCTTCAGAGAATTATTCGCAACTCGCAGCAGATTTTCCACTTGGACAGTCAGAAGGCAAGCGATCTGACGCCGGCAGAGATTGTTGACAAGGTTCGCGATCTTTGCAAGCGGTTGATTGTTGTGCGCGGAGATGATCCGATTGTGCAGGAGGTGCAGGAGAACGCGACCACGCTGATGCAGTGCTTGGTGCGGTCTCGGCTGGCGTGCAAGCGCGTGCTCGAAGATTACCACCTGAACCGGGTTGCGTTTGAGTGGGTTATTGGTCAGATCGAGGCACAGTTTGCGAGATCTGTGGTCGCACCTGGAGAGATGGTTGGAGTTATCGCTGCGCAGTCTATTGGTGAGCCGGCTACGCAGATGACTTTGAACACTTTCCACTATGCTGGTGTGTCGTCGAAGAACGTGACGCTTGGTGTGCCTCGATTGAAGGAGATTTTGAACGTGGCGAAGAACATCAAGACGCCGGGATTGAGTGTGTACCTGACGCCTGAATTCTCAGCCTCGCGAGAGATGGCAAAGACTGTACAGTCTGCGATTGAGCACACTACGCTGCGCACGGTGACGGCGGCGACGGAGATTTACTATGATCCAGACCCGCACTCGACGGTGATTGAAGAGGATAAGGATACTGTGGAGGCGTACTTTAGTATTCCGGACGAGCAAGTGGAGGCTACGATCCACAAGCAATCGCCGTGGCTATTGAGATTTGAGCTCGACCGAGCGAAGATGCTCGATAGAGAGCTGACGATGAGCCAGGTTGCGGAGAAGATTATCCAGGACTTTAAGGAGGATCTGTTTGTGATTTGGTCTGAGGATAACTCTGAGAAGCTTATTATCCGATGCCGAGTGCTGAGAGACCCGAAGAGTATTGACGAAGAGATTGAGACTGAAGAGGATACGATGCTGAAGAGAATTGAGGCACATATGCTTGAGTCGATTTCGCTGCGTGGAATTGAGGGAATTTCGCGAGTGTTTATGATGCTGTACGAGCCCAATGTCGCGGGACCTAACGGCGAGTACCGGAAGGAGAAGGAGTGGGTGCTCGAGACGGATGGTGTTAACCTTGCGGAGGTTATGGCGATTGACGGTGTTGACTACAAGCGGACGTACACGAACTCGTTTGTTGAGGTGCTGTCGGTGTTGGGAATTGAAGCGACACGACAGGCGCTGTACAAGGAGATTATGAACGTCATTGCGTTTGATGGTTCGTATGTGAACTACCGACATTTGTCGTTGCTGGTTGATGTGATGACGGCACGGGGACATTTGATGGCGATCACGCGACATGGAATCAACCGAGCGGATACGGGAGCGTTGATGAGATGTTCGTTTGAGGAGACGGTTGAGATTCTGTTGGAGGCAGCGTCAGCGGCTGAGCTTGATGATTGCAAGGGAGTGTCTGAGAATATTATGCTTGGACAGCTTGCGCCTCTGGGAACGGGAGACTTTGATCTGATGCTGGACGAGAAGATGTTCAACAGCTTGCCGGTTGATTATGGTGGCGTGGGAGCTGGAGTTGGGATGGGCATATCGAATGGCGCTGGAGATGGAGCCGCGACGCCGTACGACAGTCGGTCGCCGGCGTACTCTGAGAGCAACTACCTTGGGTCGCCGGATCCGGCTGCCGCGTTTTCGCCTATTGTGAATTCTGGACTGGACGAGCGTGGAGGGTTTACAGAGTATGGAGGAGGATTTGGACAGAGTCCGTATGGAGCGGGCCAGTCGCCGGGATATAATCCGACGTCGCCGTTTTCGTCGTTTGGAAGTACGAGTCCGATGACGTATGGCACGAGCCCGACGTCGCCAGGATACTCGCCTACGAGTCCGCAGTATAGTCCGTCGTCGCCCGGAATGACTAGTCCAGGGTTTGCGACGTCGCCGAGATTCTGTATGTATTCAAGTGTGTTGAGTGTTGAGAGGGAGAGGTTACTAATGTTTTTTTAGCACCGACGAGTCCTGGATACAGTCCTACGAGTCCTTCGTACTCGCCAACGAGTCCGTCATACTCGCCGACTAGTCCGTCGTACTCACCCACGAGTCCGTCATATTCACCGACGAGCCCGTCGTACTCGCCTACGAGTCCTTCGTACAGTCCTACTTCGCCATCGTACAGTCCTACGTCGCCGTCGTATTCGCCTACGAGTCCGTCGTACAGTCCGACGAGTCCTTCATATAGCCCGACGAGTCCGTCATACTCACCTACGAGTCCGACGTACAGTCCCACGAGTCCATCGTACTCGCCTACGAGTCCATCGTTTTCGCCTACGAGTCCGTCGTATTCACCTACGAGTCCGTCGTTCTCACCAACAAGTCCGTCGTATAGTCCTACGTCGCCGAGTTATTCGCCGACGAGTCCGCGGTACTCGCCGACGTCGCCGCGTCAGTCTTAGTCAAGAGTATTGAGTCTAGTCTTAAAGAGTATTGAGTAGTGTTTTAAAATGGAGAAGTTGTTTGTTGTATTGTACACGTATATTATATAAAGAAGAAATATCAGCCTAATACCGAAGTCTTTTGCTTCTTTTTCTTTGTAGCGGTCTTTGAGTAGTTTCTCCAGTTGTTTATGCGGTCGTCTCTTGTGTCTTCCCAGAGCTTCTGCTGATCCCGTTTCCGTTTCCGTTCCTCGATCTCGGACTCTTCCTTCTCGCGCTCGCGTCCTTCCTCCTTCATCGCGAGCTTTGCCTTCCGTCGTCGCCGTAGTTCGGCTTCGACCAGCACCGCCTTCGTCCGCTCGCGCCAGGACGCTATGAACTCCGGCGTCGTCAGATCCGGATGGGACGTGGACCACCCCCGTTCCTTGATCAGCAGTTTACGGGCATCAGCGATGGCCTCATCCAGCAGCACGCGCTTCTTCTCATCCATAAGCTCGGCCTCCGCTTTCTTAAGCCGATTAAACGCCTCGGGCGCGTCCGGGTTCGTGGTCTTGTCGGGATGGATGAGCAGGGATTTGCGGCGGTACTGGGCGCGGATGTCGGAGGGCGGGCAGCCGGGGAGGAGGTCGAGGATGGAGTAGGGGTCGAGTTGGAAGCAGGCGAGGATGCGGTTGATTTCTTTGTCTTTGTTAAGAGAGGCGGATTCGCGCGCGAGAAGCGCGTCGATGTCGTCTGCCATTGCTGTGGTGTTGTTGTTGTTGTTGTTGTAGATGGAGATGAGTATATTGTAGATATCTGAGTGCTGGGTGAAGAGTGTGGCGATGGGAGGTGTTGGGTTAGGGACAGGATCTGATACTCACGATTCCCCTCCGCGACCAGAGATCATTCACACCAACCGCAATGTCCTCAGCTCTGCAGACCGCGATCGTGCTCGCCGCGCCGTTTCTGATTCCGCGCGCGATCGCCTATTACCAGCGGCGGTCTGGGAATAATCAACAAAGGCGGACGAGGACGGTGACTGCGCTTGCGACCCGCGATGCGGTGGTGCTGGCGCTGTTTGTCGCGGCTGCTGCCGCGCATCTTTTACATGCGGGCGTGTATCTTAGGCATCAGCACGAGATGCAGAATATCTTTGTCCGGACACAGGTAGATCTTTACACGCCCGTGAAGCGACTTGAGCGAATACTCGTTGCAGCAGGCGGGATGGACGAGTCCACGCGCGTGTTACTCGAACATCTCAAACCACCTTCCTCGCGCGCAATCTACGCGACCTACGGCGCAGACGCGCTCGTGAACTGCGACTGGTGCGCGTCGGGGGATGATTTCGCCGCGGACGAAGGGCTGGCGTATAGGATATACCTCCTTCCGAGGCTGCTGTGGCCGGGCATGGCGCAGCTGGGTGTCTTGGGATTCGCGACGAGTTTGGCGTCGGCGGGTAGATTGACTTCTGCGCGCACGCCGGCTGCGTTTGCGGTCGTGTTGGTTATGCTGGCTGTTGTGTGGAGATTGTTTACCTTCTCGCTGTCGGCGAATAACCCGCCCTCGCCGTTCGCGCAACATAGAGAACCGACATATCTCCTGCACGACCTGCTCACGCAACGCGACGGCGCGCTCGCGCTGATCGACCTCGTGCTCGCGTGTCTCGCCTATCTCGCATGCACGAACCGGCTCTCGCTCGGTACAAGCTCAGACCTGGTCGCCGTCAGCGCGGCAGCTGATTCCCGCCGCCGCGAGCTCGCGCGGCTGTTTGGCGAGCTGCAGAGGCAGGCCGAGGGCACACTGCACACCTGCCGCAGCGGGAATCTCGTGCGTGCAGCGGTGCTGGGGGATGACAAGTTACGAGAGCAGACGGCGGCGTTTTGGGATGAGATTGCTGCCGAGGAAGGAGAGTTGTTGAGAGACGAGGAGGTCGAGCGCGCGATGAAGGGTGCGAGGGAGGAGGCGGTTGCGAAGGGGATGTATGAGAAGATTGATGCGGATTCGGCGGAGTATGCTGAGGCTATCGTGCGGGTTTCAAAGACGGGGTTTGGGAGGGCGTGAGTTCTTCATAGCAGCTTGCTTGTGGTTTGTTATATAGCTTGTTTTGGTTTATGTGCATTGCTTGGATATACATCGGATATTTATTTACATCATGGTAAACTCTCAACCACCTCTGCTTTTCACTGTCGGGCGTAGCTTAGCTTGCATTTCATCTTCACAGCGGTCTGATTTTGCATCTTCATTTCAAAATCGTCTTGGTTATGTACATTGATATATATAATCAAGTATTTCTAGTCACGGCAACTCTCCACTGCTCTTTAAGTCTCGGGCGTAGCTTAGCTCATAGTTCATAGCGACTTAGCTTGCATTTCATTTGTTATGTACATTCTTGATATATACATCAGTCATACATCACGACAAATTCTCCAACCACCTCTTCTCCTCCCTCTCCGGATACTCCTGCCTCGCCAAATGCGCCAACGGATCCTTCATCGAATACTGCACATGATAACTCGTTCCCTCCACCAACTCCCCCCCGGCCGTATACTCCCCCGCCCGGAACCCGATCGTGGGGATCATCACCATCCGCGCGAGTTCCGGGTCGTGAAGGACAGGTAAGGTTGTCACCGCGTCCACGCCCGACAGGTCGCTGCCGCGCGCATGCAGCGGGCGGACGCATGCTGCGCGTTTGTCGACGTATGCGAGGTTTGTTTTGCCGCCCATCTTGCCGATTTGGTTGATGTCGTCTTCAGTCATCGGTCGGATCAGCAGATTGATCGTCTTTTGCTTCTTTTTCTCGTTTTCCGATTCTGATGTTTTCGGTTGTGGTGAAAACTGCGTCAGCTCCACGCCGTTGTTGATATGTAACTGCTCGTCGATATCAATCCGCTCGAAAACCTCCGCCTCATCAATCACTTTCTCCCGCGCCGCCGCCATCTGCGCCTTCACCCTCTCCTCCGCCTCGTTATTGTACATCGGATAATACTCCCCGAAACTGCCCCCCGTGAGATTGATCCGCGCGCGCATCCAGATCCGGTTATCCCACAGCACCCATTCAGACCACGGATACCGCTCGCCTTCGATCTCGGACGGGATCCGCAGCACGCGAGTTGGCATCGCAAAGCTGGGGAATGGTTGCCGCGTCAGGGTCCAGGTTACCACTCCTTCTAGCTTTGATTTTCTTGGTGCTGGTGCTGGTCTTGGTTTTTCTGTTTCTTCCTCTTCCTCTTTGGGTGGTGATCTCTCTCGCGTCCGCGCTGCTTCTTTTGCTGCTTTCCCTGCTGCTGCTTCCGCTGCTGCTTCCTCCTTCGCCTTCTCCAGCCGTTCATGCTCCTTCCTCTCCTCCTCCACGATACTCGGCAAGAACGAAGGATACTCACTTCCATCCAAGCTAAAATTAACTTTATACTTTGTATTCCCCGGCAACGACTTACTCGGCGCCGTCGCCGTATTGTGCAAATCAAAGATATCGTACGCACTATCGATCGCTGCCGACAACTCTTCAATGTCCATGTTAGGTTCATCCGCCGCCTCAAGTTTCAAAACCCCCTCGTGAGCCTCCTTAATCTCCTGTCTGCGCTTCTCTCGCTTCTCCCGCTGCTGCTGCCTCAACCACTGCTTTCGTCGCGTAGTAGTAAGCTTCACCCGCCGCTGCCACTGCACGCTCATCAGAAACATTTTCTCGGCCGCGGTCGTGCCGCTCGCTCTGCCGGGCACAAACTCAAACAGCGACCGCGTGAAACTCGCCGTCTTCCAGCGCGGCACGTCCGAGTTTTCCTGCGGGGCGACCATCTCGGTCAGCATGAGGACGAACCGTCTGATGACGCGCACGTCCACGCCGCGGAAGATGAGCGGGTATAAGTACGAGTCCTGCAGGGATCTGGTAGACCAATCCGGATCGTCAATCACGCTCGGGAACGCGGACGTCGCGGTAAAAGTGGGCACGTACGTCCACCTGACCGCCATCGTCGTCGGATCAAACTCGAGATGCCCGCGCCGGATCTCGGCCTCGAGCAACGACCTCGCCGCATCATCCAGCCTCGTCCGCTCTGAATTCTGATCCGCGATCGTCCACGCGAGCGACTGCGGCTGCAGCGCGTAGGGAAGTCTGTCTGGCTGCGAGATGAGCAGTCGGATGGCGTTGCGGATGGTGTATGTCGGGTCGTGGTTCGTCGCGTCTTCGAACCAGCGCACGTTGGCGTGGTTGCACGTCGCCATCAGGCTTGCTTTCCGCCAGCCCAGCAGCGGCCTGACCAGCTGCAAATCCGCGCCGCCGAACGTTTCCGCGCAGGACGGGAGAGGAGCGAGTTCTTTCATCCCGCCTAAACCCGACCCGGTACGTCTCCTAACCAAATTCAAGATCGCGGTCTCGACCTGATCATCCCACGTATGCGCAATCAACAGATGCTTAACCTCTCTCTTCACCATATCCTCAACCAACACACGATACCTCTCCACCCTCGCCGCGCGCTCGACGATCCCGCTGTGCGCGCCGAGGGCATCAAACCTCGCGTTGTGTGATCGCCAGTCGATCTTGAGCACGCGGTGGTCTGTGATCCCGATCGTGTCTCGCAGGACTTTAGATACCTGCGCAGCTTCGTCTGCGGACTCGGGGCGCAGGCCGTGGTCGACCGTGAAGGCGACGAGACGGCTGCCGTGTAGTTTTGCGAATTCGTGCATGAGGTAGGCTAACGCCATCGAGTCTACTCCGCCGGATACCGCCAGTCCTGCGGGTGTTAGCATATCCATAGTCCACTTCCTCACCACCAGCTATAAGAAGAAATAAGAGAAAACCCACCGAAAACACGCGGAATCTTGGACTTAAACAGCCTCAGCACCGTCTTTGCAAACTCAGCAACCTCAATCGGCTCGGCCTTGCCCGCCGGCAACAGCAACGGCCTCATCGCTTTCCTGAACAGCGACATCTTGCTCTCTTTCTCTTCTCCCTCTGCAGTTAGATAGCAGTAGTAGCAGACTAGATACAGTGGAGTGCGCGGGTTTAGATGAAAAGCAGGTTGGTGAGCGGCGGTGAGAAAATATTGCCACGAGACCCTCAGGGGCGGTGACTCTTAACTGTGAACCTCCCATCTATTGTACATCCTAAACAACACAAAACATAACTAGAATACAATACAATACAATACAATACAACACATTAGATCATAACCGGTCCACCTTCGACAGCGACCGCAGCACATCCCGCATCTCGAGATCCTCCGTCCCGGCAACCTTCTGCGCCTGCCTCTCCTTCCTCTCCACCACCCCTGCCGCGTCCGCCCGCACGCGGTCCGCGTACTTGCCCGCTGCCCGCGCGAGCTGCTCGATACTGTGCATTCCGTGCACAAGCTTGTCGGTCTCAATTTCCACATTACTCGCGCGGTCTTTGAGCGTGTCGAGCTTGGCCTCGGCGGCGGGGGTGGAGGCGGCTTCTTCCTGGCGCGCGAGGAAGGTGGCTTCTTTGGGGAGAAGGAGGGAGACGTCGATGTTTGTCGAGGGGGGGATCGGGGGTTTGATGTCGTTCTCTACTTCTGTCCATGCTTTCTTCTCGGCGCGTAGACTAGACATGGATGTTAGAACAAGTAGTTGTAAATAAAGAGTAAGAAGACATACCGCTCCAGACGCTTGGTGAACTCGTCAATCTTCTCCAGGTTGGCAACGTTCTGCGGATTCGGCTTCTTTGGCAAGTCTTCCTCGTCCTGTGATAGTTTTGATTAGCAACCCTCCTCTCTCTGTTGATACAACTCACACTTACAGGTCGGCTCCACCAGCTGGTTGATATCCGTCCGTCGGTCAAGTCCTTCAGAATCTCCTCTTCAATCACCCTCGTGATCGCAGTAGCAGGCGCCCCTCCTCCCCGCGCCCTATTCGCTCTACTACTCTTCTTATCCGCCTCCTTCTCCTCCGCCAACACCCGATGTCCACACCACGACAACAACTGCCGCATGCGATGCGGATCCGGCAGGTCCGCGTCCAGATGCTTGAAAAACTCGTCTGTTTTTATATCCGCGTGCGGAACGGCGACAAGCCCGTTGCTGAGCGAGCTCGCGCGCTTGCCCCGCATGCCGAGACTGCTTCGTCGACTGCCTTGCTGCTGGCGAAGTTCTTTGTTGCGTCGTATCATTGGCGTGTCTGTCAACGGCAGCGAGACTATCGTGGTTGAGCTTTCGGGTTGCTCCTCTTCGTCGTCATTGAAGCTGAAAAATTTCGTCTCTTTCTTCTTTATCGTCTTTGTCGTCTTCTGTGTCTTTGCTGCTTTTGTAGCAGCAGCAGGAGACTCCAGCACCGGCTCAGGCGGCGGTAAATTCCTCACGCGCGTAAACATAAACTCGCCATCTGCCTCCGCCGCCACCGGAATCGGATTCCGCCGTGTTGACTTCCGTGTGCTTTGCTGTATCCTCGAGTCTGCAGCCACCGCTGCCGCGCGTCGTCGTTTGGTGGTTGATTCAGGTGGTTGTTGTTGTTGTTGCTGTTGTTGCGCGTTCTCTTTGTGTTGGGAGGGGAGGTCGCGGGGTTTGCGCTTTGTGCCTGCTAGTGTTGACTTCATGGCTGCTGATGTTGTTGTAGATGTTGTAGAAGTAGTAGTTGTTGTTGTAGAGGTAGTAGTAGTAGTAGTAGTAGTAGTAGTAGTAGTAGTAGTAGTAGCTGTGTTGTGCTGAGAGACGCGGTGATCGCGATAGTCGCGCTTCTTCACAAACGCAGCTCACCAGATCTTTCTATCTCTTCAATTCACAGTATCCTTCACTTCTTCAATTATCCTCTTTTCCTTTCTTCCCTCTTCTCTTCTCTTCTCTGCTTCTCTGCAGAAGTACTCGCGGTGCTGTTGCGAGTGTGAATGCCTAGCTGTTGTTGTGTTTACAAATCTTGTTTTGGTTCGTGCACTTTTCGCGGTGCAGTTGTGCTGCCCTGACCCTATGACTTTCTCTTCTTCTACTTCTACTACTACTAACTACTTGATATAGATATAAGCAGTGTATTAGATATAGATAGATGATAAAGAATAAATAGCTGATGCTGTAGCCTACAGCCGACTCTCGACTATCGCAACAGGACGCACCGTCTCCGGCCAAATCTGCAAAAATTCGTTAGCACCCTCCTCTCTCATCATCAATCATCACATCAAAACAACTCACCTCCGCAAGCGCGTCCCAAATACTAAACAAATAAACAAACACAATCTCCTCCTTCACATTCGCCGGCATCTCATGCTCCACATCCTTCCGATTCCGCGCCGGCAGCAAAATCTTCCTGATCCCGGCCCGGTGCGCGGCAAGTACTTTCTCCTTGATCCCGCCTACGGGAAGAACTTGGCCCCGCAGCGTCATCTCGCCCGTCATCGCTAGGTCGGCTGGGACGGCTTTCATCGTTAAAAGAGAGACCAGCGCGACTGTCATCGCTACGCCCGCCGACGGTCCGTCTTTCGGAATCGCGCCGGCGGGTGCGTGCATGTGCACGTCGAATCCGGCGAGCGGATTCTCAGTCCGGGAATCAACAAGCTGCAACTCAAACCCGTGCGCGCGCACCCACGTCAGCGACAACATCGCGCTCTCTTTAATCACCGCCCCCAGATTCCCCGTCAACTGCAGCCCGCCGCCGCCACTAGAACCCGAATAATACTTGCTAGCTTCGATGAACAGCAACCCGCCGTTTCCAGACCCCATGTACGCAAGTCCCGTCACGACACCCGGCCGATTCTCCCGGTTCGCAATCTCGTTCTCGAATTTCTCCATCCCGAGATATTTCTCAATCTCGGGCTCCGTCACCACCGCCTCGTACTTCCCTTTAATATCATCATGCTCGATCTCATCCTCGTAGAGCGACGCAAACTCAACAGCCTTACCCCGACACACCGACGCAATCTCCCGCTCGAGATGCCGCACGCCGGCTTCGCGCGTATAGCACGTCGCGATCTTCAGCAACGCATCGTCCGTGATCGTGACCTGGCCTGGCTCGAGTCCGTTCGCGACAATCTGCTTCGGGATAAGGTACTGCTGCGCAATATGCTTCTTCTCCAAGTACGTGTACCCCGACAACTCAATCGTCTCCATCCGATCCAGCAGCGGCGCCGAGATCGTCTCGAGCGAGTTCGCGGTCGCGATAAATAGCGTCTTGGACAGGTCGATCGGGATGTTGATGTAGTGATCCACAAACGAGTTGTTTTGCTCCGGATCGAGAACCTCGAGCATGGCCGCAGACGGATCGCCATGCACGCTGTTCTCGCCAAGCTTATCAATCTCGTCGAGTAAAATCACCGGGTTGATTACCCCCGCCTTGCGGTACGCCTGCACAATCAAGCCCGGCATCGCACCCACGTACGTCCGTCGATGTCCTCTAATCTCAGCCTCGTCGCGCACACCCCCAAGACTAATCCTCGCAAACTTCCGTCCGAGCGCGGTCGCGACGCTCTTCGCCAGCGACGTCTTGCCTACTCCGGGTGGTCCCACCAGCAACAGTATCGGCGCTTTCTCAATCACGCTCTTGTCCTGCCCGCGACTCTTCAGTCTGATGACAGCAAGATACTCAATCAGCCGCCGTTTGACCTGGTCGAGCCCGTAGTGGTCATGATCGAGCTGTTCTTTCGCGGCACGGATCATCGCCCCGTCGATCTTGTCGTCCGTCGCTGTCGACCACGGCACTTCACTCAGTGTCTCTAGATACGTCCTGCACACTTGGTATTCAGCCTGCGTCGGCTGCATCCGTTTCAAGCGTTTGAGTTCGCGGGTTACGACTTTCTCCGCTTCGGCGGGGAGGTTGGCCGATTCCAACTTCTTCGTCAGCTCTTCAATGTCTTCATCTTCATTTGCTTCTGCGTCTTTGTCTCCTAGTTCTTGGCGGATACTACTGTCGTTAGCAAATGCAGTTTATAAGAATAGTAGATACGTACGCTTTAAGCTGCTGACGAAGAAGAAAATCCCGCTGCTTCTTATTCAGATTAGTATCAACAGAAGTGTTAATCGACTGCGAAATCTTAAACATATTAATCTGCTGCGACAACAACTCCACCGCCTTTGCCAACCTCTCCTTCGTAGGTTCGATCGCCAGCAGCGCGATCTTCTGCTCGACCGGCACATCGAGCGTAAAGACAAGCAAGTCCGCGAGCTTGCCCGAGTCTTGGAAACTCGAGTGGTTGACGACGGATTCGAGTCGTCGGATCGCGCGCGGGTTGGTCGGGAGGGTGGCGGCGAGGGGCGGTTGCGAGGAGGAGGAGGGGGAGGAGGAGGAGGAGGAGGAGGATTTGAGGAAGGTGATGAGGTCGCGCGCGAGACGCTTGAGTTGCGCGACGAGGGTGTAGGTCGGGATATCGGTCGCGTCGAGGGCTGCGGCTGTCAGCTGATACTCTAGAGAGAGACAGAGAGAGAAGAACTTACGTGCGTCGATGAAGTGGGATACGTTGGCGGTGTAGTATGGCTCAGCAGAGACGAGGGAGGTGATGCGGAAGCGGGAGAGGCCTTCGAGGACGACCTGGAGCTGGCCGGTCGGGCCACGTTCGATGCGGACGACGCGAGCAAGACAACCAAAGTGCTAGAGGGAGTTAATGAGTTAGAAAGAGTAGGAGAGAGTAAAAGAGAGTAAGATAGACACACGTGGATGGTAGATAGGCCATGCTTGACGATCTGCTTATCGCTATCGGAGTCCGTAAGTCCGTCGGTGGCGGCCGAGTCACTAGGAGCAGCTCCTTCAGACTGCGTTGCATTGACGAGAGTCACGCAACCCACAAGTCGATCCCCGGGAGATGCGAGTGTCTGACGATGAAGGGCGGAGATGAGGACGGCGTTGTCGGGGCGGGTGACGCCGAGGGCGAGGACGACGGAGGGGAGGAGGACTGTTGGTGGCGGGAGGAGGAAGAGGGGGAGGGAGGGGGGGTTGGGTGCCATGGTGACTATAGTGCTTCGATGAGAGTAGAGTAGAGCAGATAGAGGAGGATATGATAGAGAAGAAGAGAGGATAGTAGAGAAGAGGGTGGTGAAGAGAGGATATCAGATCAAAGCGGTGATGGAGGAGAAGTTCACGTGACGAGCAAATATACGAGACCGAGCCGAGGCGCCTCTCGATGAGCCGAGACCTGGGTGTGTGTATTGTATTGCTGTTGTGTGTTGTATTGTTGTTGATATTGTGTGTTGTTGATGTTGATATTGTCTGTATCTGTATCTGTATCTGTATCTGTTGTGGGTTGTTGTAGTGTGTATTTGTTGTTGTTGTCTGTTCTGTTGTGTATCTCTGATCTCTATCTGATCTGTATCTGATATCACTGAACACTGCGATATCATATCATACCAATACCAATACCAACAGCCTGACGATGCTATTGATATTGATCAGGTTGTTGATATTGATATCCACACCTGTCACATCAGCAAACCAGGACCGAGATGACCAGATCAAGCCTTCTTCTTCATCTCCTTCACCATCATCCGAACCCACTCCTCATCCTTCGTCTTTGACTTCTCCTTCTTCTCCTTCTTCTTCTTCTTCGACTCTGACTCTTTCGACACCCTGTTCTTGTCCTTCAACTTCCTCTCCTTCTTCTCCTTCTTCACCTTCCTCACCTTCTCCTCCTTCCTCTCAGTAACAACAACACTCTCCTCTATCGACCCCGCCAACCCACTCCCCTTCACAAACATCTTATACAACGGACTCTGCACAACCCCTCGAATCTCAAACCTCTCCTCCTCCTCCTTCTTCTTCTCATACACATCCAACCCCTGCAACCGCCCGTCAAAAACCCGCTCCCACCAACTCTCGTGCTCAAGCGACTTGTTCCCCAGCCCCTTTGTGTCTTTCTTGTGGTGCATCAGTATCGGCTTGGCTAAGCTGTCCTTCTTGAACCCCGTCCCCGGTGTCCAGCCGTAGGACGTCAGATATCGCGTCGAGTTCATCGCTGCTGCTGCTGCTTCTCAGTTGCTGCAAGGTCGGTCAGGCAGTGATCCAGCAATTTTTTATTTCGCCGCACGAATAGAGTTTGGTTGTTATGTAAGGGATTAGTAATGATATCTACCCTCACTTCACTTCACCACTTCACCACTTCACCATCAACACCTTCTTACCATCATAACAACTACTCCACAGTATAGACAAGGCTGATATTCATTATAGAAGACGATGGCGGACTTTGGAGGTATCTACTCTTCTTCTCTCTTACTTGTATCTACTCTCACACTCGCAGGCTTCCCGCCCATCCTCTCGCTCTTCTACACCACCTTCCATCCTACCGAAGGTGCCAAAGTGCTCTTCCAGGTATCCCTCTACTCCTCTCCTCTGTTCTCTATCCACCCGCTAAGAAGTATTCAGGTCCCCCCCGGCAGCGTCGTCAAAACCTCCGACCCCGCCGCCCTCGCATCCCCCCTCTTCGACTTCGACTCCATCAACTCCTACCTCATCCCCCGTCCCCAGCTCTGCAACAAACTGCTCACCCTCCGCGTGAACCGGTTCCGCATCGTCAGCCACCCGGTCCACATCTCGTCCTCGGTCTACCCGCGGAACTCGTTCCTCTTCAACTTCTGCTTCGTCTTTGACCAGGCCGCTGATGTCGCCGCGTACCTCCCCGTCGTGCGCAAGCTCGCGAAAATGTTCCGCGCGCTCGAGCTCCAGGACCGGTTTCTTTCCAACCTGACTCCCGAGTCCGACACCCTCCGCGCGGTCGTCGACCAGGTCTTTGAAGACCTCAACAACTACTGCGAATGCTTCATCCCGCTCGACGACGACTCAAACTCAATCAACATCAAACTGTTCCCGCTGCACCCACCCCCGCCAAACATCAGATCCTTCCACGTCCCGATCTCGACCGTCCGGCTCCGCCAGCTCATGGACGTCAACTGGGACCCGACGATGGAGAAAATCGTCGACCACATCGACGGCATCAACTCCGTCCGCCGGATCGCCGCCATCGCAGACACAGACTACGACCTCACCCGCCGCTGCATCCAGCACCTCATGTACTACAACTGCGTCATCGTCGTCGACATCTTCCAGTTCTCAAACCGCTACGCCGTCACCGCCGATATCTCCGCGTTCGTAAACGACCCTTCGATCGCAGCAGAATGCCAGTCCTACGTCGCCGCCCCTCCCCTTCGGCACCCCTCCTCCGCCGCCTCTGCTCTAGCAGGCCTCCTCCTCCGCCGCCCTTCCGCAGCAGCAATCTCCCCCTCCTCCTCCTCAACCTCCTCCTCCTCCCCCTCCTCCTCCGTCGGCTCCCGCTCAAACCTCCCCTCCACAACCCGCAAACGCAACGCATGCGACCTCCTCGAACTCTACTGCTCGCTTAACAACGGTCTCTCTGTAAAAGACTGGTACTTGGCTAACCGCGACAGTCTCCGCGGCATCGACGTGCGGCGGTTTATCTCGTTTGGGATTATAAAGGGGTTGATATACAGAGTAAATTCCTACCCCATCCTCGAGCGGGGTGGTAAGCCTGCTGCCCTACAAGATCTTCTCAGCGGCAAGAGCACTATCAACAAAACACCCGGATCACCGACTATCTCCCTCGACGAGCCGCTCTCGGCTGATGATACAGCACCTGTTGACCCCGTCGTCGAGCGAAGATTGAGGAAATTGAGTCGTAGGATTAAACACTTTGACGACATCTGTACCGATCTTCAGGTTTCCCGCGAGCAGGTCCTAAACACTCTCAAACGATACGGCGAGGTCTCTCTCATTCACGCCTAACTCTTCTTTTTCTTCTATATTTGTATTCATCATGTCTCAGCTTTTGTATTTTTTTGTATTCCTGTATCACGGAGTTTGGAGTATCATAATAACATCTATCCCCTCGCCCAATACGACACCTCCCCCCTCTCCCCCGCCTCCTCTCCCGCCGCCATCTCCTTCGCAACAACCTTCTCCCCCTTCCCGCCACTATTCAAACTCGCCGCCGCCGCCGCGTTCTCCCCCGCGCTCGCCCCGCCCTCCATAACAACCTGCTGCACATGCATCTTCTGCTTCGCCCGGTCCCGCATCCGCTCCTCGATCGTGCCCCGCACTAGCAGTCTGTACACCGTCACCTGCTTCGTTTGGCCGAGGCGGTGCGCACGATCCATCGCTTGCGAATCAATCGTAGGGTTCCAGTCCGAGTCGTAGAAGATCACCGTGTCGGCGGCGGTAAGGTTGATGCCCAACCCGCCCGCGCGCGTCGACAGCAAAAACACAAAGAGCTCGGGCTTGGTCTGCCAGTCATTCACCAGGTCGCGGCGGTCAGACAACTTCGAGCTGCCATCCAACCGCACGTACTTGTACTGCCGATACGACAAAAACTCCTCCATCAGATCCATCATCCGCGTCATCTGGAAATAAATCAGCACCCGGTGATCATTCGCCTTCAACTCCGTAAGCAAGCTGTCCAGCTTCAAAAGCTTGCCAGAGTCAGTCACAAACTTCGACATCGGCGGCACCCGGATCGGCGAAAACCCAACCACCTCGCTCGACGGCTCCGGAAGAAGCTCACCAGGCGGCATCTTCGCCCCCGCGTTAAACAGCTCGATCTCGCCGTGCGCGCTGCGCGGGAACATCACCTCCGCCAACGGCCTGCAAAACAGCACGTCATGCCACGCGTTCGCGAACCCGCGGTCGCCGGGACATAAAACCTCGGTCGGAGGCGCGACGACGTGAGGGTCATACATCGGCGGGAGTCTGTGCATTTTCTTGTCGCGCGTGTATTTGTGCGAGATTTCTGCGAGCCCGAGCATGTGGTTCGTCGTCGTCATTTGTAGAAGTGGTTTGGTGGAGTTGGTGGAGGTGATTAGTAGCATTCGGTGCGCGGGGTCGTAGCTTGCTGCTGCTGCTGCTGTAGTTGAGGAGTCGTACTCGAGTGAGTGCCAAACGAACGGCGGTTTCTCGTGCTCTGAGATTGACCTCGTCACGATATCAGAGTGGAACGCGCGCGCCACGTCGTTCGCGCTCGCGTCCACAAACTTCAACCATGAAAATGCTTTGTCTAAACACTAGTTAGTCTCCCACTCATACTTCCTACTTCAGAAGAAAAAAGTACTCACTCAAATCCTCATTCTCGTGGATATAGTCCGCCTCCCAGATATTAAACAAATGATCCAAATACCGCCCTCTGAACCCCGCCCGTCCGTTCCTCCCGACGACATAATCAAGTCCGTCGTGATAGACCAGCCGCGGAAGGACGTACTCGACCAGGTTATGAATGCAGTACTGCACATCCAGCACATTCCCCTCTCTCAAGAACGACCCTGTTCTCGCAAACCGGCTCAGCGCAAGCGGCGACCGCGTATCCGACCGCTCGAAAAGGTCGGGGTGGTTGCATACCTTGCGGAACTGCATCACGAGGTTCATCAGGTTCTGAGTGCTCGTGCTGTTGTTATTGCTGCTGCTCGCGCCGTTCTGCGAGTCGTCGAGCGCTTCGGCTTGGTCCATTAGATCGTCAATCTTAATCTGCGCTTTCAACGCCCGATACATTTCCCGCTGGCGATACGTGAGGTCGCAGAACACGTCGATCTCGATCTTATCCCCGAGCTCGGACTGCACGTGTTTCTTCACCCGCCGGAGCATGAACGGCTTGAGAATCATATGTAGTCTCTTGAGCTGCTCCTCGTTCAGCTGCGTGTTTGACGTCGCGTGCGACTCAATGTCTTTGGAAAACCACTCTGAAAACTCGTCGTGCGAATCAAACAGCGTCGGCATGATGAAGTGCAGCAGCGCCCAGAGCTCCTGCATCGAGTTCTGGATCGGCGTGCCGGTTAGCAGGAGGCGGTTGCGGCACTGGAATCCGAGCAATGACTTCCACCGCGTGGAGGAGGAGGATTTGATTGCCTGTGCTTCGTCAAGGATCATGTACTGCCATTTAATCCGTTGGAAGTACTGCGCGTCCGCGACAATCAACTGATACGAGGTGACAAGAACATGGAACGGTGCGTCGCGCGTATACGTCAGCTGCTTGCGATCCCAGAACTTTCTCAAGACCTTCCGATCTTTTGCGTTTCCCCAATACGGCAGCGCCTTGAAATCCGGCACGAACTTTGAAATCTCCTGCTGCCAATTATGCAGCGTCGACGCGGGCGCAATGACCAGGAACGGACCCCAGATGTTGTGCACTTCGGCGAGATAGGCCATGACCGAGATACTCTGCACGGTCTTGCCGAGGCCCATTTCGTCAGCGAGAATGCCGTTGATGCCTTGCTCGTAGAGATTCACGAGCCAGTTCAGACCTTTAAGCTGGTAGCCCTTGAGTGCGCAGGACAGCAGCTTTGGCTGCTCGATCTCGAGGTTGCCGAACGTGGTCGGGTTCTGGAAATTCATCTCGCCCGTGTCCGCGTCCACATCTGTGTCGACTGCCGCGGCAGTCTTTCCCGCGTCGAACGTCTTTGCGCGGTTCTGCGCCGAGACTACGGCCGAGTGCGCGTTGTGCAATGCCGCCTGGCGCAGGTCCTCGTCCGCGGCAGCGTCAAAGTCAAGCTCGGAAATATCCCGCTTCTGCGCGTCTTTAATCAACTCTGGCGCGGCCTCGTCCGATCTAGATGGAGTGCTTGACGCAGGCTTCGACACAGCATCATCCGAAGCGGACTCGGCCTCGATCTCATCAGTCTTGATCTTGCGCCCGATAAAGTGAGAATAAAGCTCGGTCTGGGTGATGAGAAAGTTGAGTTTCCTCGCCTGCCGTCTAGCTTCGCGCGCTTCCTCTTCCTTCTTCGCCTTATCCAACGCTTCCTTCTCCGCGCGCCGACGCAGATCCCGTTCCTCGCGCTCGTTCCGTTTCCAATACACGAGCATCTCGCGCATCGCCCGACGCGCTTTAGCTTGCAAATCCTTGACGTTCTTGTTTGTGCGGAACTGCCAGCGCCGAGCCTCTTTAACAGCCAGCTGCGCCGTCTTGCGCGCGTTGTTTTGCTTGATCGAGACCGAAGACGAGACGATGCGGGCCACGCGCGGGATATCCTTGCGCGCAATGTCGCGCCAGATGGTGTCGTACATTGTCGTGTATGATTTCTGGTACATTTTGACCTCGCGCGCGCTCGGCATCGCGGGGGTGGAGTCCGCTTTTGAGGACTTTTGCTTTGATTTCTCAGTGGTGGAGTCGTCTTTGGATTTGTGGCCTTTTCTGCGGGAGGACGGGGGTTTGGATGAGATCGTGAGTTTAATGCGGGAGCCGTTTGTTGCCGATTTCTCTTTTTTGGCGGTCTCGTCGTCCTCCTCGTCGTCTTCATCTTCATCATCCTCGTCCTCGTCCTCGTCCTCGCCGGCACCATTAAGATCAATGTCTTCTATATCATCATCCTCCTCATCGTCCTCCTCATCTTCATCGTCCTCATCGTTATCAGCCGCGTCAGGATCATCAAGCGCACGCTTGCTTGCGAGCGCCTTTGCCTGCTGCCGACGCCTAGCTGCCGCAATCGCCGCTTTCGAGCGCGGCTTTGCGCCGTTCTTCGCCGACGCCGACGCGTGCTCATCGAGCGCGGCAGCCGCGCGGTGCTTCTTTGATCTATCCGAAGACGCGATCGCGGCGGCGGACGAAGAAGTCGCTGCGGAGGCGGCGGCTTTGCGGCGCTGTTTTTGCGCGCGGCGGAGGTTCCGCTTGCGTTCGCGGTCGGCTTCGGCTTCGTCGCGGAGGACGAGGGCCATTGCTTCGTCGTGGAAGAAGGAGTGGGCTTGAGCGCGGCCGCGGGAGGTGGCGGAGTGCAGACGGGAAAGGAGGTGGTGCTGGAACGCGAGGGAGTGACGGAGGCGGGAGCGGGCGGCGACGGCGGAGACGAGGTCGAGGCGGCGGTGGAGGGAGGAGAGGTAGAGGTCCTTGTCGTGGGCGAGGGCGGCGGAGGAGGAGGAGGATGAGGAGGGAGAGGAGGATGAGGAGGAGGAGGAGGAGGAGGCGATTGAGGCGATTGAGGCGGCGGAGTCGGAGTCGTCAGAGGACTCGGTCTCGTCGGGGTCGCGAAGGGAGGGGCGGTGAGCGCGGGTGGAGCGGCGTTTGGAGGGAGCTTGCGAGGAGGAGGGAGGAGGAGAGGAGACGCGACGGGGACGTTTGCGGGAAGGAGGAGCGGAGGGAGGAGGGTCGTCGGTGTTGAGGAGGGCGGAGATCGACATGGCCGCGCGGGGGGTCTGTCTTGTTAGTTGAAGAAGAAGGTGATGATGATGATGATGATGATGATAAATATAAAGAAACACACCTGATCAGCCATTGTAGAGATTAATTGAGGATGACCAGCGATTAAACAGCGCTGATTAGAGAATGAAGAAGAGAAGAAGAAGGAAGGAGGCGGGTCTGTGACAAAAGGGATTGGACGACGATGATGCGCAGAAGTGGACGAGTGCGGCTGCTGACTGTCCTTCTATCTTAACTACTTACTACTTATATCTACTTATAACTACTTATATCTTATATATATATATACAGTATACAGTATACAGATACAGATGGACTCATTCCTAGCAACAGCAGCAAGAAACCTCGGCCTTCTTCTTCCTCTCGAGAAAGAGACGCGGATCGAGATTGTTTCCTACGCCTCGTCGCTGCCTGATGCTGCTTCTGCTGCCACTTATTTCCAGGTATCTTCTATCTTTCTTTGTATTCGTGCTGTTCTTGAATGATTCTGATGTGTTTAGGAACTACTTGGAGATGCACCGGGTGTAGTCGAATTCATCGAAGGCTTCTGTTCTCGTCGGTGGTCTTCTTCTTCTTCTACTCCTCCTCCTCCTCCTCCTCCTACCCCCCCTCCACAGAAATCAAAGACAACACAAAAGCAGAAATCAACACAGAAATCAACGCAGAAATCAACACAGAAAGCCAGCATCTCTCAACTTCTCGCATCAGCGCAAACTAAATCCCTCTCAAAAAATACCATCTCTTCGTCTCAGAAGACCTCATCTTCTACATCTGCGCCTACTCCTCATACAGTTCACCATCCGTATGTCTCTCTATTACATGACATATCTCCTCACTTACTAATAACTTTTCTTAGAACCGCCGACAAACAACTTACATCCTCCGCCCTCGACAAAAAACCCCCACCAAAACCCTCCTCCTCAATCAAATCCGCGCTGAAAGAGTCCTCCATCAAACTCAAGTCTCTCCACGACATCGACTCCGCCCTCCGCCAACTCGAGTCCTCCTCCTCCTCCGCAACCCACCCCTGCAACTGCCAAGCGCAGCGGCATCCGCTGCTCGAAGTCGCGCCGAACTGTCTTAATTGTGGAAAGATCATCTGTGTGAAAGAAGGGCTTGGGCCTTGCTCGTTTTGTCATACGCCGCTGCTGACGGCGGATGAGTACGCCGCTATCGTCACTGAACTCAAGCAAGAGCGCGGGAAGTTGAAGACCGAGATCCATAACGACCAGCAACGGGCAAAGAAATCCTCCAAATCAACCCAGATCTCAAAGACCTACTCTGGCTCCGCAGGCGGCCAACCCCATCTCTCCGCCTCTCCCTCCCCTTCCCCTTCTCCTTCTTCTACAACACCCCTCCCCGGCCTCGAACAAGCAACAGCCCAACTCCAAAACCTGCTCCACTTCCAATCCACCTCCGCCCAACGCACCCGCATCATCGACAACGCAGCGGATTTTGACCTGCCCACCTCCTCCTCTTCCTCAGACAAATGGCTGACCCCCGTCGAGCGCGCCTCTCTAATCAAGCGTCAACAGCGCACATTGCGTAAACTACGCGCGAGCGAGAATAAACGCAATGGAAGGGGGAGACGCGTGGTGTCTATTGATTTGAAGGGGAATAAGTTGGTCGTGGGCGATCATTCAGAGACGGATTATTCGTCTGACGAGGATGATATTGAGGAGGAGGATGAGGTCCAACATATCAAATCCCAGACTGGGTTTGTGGAAAAGATATGGGATCCGGAGTCTACTACCGACAGCTTCATAAAGCCTGTCTATTCTACTACTTCTTCTTCTTCTACTACTACTACTAAAGGAAAGAAGAAAGACGCGACTCCTCTTGCTGTCAAAGAGTATCTCGACTCTGAGGTCTCTCTATCATCCAACCCCATCCGCATCCAGGATGATGAATAGAGATAGTATTTATCCGCATCCAGGATGATGAATAGAGATAGTATTTATCCGCATCCAGGATGATGAGTAGAATAGATGAATAGATAATAGATGAATGGATAATAGATAGACAGATATATAGATATCACTTACTTTTATTATCAATCATATACATGCGAAACCCTTTTTGATACAACACAACATACAAGTTCCTTTCTCTCCCTCTAAGCCTTAATAGTCGACGCCGCCCGCAGAGACGAAGCCCGTCTCTTCTTAATCTCAGCCCGCTTGGCCTTACCCTCGCTCACACGCTTGGCAAGCAACTGAGCGTACTCAGCAGCAGCCTCCTTCTGAGCCTCGGCCTGCTTGATCTTGAGCGCATGAAGACGACGCTTGCGCTGCAGGGTCTGGGGAGTAACCAGACGCTGGATCTTGGGCGCCTTGGTGTACGACTTTCCGTTCTTCTCAATCGTGCGGCGGACAACGTACTTGCGAACGTCGTCCTCCTTGGTCAGACCCCAGAACTTGCGGATCTTTGACGCACGCTTGGGTCCGAGACGCTTGGGGGCCTCGGTGTCGGTCAAGCCAGCAATGTCGGACTCGCCCTGCTTGACGATCGCGAGCGAGAGCACGGCAAGGTCGTTCGCGACAATGCAGCCACGGACGGACTTGCGCTTGCGCTCACCGGTGCGACGGGGACGGTAGCAAGACACGCCCTTGGTGAGAAGAAGGCGGACACGGGACGGGTGCATGACTCCCCTGTTGTTGTTAGCCACTCCTTCTTTCGTCCTCTAAATCAAGTCTAAATCAAGATATCGGCCACATACTGCTTCATGGGAAATCCCTGCTTGTCGTTTCCTCCGGTGATCTTGAACAGATATCCCTTGAACTCGTCGCCGACGCTGTCGCCCTCGACTTCCTGGCCGATGCGCTTCTCGAGGAAGACGTGAGTGCGACGCTCATCGTCAATCTCAATCAGCTTTTGTGTGCCGTTGGCGGGGTAAGAGATGTTGAGCTATAAGCTGTTAGTATGATCTTCCTGTGATAATACCACAATCATCATCAATATCAGTTACCTTCATGTTGTGTGTTGTTGTCGAAGAAGCAAACTGCTGGCGGCGATGTTGAACGTTCGTGACTTCGCTCAGTGAACATCAGCGGCGCTGAGTCGTCGGCTCAGTCTGATAGCAGTCACGCAGTGTAGGGTTGAGCCCTACAGTCACGTGCTCATTAATGTCAGCGTGTGGGTGTTGTGTGCTCATCACGTGATACTCATCTCCCAATTTTCAGTTCCTCTCTTTATGTCCTGATATCCTGATATTGTCCTGATATCTGTATTCTTCCTATATTCTCTTCTTATAATAGGTATCTAAGGATGTTCGCGGACTCCCTCGCGGCCTCCCCCGACCTCTTCGCCCGCGTCCTCCCGAAAGTCTTCCTCGACAAACACCTCGCCCTCGACCCTCCCCTCCGCCCTTCTCTCCGCCCACCGCTCGCCTTCCGCGACTGCAAAATCAACACTGACGCGATCCCAAACACCGTCGGCTCGGCGGTGGTTCGCATGGGCGATGCCGTCGCCATCTGCGGCATCACCGCCTTCGTCCACGACGCTCCTTCCTCCTCCTCCTCCTCCTCCCCCCCAACGCTCTACACAAACATCGATCTCGTCGGCAGAGGATCTTCCCCCCCGCTGCCAGAGTACATGGCCCTCTCGCACTCCATCTTCGAGGCCGCTGCTGCTGCTCGTCTCTATGATCCCGCGCAGCTCCGCATCAACGACTTTCAGACTCTGGTTCTCCAGGCTCAGATCCAGCTGCTCAGTCCAACCTGCCAGGCTGACGTAGCCTGGGCTGCTCTCGTCTCTGCCCTCCGCTCTACTCTACTTCCCACCATCCTCCCTTCTGATGACACTGATATCAACAACAACGACTCCGACCCGCTCTTTTCATCTACACAGACAACTCCTCTCCTCCTCTCCCCCTCATACACCTCCTCCCTACCCTGGTGCATCAACTTCGGCCTCGCCCGCGACAACCTCATCCTCGCAGACATCGACGGCAGAGTCGAAGATCTCTCCATAGACTCCCGACTAACCCTCATCCTCTCTGCAACCACCGACGACGACAGTCTCATCTCTGTCTCCCTCTCCTCCGGCTCAAACGCATTCACTAAACAGATCGTCAAGCAATGCGTCGACCTCGCTCGCTCTCGCGCTGCTCAACTTGATCGCATCCTACTCAGTCAAATATAGCTGTATATTATCTTGTTATCTTGTACTATATCTAATCATCGCATCGCATCACTATACTCTCTCCCTCAACCTCTTCCCCACCTCCACATACTTCCTCAACCGCCCAAAATCAGCAGCTCCCCCCCTCTCCGGCAAAAACCCCCCAGAGAAAATACAATGCACGCTCATCTTCTCATGAAACGTCAAGTCCGGCAGCAACTTTGGCGTAATCAAAAAATACTGACTCGCGTTCTCCGCACACGCAACCTCAACCATCCGCCTGTGCACCATCCTCTCGTTCCGCGGATCCATCCCCTGGTTGATCTCATCCACCACCCTGAACGGCGCCTTCGTCACGCACTGCAGCGCCATCAGGTAGAAAATCGTAGACACAGACCGCTCGCCTCCCGACTGTCGCTGATGCGTCAACAGCTGCAACTGCTCGTTCTCCCGGAACCGCACTTTGATATCAATCCGCCATTTCTCGTAATCCTCCTCATCCTTGCCCACCCCGACCGTCCCCGCACATCCAATCGACCGAAACGCCTCTGCGAACTCGTCCGAGATCCGGCCCACAAGCGCATCAAGCTCTCGCTCCCACCCGCTCCGAATCTCTCGGATCCGCGCTTCAAGCTCCGCGACTTTGCCGCTCCCAATCTCGACTTTCTCCCGCAGCTTTGCAATCTCCCGCGCTCGCCGCTCGTACGTCTCGAGCACATGCGCGTTCCCGCTAAAGATCTGATTGAGCTGTTCGTCTACTCGCTCGGTCTCGGCTTCGATCTCTGAGCGATCGATGCGGTTCTCGTCAATCATGTATTCCTCCACCAGCGCGTGATCTTCCTCCGACAGAGACGCCAGATGCTCCATCAGTCTATCTTTCTCTTGCACCGCCCTCTGTCTCAATTCTCTCGTGATCTCCCTCTCTGCATATCGTTAGTCTCACTCATACTATCAAAAACAAAAAAAGTCGACTCACGCGCTTGCACCGCCGCCTGCACCTCAACCAACTCCCTATTCGCAACCTCAAACCGCTCATTCAGCACCTCATAATCACTCTTCCCCTTTTGCTCCGCAACAATCCTCCCCACCAACCCCACCTGCATCTTCGCAACCTTCCTCGTCTCCTCCACCAACTCAACCGCAAACCTCTCTCTCTGCCCCGCAATCTCCTCCAACTCCCGCTCCCGCTCCCGGATCCGCTCTGCAGTACTATCCGGCGCCTGCTCAAGCTCCTGCAGCTGAAACACGAGGTCATCCAGCTTCGCCTCCGTGCTGTTGTACTTCCTCTTCAATCCCTGCCATTCCGTAAGCGCGCTCTGGATCGTATTCTTCTCTGCATCCACCGCCTTCCGCATATCATTAAACTTCCTCATCTGCGCGCGCTTCTCCTTCGTCCGCTCCTCCGTCTCTGACCTCTTCTGCTCCCTCTCCTTCAGCCGCTCCATCAACCGCGTCTTTTGCGCCTGATCAACCCCCCCGCTCACCAGCGCGACCGGACTCCCGATCTTCTGGTTCGACTTGAGCAGCTCCCTGCTCCCGTACGCAGACTGCTTCACGTAGATCGACTGCCGCCCGCTGATATACTTTTGAATCAGCGGCGCCCCGTCCGCGCGCTTCGCCGCGTCCACTTTGTTCACCTGCGCAACGCTCAATTCGCGCCGGCTGAACGCGACCATGTTGATCGACGAGGTGTGGTACAGCATGTTCATCACCGCGTCCGGCGCCTCGATCAAATCGCTCACGACGCACTCAAACCCGAGACTCTTCAGCTTATTCTCATCCATCAGCCGGCCCCACGACTCCAGCCTAGGGCGATCGGATTTAGAGTACTCCGCCACCGCGACCGACAGCTTGTTCTCGTCCTGCACGTGTTTGTTGAACAACACATAATCCTCGCGATTCATGCACGTAAACGTCAGCAGCGTGTTGCGCTTCGCAACCGACTCCACCGCATACGTCAGACTCGCGTCTTTCACCCGCAGGCTCATAATCGGCGGCTCGTAAATCTCCTCCTTGAACAGATTCTTGTTCTGCCTCAACCACTTGATCGCCTCCCACGTATCCTTGTCGATCTTCTCCACCCGCGCAAGCCGCTGCACGTCCACGCTGTTCAGACTCGTAAGCTGCTTCTTGAGATCCTCGACCTCCGCCGTCGCGCGCTTGTTTTCTTGATCAAACGAGTTGGCCTCGTCGCTGATCTTTGTTCGTTGCTCTTCAACCGTGCGCAGCTTCTGCCGCGCCTCTTTCAACTTTGCCTGCAGTTCCTCGCCCGTCTTCTCATCCGGCTTATTCTTCAACCTCTCCCTCGCCGCGCTGATATCCTTCTTCAGATCTTGGATCTTGGTCTTTGTTTTCTCGCGCTCCTTCCCGATCGATTTGATCTCAGACTTCTTGGCCTCCACCTGCGTGTTGAACTCGTCTTTCTTGCTGATTTTCGCATCTAGCTTCTTCATCGCTTTCGAAACCGCAAGCTTCTGCCGTTCAACCTCCGCTCTGAACTCGTCCAGCTTTGTCTTTGCCGCATCCCTCAACTCCCCTGAAGGTCCCGTGCGCGCCTCGAGCTCGTCCTTGATCGCCTTCAACCTTCTCCCCTCCTTCTTCGCCTCAGTCCCCTTACTCACCGCCTCCTGCATCACCGCCGCCGGCAGGATATTCTCAAGGTACTTCCTGCGCTCCTGCAACTTTGCGCGCTGCTGAAACCGCTCTACCTCCTCACGACTCCGCTCCTGCACCTGCACCAACTTCTCCAACTCCTTCTCGTTCGCACTACTGCTCCGCGCGAGCGCAGTGTACTCGTTCTGCAACTTGATCAGCTCTTGGTGCTGCGAGAGCATCTCCGCGGACCCTGTCGCGCGCTCGGTTTCTTGGAGAAGAAGTTGCGGGGACATGTGCGCGAACTCGGCGACTTTGTCTTGGGGGAGGAATTGGCAGAGATTGTCGATCTGGATCGAGAAGGAGTCTGTCAGGTCTTTGACCGCTCTAGCCGTCGTGTGTTTGCCTACTTCCATTAGTCTCCTCTTGTTCAAAATGTAAATAGAAAGAAGTAAAAGTAGAAGTCATACCATCAATGTTCCATTCAGACCGGTTGTCGGAGAATATCGTGCGCTCGATCGTTCGATTAGGCTCACCCGCGTGTCCTTTAATCTCAATCAAGATCGTGCCGCGTTTCTTGCCCTGCTTCACAAACTCGCCAATGTCCTTCGCCCGGCCGAGTAACTACACTCATCTCCATTAGCCCTCTCTTCACTTCCTCAATGTAAAAGTGCACTGTAGTGTAAAGGTACTCACCTCCGGCTTGCCCCCCAGCCCCAGCGCAATCGCGCACACAAGCGTACTCTTGCCCGTCCCGTTCGGCCCAATAATCATATTCATACTCGGCCCAAGCCAAAACACAACATTCGAATACGTCACGAAATCAACCAGCGCAACCCGCACAATCGCGCCCGGCGCGTGCCCGTCGTTGTTGACGCGCTCGTCAGGAGGGTCGAGACTCACGCGCCGTCGCTTCGACGCGACTTCTTTCATTCCTCTTTCTTCTTCATGATAGAAATCCGTGTCTTCGTCACTCTGCTGCTTTCGTACAAAAGCCATCGCGTTCTACTCTTCCTGTGCTGCTGCTGCTGCTGCTGTTGATACTTCTGCTGCCGGTAATCAGAAGCAGAGACGCGACCACCTCCCCTTCCCAGGTCACATGACATTTCACGTGACATTTAAAATAAACTTTAAAGACACCCGAATTTGCAGCTCTTTTTGCTCCCAAATTTTCTGATCTTCGTTTCTGCTTTATATCCTCAGAAAGACAGTAAAGAAGACTAGAAGACTAGAAGACTAGAAGAAAAGATACAGCAAAGAGAATGTCGTCGAATTCGATAAAGCTGCTTGCGGGAAACTCGCATCCTGAGCTGGCGAAGCTGGTGAGCATGCGGTATGTCTTCTTGCCTTGTTCTCTGCTTATTAGAAGAGGTTGCTAACCGGTGCCCGGATCTGCTGTCTTTCTCTCTTCTTGTTGCTGTGTTTTTGTTTGTAGGCTGTTGTTACAGTGCAGAAACACAGCTGGAAGAGAGAGACAGTCGGGCTTGCAGACTCGGAATCGAGCTCGCGAAAATCGCAGTCTTTCAATACTCCAACCAAGAGACCTCGGTCACCATCGGCGAGTCTGTTCGTGACGAGGATGGTACTATTCTCTCTATTACGCTACTTAATCTACACGTCTAACACCATCTCTAGTCTTCATCCTGCAGACCGGCTGCGGCGAGATCAACGACAACCTCATGGAGCTCCTCATCATGATCAACGCCTGCAAGACCGCCTCCGCGCGACGTATCACCGCCGTGATGCCCAACTTCCCCTACGCGCGCCAGGACAAGAAAGACAAGTCGCGCGCGCCCATCACCGCAAAACTCATGGCAAACATGCTCCAGACCGCGGGCTGCAACCACGTCATCACAATGGACCTCCACGCGTCCCAGATCCAGGGCTTCTTCGACGTCCCCGTCGATAACCTCTACGCCGAACCCTCGGTGCTCAAGTACATCCGCGAGTCCGTCGACTACGCCAACGCCGTCATCGTCTCCCCCGACGCCGGCGGCGCGAAGCGCGCGGCTGCGCTCGCAGACAGACTCGACCTCAACTTTGCGCTCATCCACAAGGAGCGACAACGCGCAAACGAGGTCTCCCGCATGGTCCTCGTCGGCGACGTCGCGGGCAAAGTCGCCCTCCTCGTCGACGACATGGCCGACACCTGCGGCACCCTCGTCAAAGCCGCCGAGACCCTGACCACCCACGGCGCCGTCGGCGTCGTCGCCATCGTCACCCACGGCATTCTCTCCGGCAAAGCATGCGAGCGCATCTCCGCCAGCAAGCTCACCCGCGTCATCTGCACAAACACCGTCCCGCACGACGACAAGAAGCTCATTTGCCCGAAACTGGATACAATCGACATCAGTCCGACCCTGGCCGAGAGCATACGTCGGTTGCACAACGGCGAGAGCGTGTCCTATCTCTTCAACCATGTTCCTTTGTAGTTTCATCTTTAGGCGTTTGTTTTGTTGATCTTGTCTGTAATATTTTTTTTTATTCTTTTGATTCTTTTGTAATATTGGTGCAATAAACTTCCCTACTATAAGTATTCCATATATATCTACATTTATATGATCATCTTTGCGATGCTCTCATGTCTGTGTTATAATTTATGATCTTCTTGGTGCAATAAAACTTCTCCATTTCTAAATAAATATATATAGCTACATCTAAGCATTTTATATGATTATCTTTGTGGTACTTCAATGAATGTTGTAATATTTCATTTGTTATCTTCTGGGAAACTTTTCTTATATCCTATAGCTATCTAAGCATTGACAAGCGCAATTCCAGGCGTACCAGGCACCGCCGCCTCCGCCTCCTTCGCAAACGCAATCGGCGCCTCCTCTCCCGACAGAATATTCTTCGCGCTCGCGCTTCCCTCGGAGAGCACATACGCCTCAATACTCTCGCTCCCGACACTGCGCTGCAAGATCGGCAGCGCAGCACGCACGGTCTCGACCTCGTCGAACGCAAGCTTGCGGTTGAACACCACCTCGGGCGATTCCTTCCCGCCCGTCAACCGGTACTTGAGATGGTTCACGAACGGCATCGAGCGCTTCATGTCGCCCAGCTTCTGCACCTTCTGCGTCAACTCGGGCGAGAACTTGAGACTCACAGAGTCAAACGCATCCCGCACAAGGTCGAGGTACTGCTCCTGCCAGCCCGGGTATGACAGCGCAACGTAGATCGTCAGCTTGGTGGGCTTCTTCGGGTCAAACGTCACCGCCTTGCCCTTCTTCTGCTTCTTGATGTTTGCGCCCTCGGTCTCGCGGATCGATCGCGACACGTCGCGCACGTACTCCAGCGCAGCCGTCAGCCCGTTGTCGATCTCCTTGCTGATCTTCGGGAACAGCGCAGATTGCACCGTCTCGGGCTTCTTCAACACCTCCAGCCACAGGTACTCGGCGAAATGCGGCGCAACAGGCGTCAACAGCAACGCCTGCGTCTCGATATATCGCACGACGAGGTCGCGGTGCATTCCGCCCTCGTACGAGGCCGCCTCGCGGTAGTAATCGCGCGCGGCCTGGAAATCGTACAGACCGGTCTTGATCGCGGCCTTGAAGTTTGTCAGCTTGTAGTTTGTCTCCGTGGCCTCGACCAGCACGTTCATCTCGTTCTCGAACGCGCGGTCCAGGAACGAGTCTTTCGAGCCCGTGCGCAGCTTGTCCAGGTTCTCCATCTGGTTCTCGCACCACTCGCGCATCGTGTACAGACGCAGGATCATCGCGTTCGCGTTGGCTTCGTCAAAGTTGGCGTCCTCGAACGTGTCGCCCGCGTCAGCCAGCGCGATGCGCGCGCAGTCGGCGCCAAACTTCTTGACAATCTCCTTGAGCGTCAAGAAGTTGCCCACACTCTTTGACATCTTCTCATTGTTGAGCAGCAAGTGTCCGTTCGTGCGCACGCCGCGCGGCCAGAATTGCTTGGGGAACAAAGCAACGTGGCAGTACAGGAAGAAGGTCAAGTGGTTGTTGATCAGATCCTTGCCGGAAACACGCACGTCGAGCGGGTAAAAGTACTCAAACTCGCGGCGCATCGCCGTCAGCGTCGCCTCGGGGATCGTCGTGTTCTTCGGGTACCCGGCCCGGCAGAACAAGTAGTCAAAGACCTCGTCCGTCATCTGGTCGACGCCGATGTCACCCAGACCCCGCGTCTTGCCGTAGATGTCGCCGTGCAGGTAGTGCGCGATCGTGTAGTACGCCATGTAGACGGTCGAGTCCGACAACGACTCGACGAGGTACTGCTTGTCCCACGGCAGACGGGTGCCGAGACCGTACGAGCGCGCGCAGGCCCAGTTCTTGAGCCAGTCCAGCACTTTCTCAAACGCGTGGCGCGACTCGGACGTGTACGTGTTGATGTTGTTCAACAGCGACAGCGTCTGGTTCTTCCACTCCTCCTCGCCGTAGTCCATGTACCACTGGTCCTCGAGCGAGACCACGCACTCGTCGCCACTGCGCGACATCACAAGTCCCTCGGGCTCGTTGTAGACAAAGGCGTCGCCGGCCGCGATAAGGTCCTCCTTGACCTTGTTCTTGGCAACCTCGACCTTCTCGCCCTTGTACTTGCCGATGATCATGGTGCCCTGGTAGAAGGCATCCTTGTACGCAATCTCCTTGGCCTTTGCAAGCGCGTCCTTGTCTTTCGGCGACTGGATCTTGAGCTCCTTGACGAGCGCGACCGCAGTCATGTCGCCGTAGGTCGGGGTCGAGATGATTGGCACGGGGTCGAGCGACGCCCACTCCTTTTCGATTCCGTAGAACTCGGGCTTCTTGGCAAGCTCGGTGACGGTCGCGAAATCGTCGGGCGAGTCGGACGGCACGGAGGTGACGACGCCGGTACCCTTGGACGCGAGAATGGTGTCCATGGGCAACAGGCGAACCTCGGGGTAGACGCTCAAGGGCGCGTTAATGCGGGCGCCGATCAGAGTCTTGCCCGAGATCTCGGTGACGAGCTTGGCCTCGCCGCGCACGGGCGTGATCTTCTGGAACGCCATGTTGCGGGCGGCACGCGGGGTGCAGATGTAGTACTCGGTCTCGGAGATCTCGTAGAGGCCGTAGTTGATGTTGGGGCTCACGAAGCAGCAGGTCTGGCCGTACATGGTCTCGGGACGAAGGGTGGCGGCGATCAACGAGACGGTCTTGCCGTCGGGGTTGAAGGCGGCCTTGTCGAGGACCTCCTTTGCGGCCGCGGGCCACTCGAGAACCTTGATCTTGATGCCGGTGTACTCCTGCGGGTTGACACCTTCGCCGCTCTGTCGGTCGTGGTCCATACACGGCTGGCCGTCTTTAGGCGAGTAGATGGTGTAGCGGAGACCGAACTTGACGTGGTTGAGCGCCTTGAGCGAGTTCATCTGCCATCTGACGAAGGCGTCGTAGTACGGGTTCGCGTCGGTGGTGACGAAGCTGCGGCGCCAGTCGATTCGCGAGCCAAAGTCGTTGCAGTCCTCTTTGCAGAGCGGCGGGAAGAACTCGAGCCAGTAGGAGGAGTCGGCGAACTTGTGGACCTGCTCGCGCGGGATGCCGAGCTGCAGCATGATCTCGAACTGGTACTTGCCGCGGCCTTTCTTCGCGGCGGCTTTGCCTTTAGTCGCGCGGAACTTGGTCGGATCGGTCTTTGCGGCTGCGGCGACGACGGCTTCTTCTTCCTCGGGAGGGACGTTCTCGTCGAAGTTTTGTCCAAACATTTCGATTTCGCGAGTGAGTTTGTCGGCGCAGGCCTGAGAAGAGAAGAGTCAGATATACAGCAAGTGCGATAGGGGAAGAAGAGGATATATACCTTGATTGGCATACCAGTACAATGGAAGCCGAAAGGGAACAAGGCTCTCTTGCCCAGCATGCGCTCGAAACCGGCCTGGAACTCGACCTTACTCAAGGTATAAGCATGGCCGGCGTGCAAGACACCGTTCATGTAAGGATAGGCCATCATGCCCATGAACTTTGGGTATTTCTCCCACATCTCGGGCCCGGTTGTTCCGCTGCACTCGGCGAGCGTGGGCGGGTTTGTCTCAAACACTTTCTCGTCCTGCCATTTCTTTTGGTATTTCTTTTCATACGCAATCAAAGCGTCGCGTTTCTCGGTCTGGGGAAGAGTCAGAGGAAGAAGGGAAAAGAAGCAGTGATCGACTCTGTCGGCGATATTTACTCACGTTCTCCATCACCAGCGTCTTGGGCGCGGCGGCAGCTCCATTTGCAGGACCCATGATTGAAAGCAGCAAACAGAATAGCAGCAATTATTGTAGATATTTCTTCCGCAGTTGCCTGAAGAGGTGAAGCAGAAGCAGAAATTATTTTCCGAGGCCTGGTCTTAGGGTTTCAGTCACGTGCACTCGTCCTCTATAAAGCAGCGAGCTCTGCAAGTTTTCTCTTCTCTCCACGATGCTGCTCTTCCTCGTTCGACACGCAGGTAAATATGCCCCGATGAGCACACTGGACGAGCGCTAATCTGTCGTCAAAGAGTCGACGGACAACTACCGACGGCTCTACTCCGGCTCCGGGCGGGATGTTGACCTGACCGTCCACGGTGCGCAGCAGGCGCAGGCTCTTGGAGCACGGCTGAAGAAGGACAGGACGCCCGCGAGCAGGATCATTGTCTCGACCATGAAGCGCACGCGGGCGACTGCTGCGCCGATTGTGGATGCCTGGCCGGACGCGGAGGTGGTTTACTCGGACTTGATTGTCGAGCGACACTTTGGCGGCGCCGAGGGGCGGTCGGTGTTTGGTCTCGACAGAGAGCTGCTGCAGGATGCCGAGACCAGTAGTGCGCTGACGAGGCGCGTAGAGGAGTTTTATCAGACGATGCTCCTGCCTCTGCTGGTTGAGGACGCGGGCGATGTCGTTGTTGTCTCGCACGGGGCGACGACAGCGCAGTTACTCGCCGTCATCTTTGCGGATCTGCATGCGCGAGTAGCTGCGCCGCCGATGCTGGCCAACTCGTCATATCACGTTCTCGATATCGATGGTACTAACAGGAAGTTGCGGGGAGCTGAGTTTAACGTAGAGTCTCATCTGAGCGGTGTCTCGACCGCTCGAGCTGCTGGAGGAGTCAGCAACGCGAACCAAAGCCGGCTGGACTCTTTTTTCAAAAAGTAGCAGCGAGTCTGTGAAGTAAAAGGTATGTGCTGTCTTTGTTTGAGCAGTGCTGGATTGTATCTACATGATGAAAAAAATATTCACAGACCTGATCCGATGCTCTAAGCATTTGAGGATACTAATATTGCCTTTTCTGATTTAATGCAATCCAGCTGGTGCTTCTATTGTTGTTTTGCAGCAGTTACTAACGTGATGATAGGTTATGTAAGTGTCTTTACTGTATAAACAACTTGTAGCAATATATTCTGTTTTGATAATACATAAACTCCAAACTCCAAAAACAATAAGATCATAAACGCGTCAACTCCTCCTAAAACTGACGTCCTGCACCAACGGCTCCGGACGCGTACTAAACACAATCTTCTTCCTAATCACCTCCACAATCTCCACCGCCTCCCCGTCCGGCGCGCCATGCTCGCCCTTCCCGTCGTCCGTGATCTGCCGTCTGAGCAAACCGACAGGAGGTTTGAGATCCACGACCGCGCCCTCCATGCGCTGGTGGTTGCCGATGTACAGCCAGACGGTTGATTTCTCGAATACGAGGCGGCCGAGGGGGTCTGAAGAGGAGGAGGAGGTGGTGGAGAGGTGGAGAGTGCCTTGGATCTCGACGAGGGCGAGGCCGGAGGGGGTTTGGAGGACTTGGGGGAGGTTGGGGATGGACGAAGGGATGGACGGACGCGTCACTGAGAGGGTAGCTGAGGGCATGTGAGGTGCTGGTAGAGTGGTGATAATGAATAGCGAATAGTAGTGAATAGTGAATAGAACTGTTATCAATGACAATAGCAGATAATTGTAGAATGTAAAAGTGGTGAAGAGCAGTTGTGGATGTAAAATGAATAAATCGAAATAAATCCAAAAATCGAATTTAATCCTCAACTCAACTCAACTCATCGCCTCGTCTCCACCAACATCAACAACTCCTCCTCTCATCTTCACCACCACCACTCCAGCAACTACTCCAACACCTACTTCCTGCAATAGAAACACACACACACACACACACACAAAGCATGGCCGCGCTGGCTTCAATACTACAGCGCCTGCTCCTCGCCCAATTCGTGCACAAAGAAGGCGACTCCTCCTTCCCGCTCATCTCCAAATCCCTTTCTTCGCATCCGCTGCTGCGGGATTCGGGACTCAAGCCTATATCTGATAAAGTACGGGTTCGGTTTGTTTGGATTTTTCTTTTTATTTCTCTGTGGTTTTTTAGAACGTGCAATGGCTGACGGGGCGGGTGTAGGAATGCGAGGAGTTGTATAATGCCATGCTGAAAGCAGAAGGCCTCGAACGCCAACCCAGCACCGGCATCGGCGCCGACGTCGAACGTATGCTCTTCTTCAATCCTCCTTCATCTTCTACGACTAACAAAAGCATAGCCTCACCATCCGTCATCAAACTGACCGAACTCCTCTACAGCCGCTACCGCAAAGAGCTGATCCAGCAAGTCCGCCAGGACGAGCAGGATTACCGGAAATACCTGCGCGAGATCGAGGAGATTGGAAGAGGGGAGTGGGATACGCGGTTGCAGGATTTGGAAGCGATTGCGTTTCAGCAGACGCAGACGCAGGAAGATGAGGAGGACGAGGATGAGGATAAGGATAAGGAGAATGCGTCGCCGGCAGTTGTTGCTGAACCCGCGACGACAGCTACACCAGCAGCGGAAGCAGCCACCACACCAACAGCAGCAGCAGCAGCTACTGCAGAACAACCCGCCGACGCGCAAGACCAAGCAGCCTCACAAGCAGACGAGTTCGTCGACGCAAGAGAGGAATCCACCGGCCTCGAAGACCTCGAGATGAAAGATATCATGGACGACCTGCTCGCAGAGGACGCGGCCCAGCCACAACCTCCCCCACCGACTGACGACACGAGCACCAGCCAGACGCAAGAACAACCGTCGAGCTCGGCGGCCGGCGACGGAAGTTCAATGGCCGTCGTACCAAACGAATCTACAATCTCGATGCCAAACTCATCCACCGCAGCAGCAGACTCCTCATCCTCCTCTCAAATCCAAACCCCTCCCCAGCCACAATCAACATCCAACGCGGTCCTCACGGAAGAAGACCTCCATCTCGATCAATCCGCGCTCGACTCTGTACCTCCTAGCCTCGCCTCGTCTGATAAGCTGGGGGATGGCGAGCAAGAGGACGTCGAGATGGCTGACGCGCCGCCGTCGTCGTTTCCAACTTCTACCACGAAGACGCAGCAGCAGGACGTGCAGGCTACGAGCGAGGATATGGAGCGGACGGTGTCACCTGATGAACCACTTCAAGCTGCTGCTACAAAGCCTGAGATCGCAGCGCCTCAACCCGCGCAGATTCCACCCCCACCAGCACAACCTGAGCACACAGTCTCTACAGAAGAAGCCATCGCACCTTCAGAAGATCTACCCTCCCCACCACAACAACAACAACAACCACCCTCTCCATCACAAACCCCGCGCACAAGATCCTCAAAACCAGACACGACGACGACAACGCCCGCACTCCCCGCCTCCGTCGAAGAACTCAAGCAGCAGGAATTAGCACAGCAACAATCTAACGCGACGGATACGGAAGCTACAGAGTCGCTTGCGGATGAGGCGAATGAAGAGGTAGCTGAGGATAACGCGGGCGAGAGTAAGATTGAGGAGACTACGGAGGTTGTGGAGGATGTTGAGTCTACTGCTGATGCTGATGATGATGCTGCTGGTGAGGAGACTGCGGCGGAAGAGCCAGAAGTCGAAGCGCAAGCTGTGAAAGAAGAGCAGGAGGAAGAAGCTGTGGAAGAGCAGGAGGAAGAAAAAGAACAAGAAGAAGAGGAAGAGGAAAAGCCTAGGACGCGCCGCCAGCTCCGGGCGAAAGCAGAGGCAGAGATGGAGGTGGAGGCTGCGTCTGAACCTGCCGAGGCAGAGGCAGAGGCAGAGGCAGAGAACGAAGAGGCTGCAGAGGCAGAGGTGGAGGAAGAAGCAGGAGAGGAAGAAGAAGCAGAGGAAGAGGAAGAGGAGGAAGAAGAAGAAGAGGAAGAGGAGCCCAAGACCCGCAAACGCAAACACCAAACCTCCCCCCCCGCCTCCGACAAATCCTCCCCACCCCCTCAACAAGCACACCCACGCCCTCCACCCGCGCCCCGAACCGCAAGTTCCAAGCGCTCGTGACCCCTCTCCTCTCCAACATCTCCTCCAACCGCTCCGCCTCCTTCTTCTCCGCGCCCGTGTCCGAGAACGACGCGCCAAACTACCACAGCCTGATCTACCAGCCCACCGATCTGCGGACGATAAAGTCGATGGTCAAGGACGGGCGGATCCAGACGTCGAGTGAGTTGGAGAGGGAGGTGATGAGGATGTTTGCGAACGCGGTGATGTATAATTCGTGGGAGTCGGATATTAGTGAGTGGAGTAGGGAGATGCAGATGGAGACTGAGACTTTGATTGCTGTGTTTAGAGGCGCGGAGAGGAGGGGATTGAGCGGGACTCCGCAGCCTACGCCTGGGCCGGAGATGAAGAGGAGGAAGAAGTAGTGTTGAGTGTTGAGTGTACGATAGTGTATGATAGAGAATAAGAACTGAATTGGACTTCCTACTAATGAAGAAGAACGTTTACTACAGAAGCACTTGAACTTATCTCTAGTGGATAAGTCTACACATTCATTGAAACTTTTAATTGAAGATAATTACATGCGAACACATCATTGTACAATAATAGGATACATGATGAAACCTAGAATAATCCCATTTTATTTTGTATGACAAAAAGTAAACCCATCTATACAGAGTACATTTACTTTCTGGCCTGCATTCTGCGGACGTAGAAAGCAAGCTCGTCACCCTCCAAGATGTATCCGTCGCAGCGACCGCTCTGGCCAGGGCGCGAGGAGACGGCGGCGTAAAGACGACCGGCAGAGAACTGCGACTCGAGCGCGGGCGCGACCTTAGCGTTGGCCTGTCGGGCGGCCTGCTTGGCGGTCTTGGTCACAGCGGTCTCGTCCTCCTTCTTGGTTCCCTTCTTCTTGCCGAGAGTCTGGCCGTACTGGGCCTCGTACCACTGACGGAAGGGAGTGGCATCGATCTGGACAATAGCCGACTTGGTGAGGGTGTTGGTGCGGATAAGTTCGTTGTTGGAAGGATGGAAGGCGACGTTCAAGATTCTGGTCTTGCGCGAGATTCCCTCGGAACCCCACGAGTAGTTACCAGTCTCAACACGCAGAGCGCGGAACTTGGTGTTTCCACCCCGGGTGCGAACACTGTGGATGCGCTTGGCTCCTATAGATATTGTGTTAGTCGAGGTTTTTTCTTCTCTCCACATCAAAAGCAACAAGACACGAACCGATACGGGTGTTGGCGGGCTGACGTCCCAACTCGAATTTCCGCTTCTTGCGGTACGAAGCACGTTTGGCACCGGTGTGCGAGCGCTTGTGGCGCGAGTCTCTGGAGATACCCATGCTGAATCTGCTCTGGAGGATGAGTGTTAGGAGGAGTGTTTGCTAGTTTTCAACGACGACAATGCTGATTGAAATGAATAATCGAGTGATGCTGATCTGAGTATTGCTCGCCGCTGCTGTTTGAATCAAATAGAAGGGAATCCACGTACCTTTTGCTGTTGTCGAGAAAAGAGCTGGGTTTGGCTGGCTGGAGAGTGAACTGAGAAGGAGAGTCGAGCGCTTGAAGCCGGTTGCGATGACTGCGGACGCGGGTCGCTGAGCTGTGACTGCTTTTAACCCTACATTAACCCTACATCCACGTTCAGAACCCGTGCCCTGAAAATAAATGTCACGTGATATGAAATATTTGTCTTCGCTTGTTGCGCCACTGCAGAGAGAAGAAGAGCAGAACAAACAGTTATAGTAGAGAACACAGCAACAATGTCAATCTACGACCAGGTCGAGATCGAGGACATGCTCTACGACTCTGACCAGCAGCTGTTCACCTACCCGTGTCCGTGCGGCGACAAGTTCCAGATCACGCTGGTTGACCTTCTCGATGGCGAGAACGTGGCGGTCTGTCCGAGCTGCAGCTTGATGATTCAGGTTATTTTCGAGCCGGTGTGTATTCGTTCTTACTAATGTCTTGTGTGAGGAAGAGGTTGCTGATGTTGTGTGGTGTCTAGGAGGATCTTGAGGAAGTCGCTGCTGAGTCTGGATTGGAGGTGCCGGCGTCGCAGCAGGTTGCTGCCTCGGCGTGAGCGGTATTCTGTCTGTCTGCAGCGGTCTGCAGACGATAAAGAACAGTCATGCCGTTCTTAGTATCTGTTGGATATACGGTATGATACTGCACTCAAGCAGTTAGCAGTCAGCAGCCAGTAGTCAGCTAGCCGAGCCGAGACGGGTTGGTTCTCGTCCGACTTCTACGATGAGCACATGCTACATGAGTACATGCTACATGAGCTACAATGCACAGTGAACAATGCAGTCAATCACCGCAGCTTATTGATCGCTGAGTCTGCTCCAACAGTCTGAAAGCAGTTCGTGAACAACCTGCAAGCAATCTACAGGCTCCCGCTCTACGCTACGGCTCCACCAAGTCACTATCAACGTGCATCTACTCACACGCCCTCACAACATCAACAAAAGCTCATGGCGGTATTGGTTCTAAAAGTTCTCATTCCTTGTCTTTGTCTTGTCTTGTCTCGTTGAGTCTGCAGTGTATATATCTCCAAGAAAGTTCAATAGTGACGTCCTCAGGATCTCTAAACTCTAACGTAGCAACCAGGGTCATCCACCGCCGAGTGCCGGCCAGTCCAGCATCGTGAAGCGTAGTCTCAGACAAGCACAGTAAACAACAAGAGAAGAGTCACGAGAACGAACAACACGGCGGCAACGACGGAGAACCGGAGACGGAGAACCGGAGAAGGAGTTGACGGAGGCGGTGGGAAGACCGGCGCGGTTGAGCCGGCAATGCCCGGCAAACTCTGTTTGTTTCCCTGTTTATTCTCTCCTCCTCCTCCTCTTTATCTTCCTCGTTTCCCGCGCTCTCTTCTATTGTTCCGAGAGTAAGAAGACTTGAAGAACATCACAATGCCCCGCGAACCAACCCGTCAGCTCACATTCACCGTCCCCGGCTCGCGTCCGCACTGGCACTACGACGCCGTCACCCTCCCCGTCGGGCGCAACCAGCTGCTGATCAAGATCGAGGCCGCGAGCTTTGGCTCCGTCGATCTCGCGATCCTCAACACGACCAGTCTGTGGGGGTCTGTGGGCGAGAAGGGGCTTGGGCGTGATTTTGCGGGTACGGTGGTCGAGGTCGGGAGTAGTTTGAAGGGCAAGTGGAATGAGGGGGATAATGTCTGCGGCATGTACTTTCATCCTGTAAGTCTCTACTCTACTCTACTCTACTTCTACTTCTACATTATTGCTGCTGCTGCTATGCTTCTGTATACTAACTACTCTCAGTACTACGCCGGCACTATCGCCTCGCACATCGTAATCAACCCCAACACCGACTACATCGTCACGCGACCAGACTTCCTCCCTCTCTACGAAGCCGCCGCCTTCCCGCTCTCCTTCACAGTCGCCTACCAAGCGCTCAAGAACTCCAAGCTCACGCAGTCCTCCACCGTCTGTGTTCTTGGCGGCGCGACCTCCGTCGGCATGTTTGCCATCCAACTCTTGAAAAAGCACTTCCTCGTCAAGAAAGTGGTCGCCACATGCTCACCCGCCAGCGAGTCTATCGTGCGCTTGCTCGGCGCGGACGAGACGATCGACTACACGCAGCTGCGCGGACCTCATCTGATCTCGGCCCTCCTGCGCGCGCTCGCGGGACCCTACGCGGCAGAGGACGACGAAGTGATGTCGAAAGACGCGATCGCGCCGGCGGCAAAGTCCGGCTTCGACTTTGTCCTCGACACCGTCGGCACCACGCCCTACATGCTCCAGCACCAGGCCGAGCTGACCCCGGCCAAGACAGGCTGGTTCGTGTCGACGGTGGGCGACGCTGACGCGCAGGAGGGTTCAACCTTCTTGAATTCGTACAATGCCGGCCGGTCGCTGTTTGGCGCGATCGTCGGGCCGCGGTATAAAGTGCAGTACGCGGTCTCGAGCAAGGAGGCGCTTGAGCTGGCGGTCAGTTTGTATCAGCAGGAGCGGTTGAAGATCGTGGTGGACTCGGTCACGCTGTGGGGGGATTTTAAGACGGCGGTGGATAAGGTGAAGAAGCGGACTGCGAAGGGCAAGGTTGTCCTTAAAGTTGAGCCGTTCTGATGATCTTGTGAGCTTCGTTTTGATTCCATGTGTTTTGATTCTGTTTGTGTTGTGTTTAATTTGGTTGGGTCGTATATGTATAATACCGCGTAATGAGATACATTTTATAAATAATGAGAACATTGATTATAACCTATTTTAAGACGGCGGTGGATGAGTTGAAGAGGACTGCGAAGGGGAAGGTTGTTTTAATGATGTTGTGAGCTTTGTTTTGATTCCATGTGTTTTGATTCTGTTTGTGTTGTGTTGTGTTGTGTTGTGTTGTGTTGTGTTGTGTTTGATTTGGTTGGGTCGTATATGTATAATACCGCGTAATAGGATACTTTTCAAATAAGACAATGAGACATTATATAATGAGAGTGATTATAGACTAATCCGAGCCCTCCAATCCTGATACCGTTTCCGCCTCATCGGATCGATGGTTTCCAATTTTTCCAGATATTCACCTACCGATTTGTCGATTTCTTGACCAGTCAAGTCGGCTAGGAAATTTTTGTAGAATGCAAGGGAATGCAGACACCCTGAATATCATTAGTTTGAGTGCAAGGAAGAGGAAGAGGAAGAGGAAGAAGAGGAAGAGGAGGGGGAGGAGGACATACACTTGCTATCAGGTTCGACGGCGAGGAGTTCGCTGATTGAGGTAATCTCCTGATGAAGTAGCGCGGTGCGCTCGGCAATCGAGAGGGCGACGATGTCGGAGGAGGTTACGAGCCAGCGGTGGTAGAGCCAGACGCTTTGGTCGTCGGGGTCGGTGTAGATTGCCTGGGTTATCAGGTATATTTCTGATTAGTTAGTGTGTGTGTTTAGAAGAGTAGTCTGATGAGAAAAGTAGGTGGTACCTTTCTTGAGCAGTTCTCGGGCATCCAACTCCGGATCTTCCTTCACCAACCTCGGAATCAACTTTGTGCGATTATGCCACGCCGAGAAATTCGAGAAATCATTGTTAATCTTCGCAGTAGTATACTCAAACTCGCTCCTATCCCACTTCATCTTCTCATCATCCCTGCTCTCAAGACAAGCCACGATCCCGCGTCTATACTGCCAGCCGTGGAAATTCCTCGCGTCCCGCTCGAGCATCATCGTCACCAGCTTGAGTTCGCGCGCGTAGTCTGGCGCGGGGGAAGTGTTTAGACACCAGCGGCGGTGGTTCCAGATCCAGTAGCATTTGGGGAATTCGCGGAGGCGGGAGAAGAGGAAGTCGAGTTCGGAGTCGAGGCGGGCTGTTATTTCGGCGGGGGGACTGTGTGTCTGTCTGTTAGATTTGAGGTGAGATGGGGGGGGGGGGGGGGGGGGGGGAGGAGGGTGGACGTACAGGGATTGAAAGATGTGGAGAAGGATCTCTCGTCGATAATTCCAGATTGTATAAAACTCCGGATTCATCTTCAACAGCGTCGTCGTCAACTGCAGCGCAGTAGACGAATACTCCTCATTTTTTCTCTAGACAATTACATCAATTAACCCACCATAGTCATAATAAATCAAATAAATCAAAGCAAAGCAGAAGAGAAGAGGACATACACTACCACCAACTCTCTCGACAAGCGCGTTATACTCGATAATCTTACTCGCTTCCTTGCGTTTCTTTGCCGCCTGCGCTTCGGCGGTCGTGCGCACTCTTTTGACGCTGTGCTGAGGGGGAGTTAGTTTTGTAGATAAAAGGGATGAGGAAGGGATTGAATGCGTACCATGTTGAGGAAGAGGGAGGGGGGGGTGGTGAGGGGTGAGGGTGGAGGATTGGATATGACGATGGTTGGCTGCGGCTTGGTGAACCTTCGGTGCGGTGTCTAATTGATGATTCAAGAGTAGAGCACTGCACATGGCTGCAGGATATTGTTTGTTGTTTATTTACTACAAAAAAATAGAGAGAATTTAAATAAAATTAGAATAAAATAAAAATAAAACAAGAGACTATTGGAGAACTACAGCAAGAATTATAGTAAGGTGGGCATTGGGGTGTAGGTAGTGGTGGATGCAGATCATAAGATAACTCGGACAGCAGATGCAGATGATTGCTATAATTGCACATTGGGTGATTAAGTATAGACAGAGAGATAATCAGAAATAAAATGTTCTGATATCTAAGAGACAGCAAGATAACTAGACAACAGACAACAGGCATCAGGCCATCTACACCACACTTTTAATCAGGTAAATATCATCTCGAGCACCAGTCAAGACGCAGCTTGTCGGACAGCAGCTGTCGGATGACCAGTTCACGTAAGGAAGGTGTCTCCAGACGACGTCATCGGAAGAGGTGGTGAAGGCGGTGGAATGGAGACAGGAAGAGATGGAGAGGCAGAGTGTGGGGGATGCAGCCACGGTTATTGAAGCTGTTGATCACACTAGTAGTTACTGAGCAGACAGAACAATAATGTAATGTAATGTAAAATAGTAACGTAATGTAATGTATTAACATCAGTCTATTAACATAAACACAACAATAGAACTACTACAATGCTCCTTCTAATTACTATAACAACAACTCACTCAACACCGCCGACAATGGGATCCTCGGATGCATCCACCGGAAGCACAGACCTTAGTCAGCCCCCACCCCCCACGTGCCCCCCACACCCCACCCATCGCCATTGATCAGAGTAGAAGCAGAGGACTAACAGAGCAGCAGAAGAGCAGAGCGGATATCCGGGCGACAAAGCGCTGTTACTGAGCCGAGCACCGACTCTTTGACTGCTCACTGACTGTTGACCAGGTTACCGCACTCACACGCAGCAACCCCGGACCTCGTTCGGACACTCAAACTCTCTTTAGACTTCCTCCCCACACTCTTCCTCCCCTCCTCCTCCGACTATCCCCCCACACTCAGGCACCCGTCTCCTCTGCTCTTCTCTGCCCCGCCATCCTCTTCCGTCCGTGCACTTTCGCTTTCATGCACACCCTACCCGTCGCCTGACCTCTTCCGTCCGGTCCGCCTATATCTACCCCGGACTTTCCTCTATCCCTCCTCTATCCTCCTCTCCCTCATCCCCCATCAACTCCTCCCTCTCCACCATGTCGGGCATCAACTTCAGAATCTACGTCACAGCATTCACCGCCTGCGTCGGCGGCCTGCTCTTTGGCTACGACACCGGCTTCATCGGCTCCGCCGTCCAAATGGAGTCCTTCCAGCGCGACTACGACATGAACGCAAGCAACAAAGCCAACGTCAAGTCAAACGTCGTCGCCACCCTCCAAGCCGGCTGCTTCTTCGGCACGATCGGCATGTGCTTCATCACCGGCTCCTTTGGCAGAAAGAAAGGCATGGCCGTCTGCGCCCTCATCTTCTGCATCGGCGCTATCCTCCAATTCATCGTCGTCGGCAACCGCGCCTTGCTCTACACCGGCCGCGCCATCTCCGGCCTCGGCGTCGGCGGCGCGTCCATGATCACGCCTACCTACCTCTCTGAAGTCTCCCCGCGCGAAATCCGCGGTAAGCTCGGCACCGCATACGGCTGCTCCATCTTCTTCGGCATCCTCATCTCCTACTGGATCGACTACGGCTGCGAGCGCGGCCTCGACCCCAACGGCCACAACCAGTGGCGTGTACCCATGGCCCTCCAGCTCGTCCCTGGTGCCCTCCTCCTCTTTGGCTCGTTCGTTCTTAAAGAGTCCCCCCGATGGCTCATCAAAGCCGGTCGCCGCGAGGAAGGTCTCGCGAGTTTGTCCTATGTTCGCAAGGCATCTCCAGAAGACCCCGTCCTGCAGCAGGAGTTCCAGGACATCTGCTTCTCGATCGAGCAGGAGATGGCCGAATCTGAGGGCGCCTCGATTAAAGAGCTCTGGGAGCCAAAGTACCGCATCCGCGTGCTCATCGGCTTTACCGTCATGGTCTGCCAGCAGTTTGGCGGCACAAACGCGCTCACCTACTACGCCCCCCTGCTGTTTGAGGAGGTTGGTCTTAGTGGCACGTCCTCCTCGCTGTTCGCGACCGGTATCTACGGCATCGTCAAGACCGTCTGCTCGCTCATCTTTATGTTTGTCTTTGCCGAGCGCCTCGGTCGTCGCCTGCCTCTCTTCATGGGCGCCTGCGGCATGTTTGTCTGCTTCCTCATCGTCGCCCTCGTCCTCGCCACCTGCCCCGTCGACCCCAACGCCGCCTCGATCTCGTCCGCATCAGTTGCGATGATGGTCTTCATCTACCTCTTCTGCGTCTGCTACGCCATGTCCTGGGGCCCCATCCCCTTCACCTACGTCTCCGAGATCTACCCGACCCGCATCCGCGACTACTGCGTCGCCATGGGCCTCGCCACGCAATGGGCCTTCAACTACGTCATCTCCCGCATCGTGCCGATCGCAATGGACTCCATCGGCTGGCGCACTTTCCTCATGTTTGCCATCTTCAACGCCGCGATCGCCATCTTCGTCTTCCTCGTCGTGCGCGAAACCCGCGGCGTCGCGCTCGAGCAGATGGACGATATCTTCTCGACCGGCTTGCTCATGAAGCCTAGTCAGTGGAATCTCAACATGCCAAAGTCGACTGCGGTTATTGATGAGGAACTCGAGATGGAGCTCGGGCGCGAGCGGGACGCGAAGATTGATGCTGGCGCGCATCTTGAGACTGTGAAGGTCGATACGCGCAAGGATTGATTGTTTTAGTTGTATAGCTGTATCTTGTATTTTAAGGTGTTTTTTCTTTTTCGTTCATCTGTTTTGGTTAAAATTTCATTTGTATATTTTATAGTCTTCATGTGGTTTGGGAATCAATTTCATTATCATCATCTACTCTACCTACTCTACTATCCTCCACTATACTCTACAGATAAGATAAAGCAGCACACACCCGACAATGAAAATACCAGCTTATGTAACTCTCTCTTCTCAGAATTCCGCGTGGGATTCGCCCCACGTCGTAGGCCCCCCATACCCGCTCTCTTCTCTTCCCTTACCGCCTTCCCGCGTTCTTCGGAAGAGGTGGCGCGATAAAGTTAGAAAAAAGGAAAAGAAGATGACAGTTTTCCGGGCCGGCCGTGCGCGCGGAGATGAGGTGAGGTGAGGTTGAAGCGAGGTGGGTGGCCCCCACGATCGGGGGGAGGATGGGAGGACACCCCACGGCGAGATGGCGAGGGGTGAGAAGTGGTGGTGATGAGGGGGGGGGGGGGGGGGGGGGACACCCCACTCGTGGGTGTCACGCTGTGGGCTTGGTTGCTGTTTCCTGCTCTTCCTCGTTTACTGTCTCAGACACTGTTCAGAGAGGTGTTGCCGTTCGTTGATGATGCTGGATTGAAGTTGAGCATCTGAAGGTGCTGTCGACTCTTTGTCGATCTCTTTCTGTCTATCTGTCTCTCTGTCCGTAGGTGTTTCTAGCTGCAACATGCACATCATACAGCTTATCATCATCATCGTCGTCGTGCTCCATCCTCAATTTCGCAAATTCCTCGCGCACGGTTTGATATCCTCCGTTCGTTATACCGGTACCGCTGCACAACACGGTCTTGCTTCACAGCTCGAGCTTCTTCTTTTCTTCTTCCGTTTTCAGTTCTTTGTGCAGATAGCGGGAGATATACGCTCTTATCTTCCTTTTACAATGTCCTCCTTTCTTCTTTATACCGCTGCACGACATATCCCTCATTCACAGCTCGAACTTCTCCTCCTCTTCTTTCTTTCTCACCTCTTAATTATTTGCAGACAGCGGAGATATACGTGCCTTATCTTCTTTCTTCTTCATACCGCTTCTTTATACCGCTGGACGACATGGTCCAGATTCACAGCCCAAACTTCTTCTCCTCCTTTTCTTCCTTTTTCAGTTCTTTGCAAACAGCAGCGGAGATATACTTGTCTTACCCTCCTTTTACAATGTCCTCCTCTCTTCGTTGACCGCTGCACATCAGTCCTCATTCACAGCTCGAACTTCTCCTCTTCTTCTTTCTTTCTTTTATCTCAATTCTTTGCAGATAGGGAAGATTTACGCGCTTTTATCTTCCTTTTCGCAAAATCCTCCTTTCTTCTTTATACCACTGTCCTTCTTCACAACTCAAGCTTCTCCGTCTCTCCTTTCTTTATTCTATACAAACGGCGTTTAAATGCCTGCTCCTATCTTCTTTTACGATTCTAGTGCTGCTGTCGGCTTAGTTCGCCTCTGTCTAGGTGATTGCGGAAATGATTACGTCTCTCGTCTTATCTTTCAATAGTTACTCTTATAACACGCCTCCTTCTATCTTCGTTTTAAGCAGACAGCGGAGATAAACGATCTCTCATCTTCTTTTTTAAAATTTTAGCTGCCGCTGCTGGCTTAGTTCGCCTCTGGCTAGGTGATTGCGGAAATGACTGGATCTCGTCTTCATCTTTCACTTTTTATAGTTCTTTCATATCGCGATAATAAATTGTTGACAAACACCTGTTATACACTCAATATTACCACTTGACTCAAAATCACAGACAACGACATCCCAGAGGAGCTAATACTTCGGCTCCACCACTCCCTGCGCCTCTGCCTCTGCCTCCGCACCCACCGCCGGCTCGGTCACGGCAACCGTGCCCGCGGTCGACAGGTGCTTGTCGTGCTCGATTATTATCTGTTTCTCGTGCTTTGATGTGAGCGTTCTGTTTGTTGCCAACTCCGCGACGTCGACTTGGAGGTCTTTCATATTTAAAACTAGTATTTTCTAAGCTTGCTGTCGAGCGACGGAAGTAAATATCAGTTGAATAGTCATCTCTACTCTGTATAAACTACCGCACAAAGCGACACAATACCTCAAACGTATCTAAACAATTTATTGAGCGTGGTAATTATCCATAAACGGAAAAAATCACGAAACGGGCGGCGCGTCAAGTGCGTGTTTACTTTCGGCCAAAAGTAGAAACCCTATTACATCAGACACGCGCCCGCCCGAACCATGATCCGCACATTTCAGCGCGCCCGCCTCTCTTCTTCCTTCTCTTCTTCCTCGCCCGGCACAGGTTTTCGGCTCCTGTCCCACCCCAGCGATTTGATCTATTTTCCAGCAATAGATCGGGATTATCGGCATCCCGCGGCTCTCTCTCGACGGCAAGAACATTAGGCGGAGGTTGATGGAGGTACGTTTTGATCTTCTTTCTTCTCTCGCATGCAGGGCACCTCGTGAAGTCGCCAGAAAGCAGCCTATACTGCACAGGTAGCACTCTTAGAGAGTGGCATCTACCGAAGTGGTAGCATTCTCAAAGAAGTAGACTGCACTGTTCCATGAGCATTTCCAGAGAAACTGCCTATGCGTGTGTAGCGTTCTCGTACTGCGAGCAGCCTGCACTGCGCCAGGTAGTACTCTCTGGGGGCGGCTATCACTGGAACAGATCGCGCGCCTTTGAGGGTCGCATAATACCCAGGTAGCGTTCTCTAAGAGTGGCCTACACCGCAGCAAATAGAGCAGGCTTTCTGGGGCAGGACCTCGAGAAGTAGGGGAGTTGCATATTCCGGTCCGTTTCCGTGGTTGCACTGCCCCAAGAGTGAGCGTCGTACCATGCACGCGAGAGAGGAAAGGGAGAGAGAAGCTTACTCGACCAAGCGGTCTGGTATATGACTTGCGCGCGCAGATACCGGGTGAGTTCGCTCGAAGGCACTGTAATGCCGTTGTCGGCCCGGTCCCTCTGCGTGGCCGTCTCATGTACGCGCCGAGGATCCTGCCTGGTCAGGGTGGACGCGGTTGGTTAGGGCGGCCAATCTGATGAGCTTCTTCTTTAGCCAGGTTGCTCATTGGATTTAAAACGTCTTCGTTGTCGCGTCTCTTCAGCAAATGCAACTGGTAAGTTGCGCCGTCGCAAGGGAGCCCCGAGACGACGGTTGTTGAAGAGAGTCCGCACGACCAAGCGGTTCAAGCGCAACGATGACAATCCACCAATACGGGGGCGGTCCATGACTGCCTTCTGGGTGAAGTCGGGTTTTAGTGGGTATGGCGATTTCGAGAGTCGCAGAGTCCCACATAACTCTTGAGCAAGAGTCTAATCATCTCTTGCGAAGGAGTATGCGTAATGCATTCTTCCCGATCCTGGCACCAGTCGCTTTATGCGCGCTCTTCCTGTCTCTGTCTTTTCTGTATCTGCTTCTCTGATGTCGTTCTGTTCTGATTTATGCTGACAAGCTGTTGCGCTGTCTTGTCGTACTGTTGTGTTGTTATATTGTTATGTTGTACTTTCACGTTGCTTTGTTGTTGTACTTTTTATGTGTTGTTTCTATATTTCTTAGCAGAGAGCAGAGTTGTTTGTGTATTTGATGTATCAAGAGCGCGCGGCGGTACCGTATTGCAAAACCAAGAAAGAAAAAAAAATTCTTTCCTTTTGTTTTATATCTGATGCTTGAACAGTGGTCGTGAGGATCAAACATACTAACAGTGGAATTTAGGGAGAATGTATATGCTCATGTATATCTATAGCCTTCGGCCAATATGCAACAGGTAGGGCACGATTGAGATCCAAATCTACTCTATCGGAGACTAGGTCTCAGCTACTTCAGGAGGCAAATTCGGAGAGCTGCAACTGTCGAATAGACGAAAGTACACGCTTTAGGCACGGGTGATTTGATAGACGAGAGAAACGCTCGAGAACAAGCACAGGTAGAAACGCGTGAAGGGGGTGGAGAGCAGGCGAGCGCTGAGGCGACCGGAGGACGCTGTAGCAAGTGGAAGAGGAAGGGACATAATGCACTCACCTGTGACGAAGATGCAGAAAGTCCACTCTATGAATAGTTTAATAGATTTGACTTGTTGTGGTTGCGTTTAATCACCTCTATGATAGGTTTGGTCAAAAGCGCGCGGAACTCTAGTGATGCGCGAATCTTATGAGAACGACGTTACTTAGAATACGTTTGATAAATTATAGTATTACCGACTAACACTTGTTATACACTCAAAATTACTACTTCAGACTCGACATAACAAAAAACATTCAGAGCGGCTAATACTTCGGCTCTTCCTCGCCCTGCGCCGGCGCCTCTGCACCCACCGCCGGCTCGGGCGCGGCAACCGTGCCCGCGGTCGACAGATGCTCGTCGTGCTCGATCGCCATCTGCTTCTCGTGCTTGGACGTGAGCGCTCTGTTTGCAGCCAACTCCGCGACGTCGACCTTGGAGGTCTTCCATGGCGGAATGTGTTCTTCCCAGATAACGTCGATCTCCTCGAGCGTCTTGCCGCGGGTCTCGGGGAAGAGGAAGAAGACGTGGATGGTCATGCAGACGCAGAAGACGGCGAAGATGATGTAGGTCTTCCACTGGATATTGCGGAACGCAGGCGGCACGAAGAACGCGAGCGCGAAATTGAAGATCCAGTTCCACGCCGCGCAGAAGCCGTTTGCGGTCGCGCGCTGGCGCAGCGGGAAGATTTCGGAGACGTAGATCCAGATTCCAGGGCCCCAGGTCATTGCGAACGAGGCCACGAAGAGGTAGTTGCACGCGATGATGCCCTTTGCTGCGTTCTTGTGCGGGACCGTCCAGCGGATGTTTGCGTTGCCGTTGAGTTCGTCGACGTAGTGGCCGTACTGCGCCATGAGGCCCGAGACGGCAAACAGCCAGATGCACTGCGCGATCGCGCCGTAGATCAGGAGCGGGCGACGGCCCCACTTGTCGATGAAGAGAAGGGCGGGAACGGTCATCACCATGTTGATCACGTACTGGATCGAGGAGGATACAAGACCGGTGTTGCCGGTGTAGCCCGCCATCTCGAAGGTGTAGACGACGTAGTACATCATGACGTTCATACCCGTCATCTGCTGCCAGATCTGCGCGGTCACGCCGACAAAAGTACGAAGACGTGATCCTTTCTTGAACAGATCGCGGTATCCGAGCTCCTTGCTGAGCTGGTCGATGCGGACAGCCTCCTTGAGCTCCTGCAGCTCGAGATGCACTTCAGGCGTATCCTCTGCGCCGTTCGAGCCCTGCACATGACGGATGATGGTCGTCGCTTCCTCCCATCTGTCGTTAGACGCCAGCCATCTCGGCGACTCGGGGAAGAAGAACAACGTCGCGAGCAGCAACGCGCCAGGAACCATCTGGATACCCCACGCGGTGCGGAACGAGGCCGGGCCTTTGATGAACGAGCAGCCGTAGGAAATGTAAAACATAATCATGATACCCCAGGTCACGGCCCACTGGAACAGACCGACGAGACGGCCGCGGATGCGCTTGGGCGAGAGTTCGGAGAGGTAGACGGGGACTTGGGACGAGCAGACGCCGATGGCGACGCCGGAGATTAGACGGCCGCAGATGAGTTGGGCGCGGTTCTGCACCGAGCACTGGATGGCCGAGCCGATGATCCAGATGATGGACGCAGCTTGGATAGTGTATTTTCTATATTACCACTATTAGCACCCCTCACAACATTATAAAGCACAAGGGTCAAAGGTACCTTCCAATCTTATCAGAAACAAAACCAGAGCAAAGCGAGCCGAGGAACGAGCCACCGGCCATGGACGCAGTGATGCCGCCCTGCTGGACGGAGTCGGGGGAGTTGAAGAACGCGAGGTAGTCGTCGTCGCTGACAAAGGCCGAGACGGAGGAAATGTCAAAGCCAAAGAGCATGCCACCGATCGTGGCCGAGGCGGCCACGAGGTAGGGGTTGTAGATTGGTTGCATGGTGGGTTGTTACAGAGCAGAGAGGAGGAGGGGGAGGAGGACAGGGATATGGGATATATATAGGAAGGAGATGGAGAACAGTCACGGCAGACGACAGATGACGACAGACAGGTTTTTTCTATTTTTTTTCCCAATTTTCTGATGATTTTGATTTTGAATTTCCGTGTTCGGCTAGAGAAGAGACGACAACGGTTCGAAGATCCAAGACAGACGGACGATGGTCACGCAACTGCTCTACTCCGCTCTGCATGTGCTGCAGAATACACATATTGACAGTTGTATCATGCATCTTCATACACTGCTCCGCGTCTTATTCTCCCACATCCAGCGCTGACTGCAACATCTCTCTTGCAGCAAAGGGCGAAACAGTACAATCTCATTGTGAGAAATGCGGGGAGGGTGGAGGAGTGGAGCTACGTCAGAGACTAGTCCCAAAGCGGACTAGTGAATCGGAATTTAGTTGACCCAGATCCAGCAGCGAAAATCGTTGACCCCGCGCGGAGAGAAGAGGCGGGCCAAGGCCGGACTTGGCGGCCGTAATGATCCGGGTGAGACATCTGTGGGCCGGAGCAGCCAGCAGCTGTGGAGCTCTAGTTTACAAGTGACGACGTTGAGTAGAGCGGAGAAGAGAGAGCGGAGAAGAGAAAGAGGCGAACAGTGCGGAGAAGAGATGGCTCAGCCGCGCCTGGGACGAACAATAGCAGCCAAAGCCGAGGAGGAAGTGCGCATCAGAAGTCACGACAGAATAGCAGCAGAGCAGCAGAGCAGAAGCAGAATAAAGTAGTGCGCTTGCGTTTAGCAATGAAGCGCGTGACGGACAGCAAACTCTCGACGGCGAGAAAGTTGGAGAAGAACGAGGATGATTAAGAGAAAGAGAAAGAGAACGAGAGACAGACAGGACAGGAACAGAACAGAACAGCGTAAGCTCTTCGTGTGCTGCTCGCCCTCCCTTCTCTCACTTCCTCCTTCTTCTTTACTACACATCGACAACAACCACTACAAGCACAAGCACCCACCCACCTCATCAAAAACCACGAAACCACCCTGCAATAGCATCTTAAGCAGCAGCAACAGCAGCAGCAACGTCACCTCGGAAATGACTCGTCACATGCATCCCCGTCGGACATGGATTAATTGACTTATTTTTTTCCTCCTCCTTGACTTAATTTATTTGCCTTGATTGTGACGATCTCAATCCGCATCAAGCAGCTTTCCGTCTCAATCCAGAAACCTTAGCATCCCTTTGCTCCTCCGCTGCTCCGTTGCTCCGCTGCTTCTCCGCTGGCTTTTGCTCTTCTATTGCAAGAAAAAAGTGAACGTGACTTCATTCAGAAAGTTTATGTCGTTCGTGTTGTTTCTAACTTAATCGTCGTTTAATCAGCACAAGATTATTCATGAAAAATATCCTTCGACTTAAGATTACATTAAACCCACTATTAACTAAACAAAAACACAACTAAATATAAAACAAGAAATCATAAAAGCGCCAATTCTCCTCGAATTTATAACCGAAACCTAGCATCTATTTTTCTCTATGCAGACTGGTGCGTCACCGCCGCCTCCGGTCGCGCCAACTCCTGCATCTCCGTCGCCGTCTCGGCAGTCGAGACATTCGACGACATCTGCTCGTGGTGCTCGGTCTCGAGCGCAGCGGTCTTCTCGTTCTTGCTGGTTAGCGCGCGGTTGGCGGCCAAGTTCGAGACGTCGACCTTGGCTGACTTCCAGGGCGCGACGTGCTCTTCCCAGATGATGTCGATCTCCTCGAGTGTCTTTCCCTTCGTTTCCGGGAACATGAAGAAGACGTTGACGGCCATGCACACGCAAAAGACGGCAAAGATGATGTACGTCTTCCACTGGATGTTTGTGAACGCGGGCGGGACAAAGAACGCGAGCGCAAAGTTGAAGATCCAGTTCCAGGCGCCGCAGAAGCCGTTGCCGATAGCACGCTGCTTCATCGGGAAGATCTCAGAGACGTAGATCCAAATACCAGGACCCCAGGTCATGGCAAACACCGCCACGAAGAGGTAGTTGCACGCGATGATTGCCTTTGCGGCAGGCTTGAAAGCCACGTACCATCGGATGTTTGTGTTGCCGTCGAGCGCGTCGACGTAGTGGCCGTACTGCGCCATCAGTCCAGAGACTGCAAACAGCCAGACGCACATGCCGATAGCGCCAAAGATGAGAAGCGGACGACGACCCCACTTGTCGATGAACAGCAGAGCGGGAACGGTCATCACCATATTAATAACGTACTGGATCGACGACGAAACAAGCATAGTGTTGCCTTGGTATCCCGCCATCTCAAACGTGTAGACGACGTAGTACATCATAACGTTCATACCCGTCATCTGCTGCCAGATCTGCGCCGACGCACCAACGAACGTGCGTAGCCGCGATCCCTTCTTAAAGAGGTCCAGATAAGACATATCCGCAGACTCCTTATCAATTCTTACCGCCTCCTTCAACTCCTGGATCTCGACCAAGACCTCATCGGAGTCGGGTCCACCATAGGTACCCTGCACGTGTCTGATAATCTCAAGCGACTCTTCCCATCTGTCGTGCGCGGCAAGCCATCGGGGCGATTCAGGGAAAAAGAAAAGCGACGCAAACAGCAGCGCGCCGGGAACCATCTGCAGACCCCACGCCAGTCTGAACGACGAGGGTCCGTCGATGAACGTGCATCCGTAGGAAATGTAAAACATAATCAAAATTCCCCAGGTGACAGCCCATTGGAACAAACCAACAAGCCGACCACGGATCTTCTTGGGCGACAGCTCAGAAAGGTACACGGGAACTTGGGACGAGCAGAGACCGATAGCCAGACCGGAGATGAAGCGGCCGCAGACCAGCTGCGCGCGGTTTTGCACTGAACATTGGACTGCTGATCCAATCATCCAGATCAGTGATGCGAGTTGAATCGTATATTTTCTATAAACCTAGTTAGTCATAGCTCGTCACCCTACCTGTCATGAGAAAACAGATTGTACACACCTTCCAATACGATCAGAGATAGAACCTGCAGCGAGCGAACTCAGAAACGACCCACCAGCCATGGAGGCAGTGATACCTCCTTGCTCCGTGGAGTCGGGATAATTGAAAAACTTTCGGTAGTCGTCGTCGTCGACAAAGGCAGACACCGACGACACGTCAAAGCCGAATAGCATACCACCGATCGTAGCCGCAAAGGCTACGAGGTATGGATTGTAGTAGCGAGGTAACATACTGCTGATAGTAGTTATTGCAATTGTATTTGTACTTGTAATTGTTGTGATTGACAATGTAGAAAGTAGGTCGAGTGGAGGAACGAGGTCGTAGTTATATAGACATCGACAGACTGGCATCATGGGTTGTGGAGACTAGTCCGGGGTCAGGTGTGGGCGGCTCGGTGGCCAGTTCTGACGTCATCGGAAAAACGTTCTCCCCATCCGCATATCCATCCTCTCACTCCACTTTCCATCCCACTCTCACTCTTATGCCTCATGCACTCCCGGCGCATCCCCGGAGTGCTCATGAGTAGTTTGTCACATATTTTGTCAAGCAATTCAATAATACTCTTGCTAAAACCACTGTAGAAACAGACAACAGAAAAGAGCTAGAACGTTCTAAGAATCTCCCCCACTAAACTCAAACTAACTTACTAACGAGCGGCAACTCGGCAGAACCCGGATCGCATTCTCGACCTAAGCCCGCCCGGCTCCGGCGGATCCAACAATGCCTCGAGCCCACAACGCCCTTCTTCACTTTACCACAAACGCATTAGGGCTTCTTCACTTGACTACAAAAGCACTAGGGCCTCCCGCCGCTTGGGGAAAAACAGCTAGCGCGTTGCTATAATCGTGCTAGTAGCTTACACAGCTGAAGCACAACACCGTTATGACGTCATTTGGAGAGCATGACCGGTCAAGTGCTTTGTGCTGTGCTGTGCCGTGCTGTGCGGGTCTGTTGAGGGTCTTTCTATTTTCACTGTGGAGATGAAGTCGAGATGATGCATCATTTTTGGAGGTCTCGGCTGTCAGTAAAAAATAAGTCAGCGTGTCTCATCTCGTCTCTTACGTTCCGGTAGTTCTCTACTTGGCTTACTTGGCTCCCGCACTTAATAAAAAAATAATTCTATCCGATTTCTATCTATAATACAACCAAACCAAATCGCAAACTGTATGAAAAACCACATAATTACATTTAAACAGAGGCGATCTCCGTCTTCTCCTGCTCGGCGCCCTCCGCATGCTCAACCTCGGTCGACTTCTCGTTGTTCGCCGACGCAAACTGTCTGTTGGCCGCGATATGCGAGACGTCGACCTTGGCAGACTTCCACGGCGCGATGTTCTCCTCCCAGATGATGTCGACCTCCTCGAGCGTCTTGCCCATGGTCTCGGGGAACATGAAGAAGACGTGGATGGCCATGCAGATACAGAAGACGGCAAAGATAAGGTAGGTCCTCCACTGGATGTTTGTGAACGCGGGGGGCACGAAGAACGCGATTCCAAAGTTGAAGATCCAGTTCCAGGCACCGCAGAAGCCGTTGCCGACCGCGCGCTGGCGCATGGGGAAGATCTCAGAGACGTAGAGCCAGATACCAGGACCCCAGGTCATGGCGAACGAGGCGACAAACAGGTAGTTGCAGGCAATAATCGCCTTGGCGGCCGTTTTGTCGGGAACAGACCAGCGGATGTTTGTGTTGCCGTCGAGCGAGTCGACGTAGTGGCCGTACTGCGCCATCAGACCGGAGACGGCAAACAGCCAGATGCACTGCGAGATGGCGCCAAAGATGAGAAGAGGACGACGACCCCATCTGTCGATGAAGAGAAGGGCGGGAACGGTCATCACCATGTTGATAACGTACTGGATCGACGACGAGACGAGACCGGTGTTGCCGGTGTAGCCAGCCATCTCGAAGGTGTAGACGACGTAGTACATCATGACGTTCATACCCGTCAGCTGCTGCCAGATCTGCGCGGTAACACCGACAAAAGTGCGAAGACGGGATCCCTTCTTGAACAGATCAAAGTAAGTGACACCGGCCGAGAGCTGGTCGATCCGAACAGCCTCCTTGAGCTCCTCGATCTCAAGACGAACCTCGTCGGTGTCCTCCTGGCCGTAGTTGCCCTGCACGTGGCGGATGATATCGATCGACTCCTCCCATCTGTCGTTGGACGCCAACCATCTCGGCGACTCGGGGAAGAAGAAAAGGGTGCCGAACAGGACCGCGCCGGGAACCATCTGGATACCCCATGCGGTGCGGAACGAGGCCGGGCCGTCGATGAACGTGCATCCGTACGAGACGTAAAACATAATCAAGATACCCCACGTCACAGCCCACTGGAACAGACCGACGAGACGACCACGGATCTTCTTGGGCGCAAGCTCAGCAAGGTACACAGGAACCTGCGACGAGCAGATACCAATCGCGATACCGGCAATCAACCGACCACACACGAGCTGCGCGCGGTTCTGCGACGAGCACTGGATCGCGGCGCCCACAATCCAAATCAGCGAGCCGACCTGGATAGAGTACTTTCGGCCGATAGTATCAGACAGCTTTCCCGCGGCGAGCGAGCCCACGAACGAACCTCCCGCCATCGAGGCGGTGATTCCACCTTGCTCGGTCGAGTCGGGGTAGTTGAAGTATTTCTTGTATGTAGCATTGTCGACAAACGCCGACACGGACGAAACGTCAAAGCCAAAGAGCATACCACCGATGGTGGCCGAGAAAGCCACCATGTAGGGGTTGTAAAAGTGCATCATCTTGCTAATGTGTGGAGAGAAAACAAGTATAGCGGGGGAACAAGAGGCAGACGGCGGGGAAGCCATCTTTTATAGGCCGCGCCGGCCCATGGGGTTGCGCATGCTGCACAGGCGGCCGAAAAAAACTTTTCGCGGGGCTCCGCGTTTACGTTCTCGACAGATATGGAGAGCCCTACCATCAGACCATGTCGGGAGAACCAGGAATGAATAGTTCCGAATGCGTGCGGGTGGGTGAATAGCAAAGCCAGCTCGCGAGCAGCAGGACAAAAGGGTACGAACGGCGACGGTACCCGGTGGATGCGGACTAGGCCGCATTTGGAATTATGGTCCGTGCCGACGACGCAGCCGGAACTAAGTTGTTGCGGCCCCGGCCGGCCTGACAGGGCTCCGGTCCGTTTGCCACCGCCAAAGTCGCCCCCTTCCGTGTCCTATTTCATGGAGCAGGGCAGCTTGCTTCCCGTTTTGTTCTGTTCAGAGGGCCGCCAAGCAACGAACAACAGATTATGAAACAATCGGACCCTGCAGAGGTGAAAAAAACGGGTATCGGAGATGGTGTCTGAAGCAGAGGCAGAGCAGCGTCGTCGGAGAATATCAAGAGCTCAGACGTCGAGGGTTCAAACTGCGTCATTATGCACCTAATCCGTATCCCTGATCGCCATCACACCAGCTGCAGGTCTGCCTGCAGTTCTCTTTTCTTCTACTTGCTTCTTGTATGACTTAGGCGTGTTTTATGAAAGCTGCTGTTTGCTAGGAGGCGGAGATGTGTATGGGTAGGGACGGGTGTAGAAGGCACAGAGGGCTAATGAGAAGGCCGACGACAGAAAAATTTAAGGTTTCCGGCGTGAACTTACTTCTCGCCATATGCCTCTTTTTATTACAAACACCTTCCCCTTGCCAGAAAAAAAGTCATATGGCGTGGTAATATCTGTTCGAACTGAGAATATGACGTGTAATCTGTAGACAGTAGAAGCCAAGCGGGGTGGGCTAGGCCAGCGAAAGAGAGCGACGACGGCAGCACACAGCACAAGAGAGCGGCATCAGAATCCCCAAAAAAGCCTAGATTCAGCAGATCCGAAGAGTGACTGCTAATTGCTCCAGCAGCCTGCTAGTGGCTATTACTAGTAGTAAGCGGATCACTAGCCTACAGACCAGCAGCAGACAAACGAACCAAGCATTGACCCAAAAAGCTTGCCAACGCCCCCCACGCCGTGGTCGTCGCAGACAAAGTGACAAATGAGCTGCGGAGCTGCGGGCAGTTAGCCCGCTCGACGAGGTCACACGACTTGCTCGTCAGTCAGAGTTCTTTGATGCTGGCTGCGTTGCGCTGGCTGGCTGTGCTGCACTGCGTTGAGCGAGCTGAGCTGAGCTGTGCTATTTCTGTTGCTGGATGCTGTTCCCTTTCGACGTTATTCAAGGCGGAGAGTGTTCTTCTATTTATTGTAAAAGCTTTCTCTATCCACAAACAACCACTCGTATTACCCCACCCTCCTCATTATCCTCAACAAACCGACACGAATAATGCAGAAAATACCGCTTTCTGCAGTCTCCGCCGGAAGACGGAAAAAGAGAGCTATAAGCATCCAGACGATATGGGTGCGCCGCACGCTAACCAGCCCAGGTACCGGCTCCTCATCAGGTTGGTACCTGGCTCCCGCGCGAAGATTTGTTGAGTGGTCGGGCAAATTTACTCTTTCTGCGTCGGGTGCTGCTCCATCTTGTTCTATGTGCAGCTGGTTAGTTGTACATGGATTATTACGACTATATGTTTATATCAGGGCTTTGAATGCTGTTGGACCTCTTGGTTGTGTGAAATAGTAAGGAAATGGAATGGCGATAGAGACGGGATGCTGATCCGCGATCGACAGACAGCCAGCCAGACCTGTTGCCGTCCATAGGACCATAGGACGGACATTGGACGGTCCGGTAGTGGCCTGCTCTGTAAGCAGCCTGCTGTCTTCCAGACTCCTTTTGTCGTCTTAATTTATCCCGTAATTACTGATATCAATCACCAAGGACTTCTAAGGCTAGTCTTCGAGTTCTCGCCTATGGAGCGACGGGCCGTATACCCTCCGATATTCCGTGCCTGTCTAGAGACGAACTTTTACTAAGAGGAGAGGGAGCTTGAAGACTGCTAAATCACTCAGGCGTCCTGACCAGACCCCGCTCCTTCTCCGCGCTGGTACTTGCTTGGTGGACTATGGCATTCTACGCGATTGTTATCATCCCTTGAAACTTCAGTCCTGACCTTTTCACCTGGCTGTAATATTAAAGCGACAGTAATGAAAATAGTATTCCAGACTCCACGAGGAAATGATTGCCTACTTCTCTCCTCAGTCTTTTTCTCAGTCTGACTTCACGGCCTAGCAGACATGTTCGCTCCAGAGCTGCAAGCAGGGTTAGATTCACCTAAGCGCGTAAGCGACACCCTCGGCGCCCCGGCACAGAATCACGCTAGCAGCTTAATAACGCCCGCCGCCGGAAGTGTACGAAAAAGTGCATTTCCATGTCTACTTGAATACGATTACTAAGGCGCTTGGACCAGCGTCGCTATCTTGACTAAAGGGTAGCTAAGCCGGTTGCGGCTCCGGAGGACTTTCTGTTATCGATCGTGTTCGCTGAGCTTTGGAAGAGATGCAGGGACGTGGGGTGGGGTCGCGGCAATCCGGTCAAGTATAAACTATCGATTTGGCGAAGTAAACGGCCGCAACGCGGAGACGAAGTTCTTCAGACGACAGATAAATAAACACTCGAGATTAAAAGTCGCTCGCCGATCGACACTGCCACCTACCGCTTCTGATTCATCGCCATACCTGCCTTATTTGCATCTGCTGGGTTTCATCTTGCATCTATTTTCTGATGACTTGAATTCTTTCGCGCAATGTTTCATACACGGCTGATTGCTGCTGATGAATAGTTGGGAGGACTGGAGTATTTTGATACCGGAGGACGCGCTGAACATCAAACGCGCTAACACCAGTACACCAGTCAACCAACAATGATTCGTCAACACACACAGCTAACACCAGTACAGTCATATATAGTCACTGGAGTAATCTCAATAGACATAGATGCTGCTGCTGCTGCACCGTAATGAATAGTTGGGAGGACTCGATCATTTTGATACTGGCTGATGTGCTGATTATCAAACGCGCTGGCAACCAGTACACCAGTCAACGAGCAACGATTCATCAACACACATAGCTAATACCAGTACAGCCATATAGTTACTGGAGTGATCTTAATAGAGACATCTGTGCTGCTGCTGGTGCGCTGATGAAGAGGCATTGCTACAAACCCCACACATCAACACATTAAAGTTTAGCCGCAGACCGAATGTAAATAAACAATTCAGAATCATCAAATCCATACACGAACGACGGATTCACCAAATCCACGATCGTCAAAAAGAAAAGCCAGCAGTCACTAAATGCGTTCAGCTGCTGATCGGCGAGTCCCGCCACGAAGAGCGGACTCGTTCGACAACAACAGAAAACTGGATCCTGCAGGACCGCCCTTGCCGCCCAAAGTCCCGCTCCAGCAGCAATCTAGCTCCACCGCCGGCCGCGCCAACGATGAGAACGTGAATCCGGATTACAGCAGCAGCGCGAAGGATTTTAGCAGGTATGGCGGGCTTGTCGGGAGTTTACCGCCAACACCGGCGCCTGTGAAAGCGAAACCAGTCAGTACGCATGCTGTACGCGCGAGTAATGAGCATCTCAGGCCGCAGCCCAATCCTCAACCTCAACCTCAGAACATGGTTAGTTTCTATTATTGCTGCTTTTACTCACGCGCTATCTAACTCTATTGTAAGCTCCGGACGTGGTCCCAACACCGGCAGGCATATCGAGCGCCAATCAACTATGACGCCGATAGCACGGTTGGATCGGGTTCTGATGACGATGACACGCTCACGCACGTCTCTACCGGTACCGAGCGTCTGCCTTTCATTCGAGAAGAGACTCTGGGACCGCCTTTTGAACGACGACCGAGCTCTAGACAACCTACGCAGGTGCAGCACACGAGAGAATCCCATGTCCCGCCTCTGCCTCCCAAGGGAACTCCAATTACCTCAAAGCAGCCTTCCTTGAGATCCTTCCAGCAGCAACAGCAACCTCAAAGTACACCGTCCCGACCGCTACCGAAGCAGTCGTCAACACCCCCGGTGTCGACCCCTCCTTCTGCTCTTGCTCATCGATCGCTGCCGACAACACCACAGTCAATCATCCAATCCCCTCCTCTGATCCCGCCGCACGCGACCCAAGGCAGATCGCCCTCGCCCACGAAGCAGTACTCTCCAGCTAGTCCGTATACCCGACGACCAATTACTACGTCGCGTCATCAGACCTTCCAATCGACGCTGCCGACTACGCCCACGGGACGATCCCCACCCATGCCGCCAGCTCCTCAGCACGCGCCTCCGCAGCCTCCTGTACCTCCTCCGCACAGTTTCAATAAGCTCGGGCTCGACTCTTTCATCCCCGAGGACTCGCAAGACAGTGGACAGGACTCAGAATGGGCACCGCGGGAAGATCTGAAGTACATGTCGTTATCCGATCTGAAGCAGAAACTGCCTTCTGCGCAACCTCAGCCTTACGCTGCACGTCCGTCACTCAATCTCGATACGACTACGAGGATTCTGCCAATGAACCCTAGTCTCACCTCGGTCTCTCCTTCGCGCTCTTCTCATAGCTCGCCTTTGACGCATCACCATCTATCTACCCCTCCTTCATCTACTCGCGAGTATGACGACTACACACGACTCCCTGCTGCCGCCGGCATGCGTATATCAGACGTATCTCCCACGCGCAGCGCAGGTTCATACTCAAGCTCCCCAGTCAATCTATCACCCGCCCGGTCAAATGACTCAAGCAGAAGCCCAAACTATGGCTCCTCGCCCGGTGAAATGATGTCTGATGACGAGCTCTACCAATCTCGAGGGAGGTGGTCGCAGTACCAAACCCAGTCCTCGCCAGTGCCGTCTCCGCCGAGGCACAGCAGCGGATTTGGTTATGGCAATCGCAACTCGACTGGATATTATGACTTTGACAGCTCACCTTCGTCATACGACAATAACGCTTCTGCAATCCCACCGACCCCGCCACCCCATACTTCGTTCTGGAAATCTGATTCCTCCCCAACCCGCTCTCATCAACCAAATTATCCCGCGCGGGCAAATACTACGGGCAGAGTGCCGTTGAGTGCCGACGGAAATCTGAGGGCGCAATGCGTCAATATCGTCGATTCGGTCCACCGACAGGAAAGAAGAGCGCACGGATCACTTCCAGGTGGTATCTATGAGGAGACAGATGAGGAATATGGGTCGCCGTTTATGGCAGGAAACTTCCAACGAGACTTCTACCAGACAGAGGTATACGACCCAGCAGATAGGTCTCAGCTCGATCTGTTTAACGACCCGGAAGATATGGAGTATGAAGAATATTTTTTGGAAGAGGAAAACCCTCGAACTAGCATCATTCCGGTCGCAGGAACAAAATACGAGTATGTGCCGGAGCCTCAGGTCTATGGTGAGGAGTACGAAGAGGGGTCGGACTATTATGAGCAGACGCCTGTACCAACGGCTCCTCTTAATATTGTCAAGCCACCTGCTCCCCCACCAAAACCTGTTCCGGCTTCGCCTGTTCATTCTTCGCCTGTTCATTCTTCACCCGTTCATTCCTCGCCTGCTCATTCTTCACCTGTTCATTCTCCGTCTACTCAGTCCGCTCCGCCTCCGGAATCTCGTCCCGAATCACCGACCGAGTCAGCGACATCGACACATGCTGATAATAATGCGATGAAGCGGTACGGTCTACCGACGTCGATTCCTGATACGAGTTTCCGAGCCGGGTCGATTCTCCGTCATACTGCACCTTCAGACACTGATCGCACAAAAGCGAACGACGACAGCCTACGACCGTGGGCGTTGTCTGATGTCTACAGATCCGTTCGAAAGATTATGTCACAGGAAGCGAACTTCATGCGCGAAGAAACCGTCATCAGCAGCATGGGTGAGCTATTCAAGAAGCAGCTGCCGATGCTAAACACGATTGTCGCTGAAGATTGCGCGATCGCGATGATCAACTCATTCATGATGCATGGGGTGATGGAGCGGATTGGCGTTCACGTTCGTGTGCCAGAGGACGACGAGAAAGATTACCAGACAAAACTTGCAGATATGTCGGGCGTGCTTCCTTTGCTCGCCGGCCATGGCTGCTATTCTCAGTGCTGGCGAATGAAGGAGAGTGGTATTTCGAGCTACAGATGCTACTCAAAGACGTGCTCGCTGACCGCCCGCAAAGCAGAGACGAGAAAAGTGTCTATGAAGTCGTTGCAGTCGGCTGATAACTGGTCCGAGGCGGTGCCGGAGGATGTCAAGGCCGGGTTGTCAAAGACGGAGATTGTGCGGCAAAACATCATGTTTGAGTTCATTGCCTTGGAAGGACAGTATCTGGCGGATGTGAAGGCACTTTTGAAGAACTTTCGAGATGTGCTGCTCACGCCATCGGGGACCAGACAGCCGATTGTCTCCAATCCCAAGAAATTTGTGAAGGATGTGATTCAGAATTCGGAGGAGATCATGAAAGTGAACGACAAGTACCTGTACCAGCCGCTTCTCTTGCGACAGCAGGAGGATTACGTCGTCAGTGGAATCGGCGATATCCTCATCAACTGGATCAAAAAGGCCTCAGGCCCCTACATCAAGCATGGTTCAGGTCTCGGCCGAGCACTAGAGTTGTACAATGACGAAAAGAGCACGAATATCAGGTTTGCGCAGTTTGTGAGCGACTTTCTTTCCAAGCACCCTCGAAGCGGTATATTGGCTGTTCACACGCGGTTAGTAAGATATCCACTTCTGATCCGGCGGATGATTGACGATGGACGGCCGATGGCTATGGAAAAGACGTTTCTCGAACGAGCTTGCGGTAGCTTATCAGAGCTTGGCCATAGTTTTCAGACGACGTTCAGTACTGCCCAGCGCCGATATATCTTGCAAGATCTTGAGGACTCGATCCGATTCCCAGATTCGAGATTCCGAAGAAATCTAGAGCTGGACTCGAAGAACCGGAAGATCATGATGCGAACCGCTATGGATATACGGATTGGCAATGGGAAAAGGCAGGCTTTGTTTATGATTCTACTGGATAATTTCTTGCTCATCACTAAAGAGATTACAACAAACGTGAACAAAGTGCGCTACGACGTCGTGACCACGCCGATCCCCATCGATCTGCTTATCCTTGTCTCTGCCTCGGACGAGGGCGCGTCCACATCAGGCTTTATGAATCTGCCAAAGTCGGCGACGATGCCGAACCTCAGCGGCGCAATGTCAGGTTCATCAGCCGACGAATCGACAAAGAAAGCCGAGAACAAGACGCTCTATCCATTCCGCGTGCGGTTCCTTGGTCGCGATGGCGGCATGTACACTATGTATGCCAAGACGAGCACGATCCGCGAAAACTGGTGCAGCTCAATCATGCTTGCGAAGAACAAACACGCGCTATCGCTGGTTTCGCTGCGAAGCGAGCCGTTTGCTTTAGAGGTTGTGTCGGACATGGCTTTTGCGTATGACGGCGCGCCTCCTGAGCTGCCGTTGATGGCAACGGGTACCGCGATCGAGCGCGCGCTGAGGAAAGCCGAGTCGGACCAGAGCATACCGGCGCGGAGCACGGCGGAGCCTATGATCAAGTCGCGGGTGAATTGCGCGGCGTCGTTTTATACTGAAGATCTAGGTGCCTATGCGCGAGCGATGACGTCTAACAGTCAGTCGCGAAAGGCGTTCGTGCTGGTCGGATGCGAGTTTGGTGTGTATCTGTCGGACGGTACGTCGCGACTATGGGCTCCGGTGTTGGCGCTGCCTAAAGTTCGACAGATACAAGTTCTGCCAGAGTTTGGACTTGCGATTCTTCTCTCGGATAAGACGCTGATGGCTTATAATCTTGAAGCGCTGCTTGTTGCTAACCCGTTTGAGCTTGCGAATCATCTGCTGAGTCCCGCCGCTCGAGTTGAGAAATGGCTGGCGACGAAGAAGGAGGCGGAAGTGCTGGCGCTGATGCCGCAGCAGATCAGCGAGACGCGCGAGATTGCATCGTTTTCGATTGGCGTGCTGCATGGCCGCACGGTGATTGTTTGCCGCAAGCGGCAGCAGACGACGACGGCAGCGGGATTGGTATCTGGTGACGACGGCGTGTCTATTTTGAGGGTGTATGAGCCTATCGCTGGAAAGTCAATCACGTTCTGGGCTGAGGATATCGCGCAGCCTGCAAGTGATGGAGCGGCAAGATATGAGCGTATCTTGGGCTTGCGCGGGGATGTGAATGGGTATGCGGGATTGAAGAGCGGGAAAGACTTGATGCGCGAGACAGATTTGATTAGTACACCCAAGCCATGTCTTGACACTACGGTTCTGAAGAAGATGATTGTGCTTCACACCGTGAAAGGTACGTGGTACGCTTTAGCTACGGCTTCGGATGAGAGCTAACGAGTACTTTAGGCTTTGAGATTATGGGGTATCCGAGCAGACTATCAGCGGCTGTGCCAGACTTGAAAACCGGGACAAACGACCATATCCGCAAGTTGCTATCAAGCTCGCACGGCGGTCGCCCTGTACCACTTGGATTCTTCAAGGTGTCTGATAACGAGTTCTTGCTTGCGTACTCGACACTGTGTCTTAAATGCGATCGGACGGGCACGTTGTCGAAAGGACGAGTGATTACGTTCAACGGACGGCCTAGACAGGTCACGTTCGCGAAGCCGTACATCTTGGGATTTGACAAGGACTTTATCGAGATCCGGCACGTGGAAAGCGGTGAATTGAAACAAGTCATCACCGGGACCGATATCAGGTTAGTGAGTGCGCAGACATATGTGGGAGCACCGAATCGGAGAAGTGCGCAAAAAGCAGGGTTGGCGAGAGCAAGAGAGGATATTGTGTTTGTGATGGCGCATCCTGAAGTTGCGGGACGGCAGTTGGTGATGAGGATTGATTTCAACCGGGAGATGATTGCTTCGGCTTGAGCTTTTTTTTTGTTTTTACATTTATACCTTTTGCTTATGTGCACCGACATTTTTTTCTTATGTATAGTTTGTATCACTGGAGTTTTGCTTATTTGCGAGTATGGTATAGGGGATCTGTTGTATATTATAGAATATGATGGTGTAGAGGAAGACGAAAAGAGATTATTGCCATTTCCCGATCGAGGTGAGCCTCCGGCGGAAGCATAAATGCCAAGGACTTTGGGATGTGAGATATCGCCCGATAAGCGTAATCTTGCTGATTGCTGGTTTTAAATGGTCGATTGTCAAGTAAATAGAGCAGAGGATGTTTGAGAAGGAATACAATTGCGATGGTAGAGGATTAGTAGTTATTAGACGTAGGAATAGTAATTGACAGTTGGAGGGGAGGTGGTGAAATGAAGGAGGGCGACGGAAAAGCCCGAGGACTCATCTTTATCGCGTTGACTCGCCTCGCTGATAAACCTCCACACAACTCTCCATCTCGACTCTTCACCAGCCCACTCTCTACCTAGCTGTCCCTCTATTTCTAACCCCACCTCTCTTTTTCTTTCAGTGCACTACACAATGACGTTCACAGCACCGCTCACCATCTCCACCGCCAAACCAGCGCCGTTCCCACTGCCTGCAGCGCGAACAGCGTTGATAATCATCGACATGCAGCGCGACTTTGTGCTTCCCTCCGGCTACGGCGCGATCCAATGCCCCTCCGCCGAGGTCTTTGCGCAAGTCTCGGGCCTGATCGGACCCTGTCTTGACGCGCTGCGGGCGTCGCGCAAGCTGGGTATGACGGTCGTGCATACGCGCGAGGGACACGTGCCTGATCTGTCTGATTGTCCGCCGACAAAGACGGATCGTCAGCGGGGCGCGAATACGCGGCATTTCCTGACGATCGGGGAGGAAGGGCCGATGGGGCGATTGCTGGTCAGGGGAGCGTACGGGCATGATATCGTGGACGAGCTTAAGCCGAGGAAGGATGAGGTCGTGCTCGATAAGCCTGGAAAAGGATCTTTCTTCAATACGGATTTGCATGAGATATTGGTCGCGAGGGGGATCACGCATATCTTGTTCGCCGGAGTCACCGCCGAGTACGTCTTGCCATCTCTCTCTCTTTATCTTGTACTCACATGCTAACAGACCGTAGATGCTGCGTAGCCTCAACCTTCCGCGAAGCCAACGACCACGGCTTCGAATGCTGCGTTCTCACCGACTGCACCGGTGGCTTCAACTCTGCAATCGTGTCGGCAACAATGGACATGTTTTGCGCATACGACGGTCTTCTCGGTTACGCATCGACGTCTAAAGCCATTGCCGCTGTCGCAGCCGACGCGCCCGCGGGCGCACTCGCTGTTTCCGAACCTGCTGTTGCGCAAGGGTCGAAGTTGTCGCTGCTCGAACTGCATAAGAAATATCTCGCAGGTGAGACTGTCAGCTCGACGCTGGAGTCCCTTCCTACTCCCGCCTCGTCCGCAGCTCTGGAATCTGCAGCTGCACTCGACAAGACATCCGAAGTCGACATCGACGGCGCGCGCGACCTCTCGCTTCTCTACGGCGTGCCGTTCGTCACCACCCCCGAGTTTTCTGAATCCTCCGTCGTCGTCCAGCAAATGCTCGACCAAGGCGCCGTCTTCCTCGGCTCCGTACCCTGCGCCGCCACCGCAGTTGCCTCCGGCGCTGCTACATTCGGACTCTCGACATCGTCGTCTCCGGCTGCTACCTCGCCCGCCTCCTTCACGGTTACTAAAAACTCTCTCTCGTCAGCAGGCGTGACCCTCCCGTCCCCTTCCTTCTCCACCTTCACAATCCACGCGCCCTCTGTGCTCGACGCGCGCACACTCTGGAGCACCCTCGTCCGCCTGCAACCAACCGACTTCGCCGCCGCGGCCGCAATCCAGCATTTCCGCGAACGCCCGATCGTCTACGTCGACTACCGCGGCTTCGAAACCGGCGGCCTGCGCTACGCCGTCTACGAAACCACCCCTCCCTCGCTTGCGTTTTTGGAAAAAGTCGAAAAGATTTTCAGCAAGTCTCTGCCCGGCCGCAAAGTCGACTCAGAATGCGTCTCGTCCTCGTTCGCGTCGGCAGCTAAACTCGCGAGCTGCGCCGAATCCGTGCGTGCGCTCGAATCCGCTCCCTCATCGTCCGCAACCATCTCCGCTCTCGACACAATCAAAAACATGCACGCGCTCGCGCTCGCGTCGTCGTTGTTCACGAAAGCGTTTGACAACGGGATCGAGTCGCCTGACGTCCTCCTCGCGCCTTACTCGGACGAAACTTTTGTCGCTGTCGAAGCTGTTGGCGGGTGTGCGGCCGTGGTTGCTGGTGATGTTGTGGTCGTTGGCGCGAAGGGACTTGATGGACGGGTTCTTGATATTGCGGTGTTGGCTGAAAGTCGGCTGTGATCATCCATCTCTTTTAGTCAGTTATGATGATTTTATGATGTGAAGAAAAAAACGAGTATTATTGTTATTATTACTATATCAAGGTTACAGGACAAGTGCTTGATGCTTATTACTTTTATCCTCATCCTCATCCTCAAATCGGAATCAACCAAAAACACGAAAAAACATCATCATCATCAGTCAAGTACTAGAAACAACAAACAGATCAAAAGTCATCAAGAAAAAATTATTAGACATATATAGAAGAAACATATGACAACGCCTCACCCTCCCAAGAAGATTATAGAAAATATAAAGAGAATCATCCAATCTAAGAAAGAAACATCAATCTATCCGATATATAGAAGAAATAGAAGAACAATTAGTAAAACAGATTAAAAAAAACATAGTAGCATCTTAAAGCCAATCAGAGTCCTCGGCTTCTTCATCCTCTTTCTTAGTCTGCTCTGCCTTCTCAGAACTCTCTCCCCCCGCACTACTCCCGCCCCCATTACCATGCTCCTTCGTCCCATCCTCAGCAGACGTGCCTTCTAAAACACTGCCATTGCTATCCCGATGCTGAGGCGACTCTCCCAACGGCTGCTTGGCGGCTTCCATCCACGGATGGGAAATCATATGTGTATTGAAAAACTCCAGGTTATCGAGCTCGTCAACGCCCGTGCTCGCATGCTGATCAATCACATGGCTGCGGCCGTCGGTGACGAGAGAAGTGAAGAAGATGTCGTTCTCGTTTGTGTGGAGTAAGGCTGATTGTCCGCTGGATTGGAAGCCTGGCTGCTGCTGTTGCTGTTGCTGTTGCTGCTGCTGAGGCGCCGCGCGGGCGGGTAGAATCTGTGAAGCCAGGTGCTGTGGGTGGAGAACAGGACCGTGAGCGCTGGGTAGGATCACAGGCTGGTCGGAAGAGAAATCAACGGTAGAGGAACTAAAGATGTCTTGACCAGAGTGCGTAAGATGAAGCGACTGCTGCTGTTGCCGTTGCTGTTGTTGTTGTTGTTGCTGTTGCTGCTGTTGCTGCTGCTGCTGGCGCTGCATATGGAGCTGCTGCTGAAGTTGTTGTAGGTGGTGCAGCGGATGCTGCGTAGTCGGCGCTGGTGGAACCGGGGGAATCACCTGGTGCATCGTGATTGGCAGTTGCTGAAGAACTCGCTGCGGAGAAATTTGCTGCTGCTGCTGCTGAGAAAGCTGTGCGGATGATGCGGCTGGGAACTGGAACTGCATCTGCTGCTGCATTTGTTGGATCTGCTGCTGCTGTTGCTGTTGCTGCATCTGCTGTATAATCTTTTGTTGCTGCTGAGGCTGCATCGTAGTCGTGGCGTTGTAAAGCCCCGCGTTTGACGCTGGCATCCTGCTTGCACCACTCGAGCTCGTAGGCCCGGAATCAGACCCGTTTCCCGCGTTTCCCGTGCCATTTCCAGAAGAGTTGCCAGAAGCTGCCTTATTGCCCTTCTTACCGAGCTCGTTCTTCAAAAGATACTTGCACTCCTCGACCCACAAGATTGCGTGCTGCAGAAACTCGGCTCCGCGGACATTCACTTTTAATGTCCACTGGTACTCTGCCAGTTTTTCCTGGCAAGCAATCTTGTCGGCTTCGTTGGTAGCCAGCAGCATCAACATGACACCAAACGTGGCGATAATCGCGAAATTGTTCTTCGAAGCCGCGTACCAAAACGTCTGGATGTGTTCCTGCTTCAGACTGTTTACAAACTCAACCGCAGACACAAACTCTGCAAACGCAGATCGGTAGACGAGCATATAAATCTCCGACAACGCAGGAGACGCCGTCCGATCGATACGTTTCAACGCCCTCAGAATCGGACGAAACAACGCAATCTGAGTAGCATGATAGGCAAGATGCAGATTACCGCTCGCACTGAGCTCACCCAGAGTAATGTTCTCCATCCGAAGACAGTCCGGCAGGTTCTCCAACCAGTCCTTCAGGCGGATCTGCAGAGGCCTGGCTTTAGCGAGAATACCCTTCATTCGGTCCTCGTCTGACTTTGCCACCCGCGTCGGCTCGTCAGTGGGCTCCTTAGTCTTTTCGAGCGGCTTATCAGCCGCAATAGCCTCGAGATCGTCATTGAACAGATCGAGCATACTCCGCGCACTGTGAAACTGATCCAGAATCTCGCTCAAGATGATCGTCAGATTAACGAGCTGCATAAACATGACCTTGCCAGTCTCCCGATTGACCATGCCGTTGTTCTCGTCCTTTGCGCTAGCAAATACAACATCCGGATCGTCATCGTCGTCGTCAGCTCCAGGATTCGTACTACCGCCGCTGGCGAGCAAAACTCCGTCGTCATCAGGGAAGTTCTCGTCAACAAGCGGACTGACAGTCCAATTGATCTTGTGGATCTTGGACGGACGACCGTAGGTCAGCGCCATCCATTTGTCTTGGATATAAAGACCCCAAGCCAGACGCTTGCGCAATCCGCGCTCCCATTCGGGGATCTCCCACCGGGTAGGATCCATATGAAGCCCGACCTCTTGCGCGACAGACACGAGTTCTCCGAGCATTGCCCACGAATGACTAGGTCTGGTGACTTGGTTTCGGAAAGTTTGATGCTGGAGAAGAAGGATGCCGGCTTGGACGGTAGATAGTGTCGGTCGATCGATTTCGCGGTACAGGTTGATCTGAGCGAGGGCTTCCAGTGCAGACTGCGGAGGTCGAGGGAAAGGGACTAGGTCGGCATCGTAGGTCCACCAGTTGATGGCAAACACGTAAAGACCGGCGAGCAGAGACGGCGAGAGTTCTGAGGGATTGCGGTAGTATTTTTCCAAGAATTCTTCCTTGTGGAGGATTGGTAGAGAGGCGTGGACCTATAGAAGTTAGTACTGTGTGTTGAGGAGAATAGTGGAATGGACGTACGATTCTGAAATAAAGGCCAACAAGCTGTCTGCCAAAGTTTCCAATGATATCCTGGATCTTCCTGACTTCTGCCAGATTTCCACCGATAGTATCGTCCCGCCCGCTGGGATTAGGATGCCCTGTTCTAAACAGATTCTCACTCTCAAAGACGACAAAGGAGACCTGACCGTGGCCGGTGTTGATAGGCTTGAAATCATTGGTGGTGCCGACTCGGTGATTGGCACGGCTCTGGACTCTTCTGATCTGACGCTTGGTGAGGAAATCAGGGCCGACTGCGGGTAAGGATGCGCGGTCACGGTTATCGAAGCCGTAGTAGTCCATCAAGATAGGATCGTGCTCGGCCGAGGTTCCAATGTATGAAATGTATCTGCGGCACTGGAGTCCAAGGGTGTTCTGGAGCAGGGTGTCGGGCATGAAATCATAGTCGGGGAAGGGAGAGTCTGGGGTGGATGCAGACAAAGCAACAGCGGAAGAGGAGGCACCGGGATTAGTTGCAGAGGTGGGAGTGGACGCGGAGGCAGTCGTCGGCGCGCTGGCGGGGTTTGCTGAGGCCGCTGCGGCAGTTGCAGGCTCGGCGGCGACGGGAGCAGCAGCAGAGGCAGCGGTAGCCGCGGTGGTGACCGACGCAGCGCTGGTTTTACGAGAGGATGTTCTATAGTGCAGAGATGTTAGACCGGTGTGAATTGAAGGAACGAGATAGAGTGCACCGTACCTGACGACACGCGAGCGTTTGGCAGACGGCGTGGAAGTAGTCGCATCATCCTTTTCAGGCGCTAGATTTAGAACACCCGACATGCTCTTGAAAGACGGAGCTTGTGAGGGCGATTGACTGACGTCTGCAGAGACAAGCGCATCATCTGCATCCGACTTTTCCTTATCCTTATCTTTGTCATCTGCGGCCGACGACTTGACATCGGTATTTGCCTCAGGCGCAGTGGGCGCGGAAGATTGCGCAGCGGCAGAGGAGTCGGTGGCAGCGGAGGAGGCAGCAGCAGCAGATGCAGCGGCGGTAGAGTTGCTCCCGCTGTTTCTGCGCTGTCGCTTTCTCGGCACGGGATCTTTGCTGAATACGCATTCGTAGTTGTGGAAGCGGCAAAGGAAGCAGACGCTGTCGTTTTCGGAAAACACGCAGCGGGACTTGCGTCTGCGACAGCTGTCACAGGGTCTGTCGGGCCGCTTGAGACCGGTCTTGCTGTGAGTTGTCTGGACGACGAACATGGCGGGGACCGAGAGGAGGAGAGAGAAGAAGAGGTTGGGGGAGGTGAGTGGTAGTTGAGGAAGGGATGCTGACGGACCGGAGGTTCGCGCCGCGTTGATGGAAGATCCGAAGCGAAGAGAGCTGATCACAAACAAGAATACAATGAACAGCAGCAGAACAACAACAACAACAACGCTCTCTAACCAGAGAGCTCTAACTAGAGAGGAGAAGGAAGAGAGCGAGCGAATGTGGAGAAGAAGAGCGAGACAGCGACGAGGAGAAAATGAGAATTTAAGGTTTTTTGCTTCTTTCCAGCGGTGCGCTGTTTTGGGAAACCCTCCGCCCTACTTTGCGATGACTAATCGGCTGCTGGCCGCTCGCTGGCAAAGGTTTAATTCCGCTCAGACCAGAGCTTCGAGCTTCCCCAGACTCAACTGCTGCTGCCTTGCTCTGTTAGTATTGATAGAGGAAGTAGATGTAGAGAACAGACATCTCTACACACAACCCAGCGTACTCTCTGCAATACACGATCGACCGAGCGTCGGCAGCGGGTACCTCTCTGAATGAGTCAGACGAGGCGTTTTAGGGCCAGCGTAGGGGCCCGAGCAAATGACATCTGCCAGCTTCCGAGCTCGGATCTCGAACATTCGTATTTGGGATTATGTAAGGGATGACTATATATTAGAAGTAGAGTAAGAGACAATAGAATTATAGAAGATATCTAGATATCTAGGTGGTGTAGCTGCCAATGACTATATCAGCTAGGACAGGTCGGTGGTCGCTCGCATGATATTCGTTGTCGAAAAAGTTCTCCTCGACGCGATAATTCTGCGCAGACCAGCCCCCGTTATTACCCGCCATAATAAAATCAATCCGCCCGAATGAATCGCTATCGCCAATTTCATAGAACCCGGCAAACGTCGCATGATGGCCGGATCTGAATCGCGGAGGGGTGACGGTGAGCAAGTCGGTGAATGCGAACGAGTCGGAGAGGTCGGAGGCGTAGTCAGAGGTGAAGGTCGAGTTCATCGAGAGCATGTCGCTCTCACCCGTCACAATCTCGTATCCGCCAGAGTCATCGCCCGAGCTCTGGGAGTTGAAATCACCAAAGAGAAGAACAACGCCATCAGAAGCCTCGGCCTCGTACGCACCCGCATAGCGAATCATAGATGCGGCATACTGACGCGCGTCGTCAGACTTGTCATCCCAGTGAGTGCACATTGCAGTAAACGGCGAGCCTGCGATAGTTGTCGTAAAGTTTCCAATAGTAACGATTCTCTTGCTTCCTGCACCATCGTACTTTGAAGCCTCGTAGGGCGTCTTGCTGAGCCAGAGATGCGAAGAAGATACCAAATTCACACTCTCCCTAGTCACAGTATTAACAGAAATATCACTGACTTATATCAAAAAGAACAGCACTCACGTCTTGTAGAAGATAGCAGAGAACTCGCCAGACTGCACGCCATCGTCGCGTCCGACACCGACATAGTCATACCCATCAAGCAACCCATGCAAATCACGAACCTGCCTGACAAGCGCCTCCTGCACGCAAAGAACATCAGGCGCATTAAACAAAACCTGATTAGCGACCTCGACCCGTCTCGTCGACCACGCCTGCTCGGAATAGGTCGAGTAGTAGTCGAGCTCGAAGTCGTAGGCAACGGTCTTGTTCAGACTTGCGAATGTTTTTGCGGGCGTGATGGTGTTGGATTTAGAGTCATAGCGCAGGTTGTAGGATTGCACACGGATTGTGTCGTTCACAACAGTAGCCGAGACGGCGGCGATCAATCCAGAGAGTGCGATGAGGCAAGTATTGAGTAGCATTGTGTTGTCTTCAGATAGAGATACAAGCAGCAGACACAGACGCAGACAGACAGACAGACAGACAGAACAGCAGACACAGCTGATAAAGACAGGGCCACGAGCTGATTCAAGGAATTCAGCGAAAGCCACAGGACTGAGGAACGTGCAACAGAGGTCGGCAGGATTGGCTTCCACTCCGCAGTGACTGCCCTACACCTAAGTCGCCTAGACCGCGACAATAGTTGATTATGAGAGCATTGGTTGATTATCAGAGCATATACTGACACACAGACAGAATATAACAATCACTAGCACTCAATTGATCAGACATTCTCTCATATCGAGACCAAACAGAACAAAAGCAGTCGTCAGCTGGCTTGGCCCAGACTCGGCAGCTCCGCAGAGCAATGTTCAGCCAGAAGACGAATAGCCAGCACGTGGAGTAACCTGATTACATAAGCTCTGACATATCAAAATGACTAAAGCCTTACTAATCAAATGACGAGGTTCCGACGCGTTCCGAGAACAGACCCGGAATGCGCCGGCGCGCTTTGACTGGTTCTCCGGCGGCCTCGACCAACTTCTCCAGCTTTCCGTTGATTCTCTTCTTCTTCCAACCTCCTCGTCTTCTTCTTCCTCATCCTCCTCCTCTCCTCCTCCTCAATTACAACTCACAATGTCGGCCGTCGCTCGCACCCTGCGTCGTCAGGCTCCCGCTGCCTCCCGCGCTCTTCTCGCCCGCTCATCCGTGAAGGCCTTCCCGGCCCTCACCCGCTCCTTCTCGGCGTCGCCTGCTTCCTGGGTGAGTCGTCTCTTCTTCTTCTTCTTCTTCTTCTCCTCCTTCTTCTCTACCGCGGATCCCGATATATAAATCAATTGTCGTGACCAAGTCAATCCCGGGTGCATGCTTAATCATCATCCCTCACGTGTGCGGCCGGACATGACTCCGCGCTATCTTCGACTCCACTTCTCCACATCCTCTCCTTCTTCCCTCCTCTCCTCCTCTCCATCCTCTCCTTCTCTCTCTTCACCTCTACTCTCTCTCATCCTCATCAATTCCTCTCTAATAATCACCATGCAGGCTCACCGCACCGAGACCGATGCCTTCGGACCCATCGAGGTCGACTCCTCCCGCTACTGGGGTGCGCAGACCCAGCGCTCGAAGCAGAACTTCGATATCGGCGGCCCGACCGAGCACATGCCTCTCCCAGTCGTCCGCGCCTTTGGCATCCTCAAAAAAGCCGCCGCCGAAGTCAACCTCCGCTACGGCCTCGACCCCAAGATCGCTGAGGCCATCAAGACCGCCGCGCAGGAGGTCGCCGACGGCAAGCTCGACGACCACTTCCCCCTCGTCGTCTTCCAGACCGGCTCCGGCACCCAGAGCAACATGAACGCCAACGAGGTCATCTCCAACCGCGCAATTGAGCTCCTCGGCGGCGAGCTCGGCTCAAAGACTCCCGTCCACCCCAACGACCACGTCAACCGCTCGCAGTCCTCGAACGACACCTTCCCCACCGTCATGCACATCGCCGCCGTGCTCGAAATCACCCAGCGTCTCCTGCCTGCCCTCACCGACCTCCACGCCGAGATCCTCAAGAAGGTCGAAGAGTTCAACCACATCATCAAGATCGGCCGCACCCATCTCCAGGACGCGACCCCGCTCACCCTCGGCCAGGAGTTCTCTGGCTACGCTACCCAGCTCGAGTACGGTATCGAGCGCGTCAAGACCACCCTCCCCCGCCTGCGTCTGCTTGCCCAGGGCGGTACCGCCGTCGGAACCGGTCTCAACACCAAGAAGGGCTTCGACGTCGCCATCGCTGAGGAAGTCACCAAGCTCACCGGCGAGCAGTTCTACACCGCCCCCAACAAGTTCGAGGCCCTCGCCGCCCACGACGCCATCGTCGAGGCCTCCGGTGCTCTCAACACCCTCGCCGCCTCGCTCTTCAAGATCGCCCAGGACATCCGCTACCTCGGATCCGGCCCCCGCTGCGGATACGGCGAGCTCTCGCTGCCCGAGAACGAGCCTGGTTCGTCGATCATGCCTGGTAAGGTCAACCCTACCCAGAACGAGGCCCTGACTATGGTCTGCGCCCAGGTCTTTGGTAACCACACCGCCATCACCTTCGCCGGTGCCTCGGGCCAGTTCGAGCTCAACGTCTTCAAGCCTGTCTTGATCCGCAACCTCCTGTCCTCCGTCCGCCTCCTCGCCGACGGCTGCAAGTCCTTCAACCTCCACTGCGTGCAGGGCATCAAGGCCAACGAGGGCCGCATCAGCCAGCTCATGAACGAGTCCCTCATGCTCGTCACCGCGCTCAACCCCAAGATCGGCTACGACATGGCGTCCAAGGTCGCCAAGAACGCCCACAAGAAGGGCTTGACTCTCAAGCAGTCTTGCCTCGAGCTCGGTGCTCTTTCTGAGGAGGAGTTTGAGGTGTGGGTCAGACCCGAGAAGATGATCGGTCCTTCTGATTAGATATAACAGCCATTTTAATCTATAAAGACTCTTTCATAATAAACATACTTACGTACACAGACATCTACACTAAACCCTCGCATTGTAAGCACAACGTAGCCGCATGCCTGCACAGACTTCTTGCCTCTGCTCCGCCCTGCCGAACAGCAAAAGGCCAGACCACAGCGCCCGTCGAGCAATTCGTTGACGAAGCTACTGAAGTCTTGTAATAACAGAGACTGTGCTCTGTCTGCTAATACTCTGCCTGAGCGCGACGATACGGAACTAGAAAAAGCCATGTCGGCCCCGCTGTACGTCTCGTCTTACTCCTCCTCGACCGAGATTCAGTTCATCAACAACCTCACCTCGCCGCCCACCGTTCTCCATATCTCAAAGCCTATTGGGGAGATCTCTGTTTCAAGAAGTGCGTATTTCTACTTTATATTCGACTGCACTTCCTTCCATTCTTCTATACTCACAAGCAATTGCACTCCAGTCGATGGTGAAACAGACAAGTTCGCGACCTTTGGCCAGTCCCTGCCCGGAATCTTAGGCATCGTCCGTCTCCGGTTCGGGAAATACGTCATCGTCATCACAAAGGCTGAAAAGATCGGGTTGATCAAAGGCCACGCCATCTACCAGATCATCGACTTCGAGTTCATCGCCCTACAAGACGGCGTCGTCAGAGACAAAGACGAGGCTGCGTACCTCGCCCTTCTCAAGCGCGGTGTCAAGGCTGGGCCGATGTATTTTAGTTATACTTGGGACCTTTCCAATTCTATGCAAAGACAGAGCAGTTCTACTGATTCTCCTGTTTGGATGAAAGTGCGTCCTCTACTCTTTTCATAGTCTCTGCCATAGTCCGACCACACGACTCTAACTCTCTCTCCTCTAGGCCGACGACCGCTTCTTCTGGAACAAGTTCGCCATATCTCCTCTGATCGAATTCGCCGACTCAGACCCCGAAGTATCCCACTTCATCCTCCCCGTAATCTTTGGCTGTATGTCCCCCTCCTTCCCCCTTCATCTCATCTCTGCTAACAAAACAGACGTCAACCTCACGAAAACCTCCCTGAAATCAACCGCCTTCACCTTCGGCCTGATCTCCCGCCGCTCGCGTTTCCGAGCTGGAACTCGGTACTTTTCCCGCGGCATCGACGCCCAGGGAAACGTGTCAAACTACAACGAAACCGAGCAACTCGTCATCCTCGACGAAACCGCCCAGTACACCACCTACTCCTTCGTCCAGACCCGCGGCAGCGTGCCCGTCTACTGGGCAGAGATAAATAACCTGCGGTACAAACCCAAGCTCCGAGTTTTCGACACCGCGCTCGAGTCCGCCAAGCTTCATTTCGAGACACAAAAGAAATACTACGGCCGCAATTACTGCGTCAACCTCGTGAACCAGGCCGGCTACGAAATGCCCGTGAAATCCGCGTTCGAAACCGCAATCACAAACCTGAACGACCCCGACGTCCTGTACATCTACTTTGACTTCCACCACGAATGCAAAGGCATGAAATGGTACCGCGTCCAGCTCCTGATCGACAAACTCATCGGCCTCGGCGCGGGTGACATGGGCTGGTTCCAGTCCGTCGAGTCGCCAGAGAAATCCACCACGATCGTGCAAAAGACCCAGAACGGCGTCGTGCGCACAAACTGCATGGACTGTCTCGACCGCACAAACGTCGTGCAGTCCACCCTCGCGGGCTGGACCCTCCAGCGGCAGTTGATTGACGCGCGGATTTTGGCGCCGGCCGAGCGCTGGGAAGAGGATGCGGCGTTTGTCTCGGTGTTTAGAAACATGTGGGCCGATAACGCTGATTTCATCAGTAAAGCCTACTCTGGAACCGGAGCCTTAAAGACAGACTTTACGCGCACGGGCAAGCGCACAAAACAAGGTGCGCTGCAAGATCTGCGCAACTCGATCGAGCGGTACGCAAAGAACAACTTTTTCGACGGCCCGCGCCAGGACGCGTACGACTTGTTCCTCGGCAACCATCTCCCGTACGAGGTCGCCGAACCGCCCTTCCGCGACCACCGCCCGCTGCTCATCCAATCGATGCCGTACGTAGTCTACGGCGCGATCATGATGATCATGGCCGCGATCTTCCTTCCGCGCGCGAACGACGCTCGTCTGTCGATCCGGCTGTTTATCCTTATTTGGCTGCTCGTCCTCAGCTACGCGATGTGGTTCATCGCGGGCCACGGCCTCGCGTATGTAAACTGGCCACGGCTCGTGCAGCTGGACTATGTCGGCGAACAGGAGGTTGTTCATGCGGGGACTGGGAAGATTAAGGGATGGGTTATGTCTGAGAAGACAAAGCTCGAGAGCCGGATTAGAGGTCTTGAGGAGGGTAAGAAGCGGACTGAGTAGGATATACATTTGTTCTAGATCGGGTTGCCGTTGTTGAATGTAACGCTAGATGTCGCTAGATGTAACGCTAGATAGTCTGTTTTTTTGTTTATCAAATGAGTCGTCAATGTAATCAATCGTCAATGTAAAAACTTTTATTAAACCAAACAAAACAACAAAACAACGTGCTATCTATCGCACTCTCTCTATTTCTTCCCCTTCTTCCCGCCCTTCTTCTTCTGATCGCCATCATTCAAATTCGCCGTCGCCTTCGTCTTCTCCACCTTCCGTCTCTTACTCTTCAGCAAATCCTTCTTCTGTTCCTTCTTGTTGATTCCGTACTGCATCTGGTTATACAGCTTCTTCTGCTTATTCGTCATCATGATCTTCCGCAGCTCCTTCTCCTCTCTCGCCTGCTTCTCCGCCGCGGATAACTTTCGCGCGGGCTTCTCGTCCGCTGCGGCGGCGCGTTTGCGTTTCTTGCCGGCGGGGGCGGTAGAAGAAGAGGAGAAGGTGACGCCCTTGGCTTCGGCTTCGAGTTCGCGCTGGTGCGCAAGCGCTTCGTCTTCTTCCTCGTCCTCGTCCTCGTCGCCAGCAGTAGTAGCGACCAACTCCTCTTCCTCCTCTTCCTCATCCTCGTCGCCATCATCCACGTCCATCTCACCATCAACGCTCTCATCATCATCCTCATCGTCCTCCACGGCGTTTTCAGGATCATACCCAACCGCATCGCCCCACGGCGACAAATGCGGCGGCAGCGTCGCTCCCACCGCGTACTCGTCCACCGGCAACAACCGCCCTTTGTTCAACGAATCAAAGACCCACTGCGGCTGCACGTATATCCTACCCGGCACGCGACTCGCCAGCACAGGCCGGTCGCAGATCTGGTGCGTGACACTCTTGACAAGGTTCTCGACCTCGAGCTTGCGCTGCTCGACCACTTCCTCATCCTCGTCGTCCACGTACGAGTCCAGCGCGGACTCGGAGATCACGCGGCCGCCGAGCGAGAGGATCGCGAACTCGAGGATATCGAGCGGTACCTCGCGGCCGACGTAGATCGTGAACGGCGCGAGCAGCGATTTGAGCGCGTCTTCCGCACTGATCTCGTCCGGCTGCGGGAGGATGTCAGAGACGGCAGAGGTGGTGGATGGAATCGCAGTGAACTCATCGAGCTTGGCTTCGGAGGCCTCCTCGGCCTCGGTCGTCTCGTCCTGAGCGGTGTTCTCCGCGTCGGCGTCGGCCTCCTGGACTTTAGAGATCGCAGAGGAGATGGTCTGCGCGCGAGCAGTCATCTCAGATTCGCTGATAGCCGCCTTTGCAGACTCGTCTGCCTCCGCGCTCTCAGCGTCCTGAACCGCAAGCAAGTTCTTATCCTTCTTGCTCTCCAAGATGTACGCCGACAACCCTCCAACACCCTCCTCCTTTGCGGCGTCGATCTTTGGCGGATAGACAAGCCCGGCGTCAGCGTAGAGCTTGTAAAGCACAAACTGGAGCAGCGTGACGTAAAACTCGAGGAAGGTGAGCATGATGCGGAAATCGATATCCGTCGGGATGTTTTGCGGGAACTTGAACGGCACGAGCCAAACCACTTCCTGGCCCTTGATCTCGGCCTCGTAGTAGACGCCCTTGATACTCACAAACACTTTTCTCAGCGCGCGCTCGCGAGCAACGTAGGCCATCCACTGATTACAAAGCCTCTCGGCATCAGCCGTGATCTTTGCCGACACCCGATCGGTGGCCGGCATAGCGGCAAACAAAAACAGCATGCTCAGCGCGTCGTCGAGATCGCGGACGGCATCGAGAAAGGTCGGATACCGTTCCTTGATAATCCGGTCGAGCGTGTACCGCGGCCGATTGTCGTCCAGCTTCTTGGCGTCCGAGACGTCGCCGCGGCCGAGGGCGCGCGAGAGCTTGCGCGCAAAGATCTTGTGCTCGCGGAATTTCTGAATCACGGGCTCATGCAGAAGGTATTGGATGTCTTTGGTGTAGTAGAACGTGGTAGGCGCGGTCGAGCCTTTGTTTGCCTTCTTTGCGGATCGCGGGGCACGGGGGTAGATTCCCTTGAAGATACAGATTCGTCTAGAGTATAATTATAAGCTTCCTATCCAGGTTAAAACAGAAAGTAGAGAAGAAAGATACCTGAAATCAGCGAGCGAGAGCTGAAGTTTCTTCACCGCCTGCGTGCGCGTAATGAAATTCTTAGCGGCACCAGCCTGATGTCTCTTTTTGATCCTCATGATGTCTTTCTAATATCCCGTTGCAGCAAAACTGTAGTAGTTTTACGTGCGTGCAGTGAGAGAAATAGGGAAACAAAAGGTATTTGCTGAGGGAGGAGGATATTTGGGAGCACCGAATCTGAAATTTTTTTGAATTTGGGAGTTTTTTTTTTCCTCGTCACGTGGACAGAAAGTTCAAAACAGCGGCGGGGTTCTGCAGGGGCGTCGTGGTTTGGGAGCCAGAATAAGCAGCGGAAAAATTTGGAAGAGGTTTGGGAAGACTCGGGTTCTCGGGAATCTTTATTTGAAACGGAGCAGGACTGTTGACTGTTTTTTTTGTCTGCAGAAGGAAGAAGGAAGATAAGGAGAAGCTATAGTTGAGAAAGAAGGGACAATGAGTGCGCGGTTAAGGAATATGACGGCTATAAGGCTCGGTCAGGCCGTAAGTGCTTCTCAGATTGATATACGACTTATTGATACTTGTACTAACACCTTTCTTCCAGAGAAGAGCATTTTCCTCGTCATTTGTCACTGCGAAACCACCGCAGGGAACTCAACCAAACCAAAATAACAATGCACCGAACGCTAAAAAAAAAGACAACACGCCGGTAGGCGGTTTCGGAACCGACGCTCTCTTTGGCAGTTACCCAACTGCTCCGAGGAGCCAGTCGAGACATGTGTTGGGGACGATGGATACTGAGAATATGAGCTTTGATGATCGGCTGACACAGGCAACTACGGATACTGCGGCTGTCAACACGAGGGGACTGGGATATGAACATTTTTTTAGAGATAGACCTAGACGGGCGCAGAGTAATTCGAGGCCCATGCGGAGTGGTGCGATGAACATGCAGCTTTCGCATGAACGCGAGGAGAATGTTGATCTTGACTATCTTAGTACCGAGACTGAAGACTACCTCGGTGGATCAAGGAGGAGCGAACAAGACGAACGCCGACGGATGCTCGAGCGAGACCGGGAGCGAAGCGAGATGATGAAGGAGCGCGCTAGAGAAAAGAGACAAGCAAAGGAAGGTTCGCGAGGCAGAGACAAGCCTTTGCAGAATGCTACGGATGACGCAGAGCTCACTATAGCGGATATCCAGGAGCCTGAGATTGTTCCGAGAACGGTGGAGAAGAAGAAGCCGAAGCAGGAGAAGAAAGAGACGCAAGATGACTGGGATGTGAGGAGACTTGTTGTTCCGCCGACAATCTCGGTGCAGAAACTCGCGACTCTTATTAAGGTCACTCCGATGCTTCTTAGGAACGTTATGAGGAATCTGGGTTACGATAATCTCGCGTTTGACTACAGTAAGTCTTTAACTCGCTCTTCAACAATGACTCCGTAGCTAACTTCATTTTCTAGTCCTCGACTTTGAAAACGCAGCTCTCATCTGCCAAGAATTCGGCTTCGAAGCCAAAGAAGGCAAAAACATCGACATCTTTGCACAGCCCCTCCCGCTAGACACGGAAACACTCCCGACCCGTCCTCCGTTTGTCACAATCATGGGCCACGTCGACCACGGCAAGACCACGATTTTGGACTATCTGCGCAAGTCTGCGATTGTGGAAGGCGAGCACGGCGGAATCACGCAGCATATCGGTGCGTTCTCGGTGCCGACGCAGAGCAATGACAAGACAATCACGTTCCTCGATACGCCGGGACACTCTGCGTTTCTAAAGATGCGGCAGCGCGGCGCGAACGTGACTGACATCGTTATCCTTGTCGTCGCGGCAGACGACTCGGTGATGCCGCAGACGATCGAGGCAATCAAGCACGCGCGCAACGCCAAAGTTCCCATCATCGTGGCCGTCAACAAGATCGACAAGCCGAACGTGAACGTCAATAAGGTTTACGAAGATCTGGCGGTGCAGGGCGTCATCGTTGAGGAATACGGCGGGGATACGCAGGCGATTAAGGTCTCGGGGTTGACCGGCCAGGGCATCGACGAGCTCGAAGAAGCGATTCTCGCGCAGGCTGAGATTCTCGACCTGCGTGCGCCTGTTAATGGTAAGGTCGAGGGATGGGTTGTCGAGTCCGAGGTGATTAAGGGCCGCGGAACGGTTGCGACGGTGGTCGTGCGACGAGGACAGCTGGTCAAGGGACTGGCGCTGGTAGCGGGTACGGCGTACTGCCGCGTGAAAGCACTGCGGGATGAGAACGGACGCATGATGCCTTTCGCTGGACCTGGGTTCCCTGTCGAAGTCGAAGGGTGGAAAGAGCTTCCGGAAGCAGGCGACGAGGTGCTTGAGGCCGCAGACGAAAAGCATGCGCGGCTGGTGGCGGAGTTCAGGGCAGAGAACGAGGTGCAGCGGGTGTTGCTTGACGATCTCAATGAGTTGAACGACCGACGACAGCAGGACCGAGACAACTACAGCCAGCGCCTGGAGCATGAGCGAACGACGATGACGAACAAAGCTCGACAGAAGCGCAGACGGACTCAGACGTTTTTGGTCGACCAGAACGAGGACGGGGACGTAAAGTATCGGAATTTCATTATAAAGTGCGATGTGATGGGGTCTGTGGAAGCGATCATTGACTCGATCTCGACGATTGGAAACGACGTTGCTAAAGTGCGCGTGGTCCACCCCGAGTCCGACCTTGGCCCGCCGACTGCGTCGGATGTCGCGCTCGCAAAGACGGCGGGAGCGGATATTATCTGCTTCAATGTGAAGCCGGACCGCGAGATCAAGGCGTTGGCTGCGAGAGAAGGCGTGAAGCTGGTGACGCACAATGTGATTTACCATCTGATTGAGGACGTGACCTCGCGCACGGCGGAGCTGCTGCCGCCGATCAATGTGAAGAAGACGGTAGCGGAGGCGGAGATCCGGATGAAGTTCGACGTGACGGCGAAGAACGGGCAGATTGTGTCGATTGCCGGGTGTAGAGTGATTTCAGGGACAGCGAAGCGGACGTTGAATGTGAGTGTGATGCGCGGGGACGAGGAGTTTTATGACGGGACGCTGGAGGCGATGAAGCAGGGCAAGAAGGACGCGAGCGAGGTGCAGAACGGGAGTGAGTGTGGCATTATGTTTAAGGATTTCAGGACGTTTGAGTCTGGTGATATCGTGAGGTTTTACACTTTGACGCAGACGAAGGCGTATTTGTAGTTTGATGGCTGTACATATTTTTCTAGATTATGAATACTACTTTCGTGTCTCTTCCCATTGTACACCGATCCATTCCTCGGCATACCCAACGCCGTGCTTGTCAAGTGGCGGAACACAATCCTGCTTGCACGTAGCGACGATTATAGTCCCCCACTCCATACCATTGAGCATATCAACACCACTGCTTTCTTCTAGAACTTGGATCGCGTGCGGCATGAGCTGGAACTCAAACACTCGCTCACCGCCACAGAGACTACACCGGGGGATAAGGCTGGAGGAGTACGCGCCGCCAGCCGACCGGGACGTGATCTGTCGGGCCACGGCGTCGGATTTGGAGTAGAGCAAAGGCGCAGCCGCGCGTTCGTAGCGGACGACTTGCTCTGGATTTTCAGCGACGGTATCAGCAAACTTCTGAAAGACCTTGTCGATCGCGTTAGCCCCGTCTGCGCCGCCGGCCCCAGACTCAGGCATCGAAGACCATTCGTCTGCTTCGGAGGAGTTTGCGTCGAGTAGCTCGAAGCGCTGGTTGATTTCGGCGGGGGCGGATTTGTCGGGAAGGTACTCGTTTTCGACGTAGAGGAAGTATGGCATGTACTGGTCTTGGGGTTGTTCAGGCCAGGGCTCGGGGGTGGGTGGTGGGTGTGGGGTGCTGTCGATGTGTGTTTTTGCGAGGGAGTCGGTGAGTGAGGAGTCGAGACTTGCGACGTTGCTCCAGGAGGTGGTGGGTTGGGGAGGAAGAGTAGATGTTGAGGAGGAGGGGGTAGGAGTAGCAAACGGGTTATCGCCAAAACCGGATCCAAATAGAGCACCGCCGATATCAGCCTGCATCTCTCTTTCTTTCTGGACCTCTCGTGCCTGCTCTTCAGCCTTACGTTTCTTCTTTTCCTCTTCCTCGCGCAAATTATCAGCGACCCGCTTCATTTTCTCTTGGTTATGCATGACGCCTCTGAAGACGCGGGCGGATCCAGGGATACGACGACAGCGGGGCTCTTTGCATGCAAAGAGGTAGACGACGCGCTCGTAGAGGGTTCCGTCGAGAGCGGCGTAGGCCTGGATGAGTTGGTTCATGATCTTTTTGCAGTTTTGGCAGCGAGCGAGGGATGCTGATGGTGGGGAGTCGGGGTTGAGCCAGATCTGTAAGAAGAAGTTAGCAGAGTGAAGGCAGGAGAGGAGAATAAGGTGGGATGGGATATGTACAGGAAGACCACCGATACGGGTGTCGAGAGCGGTGGCGGTGGCATCGGCAGGCTCGTCGGGGTAGCCTAGAAGAGTGCTTGTTTTTCCGGTCTGCGAGACGACGGAAGCGTCCGAGTCGGAGTCGTAGTCTGCCGACATGTCTGTTTGCTTCTGATTGAGTGGGCGGTGAACTGGAGATGCAGTTGCAGCGCGGGTTGTTGGGAGTAGAGAATATTTTTTCAGGGGTCGGAAACCCTACAGAAAGATAGAGTAAGTAGTCACGTGCAGTGTTAGTAAGTAATGAGTAATGTTAATGACAGAGGGATTAGTAATGAGCACGGCTAAGAAAGCTAAGAACTAAGAACGGCTTGGAACAGGTGAGGCTGAGGAGGGACGAGCTTAGCAGGGATTTGAAGAGAGCCGAAACCTACGGAAGAAGTAGGGAAGATAAGAGATGGTGAATATAACAGCAGTAGTATTATATCATTATATGTAATAATAGAACATATAAACAAACAACAACAACACACTTATCAATACAAATACAAGCAGCCGGCAGCTCGAGGGGGATCTCCACCCAAACCTGAAGCGGCTGTAAAGAAAACCTTATTCCGCCTCGAAGCTCAGCTGCTTTGGGAGGAAGCAGCTCGCTATAACTTGCGCTCCTCCTCCTTCCCTCCATCGCCAACCCTTCTCTTCTCAACACACCATGGCCAGAGGAAACCAGAACACAGCCGAGGACGACGTCGTCCCGATGCTGCCCGGCGCGGCGCCAATGCCCGTCAGCGACCCCGGCACTTCCATCTACGCAAACCCCTACGACAACCCGGACGTCCACGACCGCAACGCCGACGCTGAAGTCACCGAGAAGGGCACACAGCTGTCGAAGGGATGGGCTGCCTACCTTCTCACCAGACGGATCATTGCCATCGTCTTTTTCGTTGTCGCCGTCATCGTCGGCATCGCCGCCGGTGTCGTGGTCGCCAAACGGCACCGCGATTACGAGCAGAGTTTGCTGGACGGAATCGGTTCAGTCACCTCTTCTCCTTCTCCTGATGCCAGTAGCGTCCCCGAGCCACACTTGGGTGGTGGTATGATCTCTAATGATGTCAGTGCGTCTGTGATTGACGGTTTCCAGGGGACCGGATACGGAGACTCTGAATATGTCAACTTATTGACCGTCTACGCCGATAAGTCCATCGAGACCACTGCTCAGCAGGCAATCATCGACTATGGCACTATCGAAAAGTCGTTCTGCATCCCTGAGAGCAACGTGGCGGGATCCATGGCGCCGTTTACCTCCACCGACGCTGACGGCATCGACGACGAGACCGGCACGGAATTGTTCGAGTACGCCAGATGGACCGACGGCTCTCGCGCCGGCTACGTTCTCAACGGCCATTACTCGACCGACAACACCAACGGAACTGTCTACACAAAGGCTACCCTCAGCAAGGACAACGCTGGCAACTACACCGTCCGTGCTTCGTTCAAGGTTATTCTTGATGACGAGTACGCTGATGGAAACAACTATACTGCTGTCGAGTTGACTGTTCGTCAGCCTAACAGCAATAGCTCTTATTCTGATATCATTGGACAGTGGGCTATTCCTCAGTACCAGATCAATGAGCAGTCATTCAACAGTGAGACTGTTGTCTTGATGGTTCCGTTTACTGTGCAAGAAGATGGCGATGTCTATGTGTTTTTCAAGGTATTTATCTCTCTTATTCTACTTCTTATCTCAAGACTATACTAACAGCATCTGCAGGCCACGACATCCTTCCAAAAAACATTCGTCTACAGCTTGACGGTGGCGTCGGACGACGAAAACTCTTGCAGCTCGTCCGACCCGACCTACTCCAACTATCTTGCTGGCGAGCTCAGCACCGACAGCTTTTTGACAATCCAGTCGGTTGCCAACGAGACAGATGATGTGCCGGACTCGTACATCGACAGCTATTGCACGCCCGACAGCACTATCAATCACGCCCATTTCACAAAGTACTGGGCGTCGTCGTCTTTTGAGTTTGATGATAGTTCACTCTCTGCGTCTTTGATCACATGGGGAGACGATTCAAAGGGCGGTATTCATCTGTCGGGCCTTGATACGACAAAGGACGATTCTTTGGAGCTCTTGGTCAACGACGGCGTTGATAATATCGATTTCAACCAAACGATCGCGATTCGCGCGACTTTTATGCCCCAGATTTATGGCGACTACCGAGACGCGCTCGACCTGAACGCGTTCAGGTTGATGGTCAAGATGGGCAACGGTACCTCGGACGGCCTTGGCACGTCGCTTGTGGACGTCAAGGTCAGTCAGACGGATGCGTACGCGTTTGGATGGAACAATACGGTTGTGACGATGATTGGCAAGTTCACGACGCTGGCCGAGAACGACACCACGGCTGATGCGCAGAAGATGAAGATCTATGTGGGAGCGACTCTGAACAGGCAGGATACGTATGTCTTCACGACGGCCATCTACTCAAACATCTCGGACTCGTCGTGTGGATTCATGGATCCGAAGTATGAAAGCAGTGTGTTTGAGGGGATGTCTTTTAAGACAATGGAGAGCAGTTGAGTATGAGTGCAATTAGCTGTAGTTTGAATATGATTTCTGTATAATCCTTAAACCCTACAAACGCCCTATTGTTACTAGAATTCTATTATTATCTTCTTATCGAGTTTCAAACCCACGTGACCATGTGGCTGGCCGTGCGATGGATGGCTGTGCGCAGAGTGGCGGTGCAGACAGTAGCCGCTTGGGGAGTTCGCGAAGAAGCTGAAGGGTTTGTGGTTGTGGAGGCTTTTGCTGCTATTTAAACCACTCCGCCCGGGCTGTTCTGAGAGAGAGTATTGTTGTTGTATCTGCTGTTGTATCTCTTGTTGTATCTCATAATGGTAGTTATCGTCTGTTTATCGTTATCACTACTCTGTTATACTAATTGCCGTGCTAATTACTCAGGAATCACCCGCTCCCTCACCACCCCATTCCACCAGAACCTCGACATCATCCCTCGAAGACCCCTTCTCCGGCCACGACCATGCAGACTACGAACAGGAATTTGACAGTCTGCCAATGCTTGACCGCGACGCAATGGACCTCCCCATGCGCGCGCCCGAAGCCGACCCTATCGACCTCCCCATGCGCGACGGTTCTTTAGCTGAAGTAGCGTCCCCCGAAGGCCCCTTTCTCGACCGCTCCGCGATCGGATACTCGCAGGTTCCTACGGTTGACGCCGAGAAGATGTATAGCTTTGCGCCGCCGACTGTCAGCATACGAAAGACCCGTCGTCGCATCTGCGGCCTTTCTATCGCTGTCTTCTCAATCATCCTCGCGGTCGTGGTGCTCCTCATTCTCGGCCTTGGCCTCGGTCTAGGTCTCGGGCTGAAAAAACACCAGGCGGTTTCCTCCAACGAAGATACCTCGACTGTCCATATCTCGAGCAAAGTGACGGAGGCGCGGGCAACGCTCGAGTCTGGCTCAAGTCTCGCAGACTCGTTCTGCAAACCGAAATCTTCGCTCTTTAACGATACGATCCCGACCTTGAAATCGTGGAATCAAAGTCAGGAGTTTGATGCGTTTGTGACCACCACTTGGACCGATGGGTCTGCGGGTGGTGTAAAGCTGTCATATACCCCTGACAGCGACGACTACTCAAACATCCTCCCCTACGTCTACAAAAGCGACTACCTCGATCTCGACATCGAATACGGCGTCAGAGTCACGTTGCAGATCTTCCTAGATGACGGCTACGACCCTAGTCTCGACCTCATCGCTATCCAAGCCCAGGTCAACGTCGGCCAAGCGTTAACCCAGTCCACCTCTGTTGTCTGGAAATGGAGCAATCTCCAATACGAGCTCGACGCCAACGGATACAACGCCACCACGTTCACCATCCAGGACGTGTTCACCGTTCCTTCAACGATCGACGTCACAGATTCCTCTCATTTCCAGTTTCTGATCTACATGTCTCCCTTCAACCAAACCGGTTACGTCCTCTCCGCCTCGATCTTCAACTCAACCGATACAACCTGCGACGGCGATGATCCAAACTACCCAGCCTTAGACCTGGACTACGAGCTCGACCAGGAGACTTCCACGATCATGGTCCAGTCGAATAGTAACGTGACCAAGTTTGACAAATCTGCCGAATCTCTGTTTTGCTCGTTTGACTCTACGATTTTGGGTGAGGACGTCGCGAACCTTACTATGGGGTGGTACTCAATCTCGCGAGATGATGACGGCGAGACGAATTTCTTTGATCAGATTATTTGGGAGGACGACAGAGTCGGAGGATATGGTCTGCAGTCAGAATCTGGCGATCGCGATACTTGCCGGTCTTGGCTTTCGATCACGAAAAACCTTACTATGAACGCAGGTTATGGTTTCAAATTCTCCTTCAAGACGATCTTGAGCTCGTCGTTCGATTCTTCTGCTGTATGTTCTACTTTTTATTTTTGTTATTTATCTAGTGCTAACATATTATAGGATCGGGAAGCTATTCGGGCTGTAATCTTCCCTGAAGAGGACTCAAATTCACCGGTTTACGAGGCGACTCTTATGCAGAACGAAATATACGAGTATGGATGGAACGATACAGTCGTGACCGTGCAAGTATACTTCATCTCTTCCGACAAATACAACAGCACCGTCTTTCAAGTATACGTAAGTGCCAGTGCCCCAATGTTTCCTCTGTTTAGTTACTAACACACATTCATCTATAGGGACAAGACGTAGACCAAACCACGTACTACTTCCTCGTCGACGTCTACGCCGACGGGAAGGATACATCCTGTGGCTTCACAGACCCGGATTACGTCCAGTCGTCGATAACGGGGCTGTCGAGCTCTGACGGCGATTAGAGTGTTTGTTTGTATTTTGTACTTTATGTTTCATGATTGGTCGGGTTTCTCTGCATTGGATTGCGCGTGTGCTTTATTTTGTTGTAACTTCTATATATTTTTGATTGTATGTATTTTCTATCTCTAATATCAGTATAATTTCCATCAATGATAGTCTTTCGTAGGTCGCATTCTTTAGAACAAAGCACTCAGCCGTGCAGCGATAAGCCAAGCCAAAGTTTCATCGCATCAAAGTCAAAGTCCAAAAATAACATTCGGACTTCACAATTAAAGCAGCCAGCAGCCAGCATCCCTCTCCTTCTCTTCTTCTCTTCTCGCTATAGATGAATGACTGTCGGTGACCAGAGCTGGTTTCTTTTTTTGCTTTTGTATTGAAGAAATAAGGAGCTGAGAGGATACAGGATGGTGAGTTGGATGGCGTTTACGGGTGTTAAATGGTGTGGACTGACATCATCGCCAAGCAGGCAGAAAACGACGCAGCAGCAGCAGCAGCAAACAACTCGAATACAAGTGCAAGCAGCAACAATGAACACCAACAGACTGAAAACCATGAAGACAGTAATCATCAAGACAGCACAGCTGCATCGCAACAGCTCAACTCACCCACCGAGAGCGAAAGCTCAGAAGGTGTCTTAGCTTCCACCTCCACCGGCACCACCGCCCACGATGACCACGACGACGACGACGACAACCTCTCCAAAACAGCGACGGAGACGGACGAGACAGACGCGCAGCCCGAAAAACCAGGACAGGAGATCGATCCCGCTATAATCCTCCCGCAGCTCATTCACAAGATCGATCCTCCGACGCAGCAGATTCGACGGGTCGAACCGAATGTTTCTACGAAGATAGGAACGACGTCAAAGAGACGGATATGTGGGATCAGGTTACCGATTGCTATCTGCGCTCTTCTTTTGATTGCTCTTGCGGTTGGGTTGGGTGCTGGCCTCGGCGTTGGCTTGAATAAGAATAAAAGCAGTAGCGCATCAACTGCTCCCTCATCGCCATCCTCCCCTGCCTCCTCCTCCTCCTCGACGTCAGCTTCCGCCACCGAGTCATCAACCTCATCCGCTACATCCACCGCCACCGTCGTCGCTCTCCAAGCCGCGACCGAGACCCCGACCGCGCGAGACACGATCTCCGAGTACGGCTCAGTCAAGTCCTCATTCTGCACCCCCGACGCCAGCATCCTCGGCTTCCTGCAAGCGAACTTCACCGTCGAGCTCATGGATTTCCAGTTTTACTCCTCGTACTGGCTTGATGGCTCGGACGCTGGGTTGGTGAGACAGATTGCGACTGCGAAGGATGATGTTGCGGAGATCACGGGCGAGGAGGAGGTTACTAGTGTGTTTGCGACGTGTCAGGTTGATTCGGGTCGTGAGTATATATTTCGAGTGTCTTTGAAGTATATTATAGACTCGGGATACAACAAGTCTGAGGTATGTCTTTTTTAACCCACCGTCGATCTACATACTGACTCTTAACAGGACTTGACCGCGTACTACATCTCCATCGTCCTCGGCTCTACCTCAGTCACCGACGACCTCTACCCCTTAAACACGACCATCGTCTCCCAGTCCGAAGCCATAACCTACAACGACACGACAATAACCCTCGAGCGCCGACTCACGATCCCCGACTCTCTCGACATCGCCAACCCAAACAACCTCCTCGTCACCTTCCAAGCCACTTCAGCCTACCAAACCACCTATCTCTACCTGATGACCTTGACCCCCGCCGCAAACGAGACATGCAGCGGTCCAGATCCGGATTTCAGCACGCGGCTGGTAAGCCCCCATGACGTCGACGTCGACCTCGTTGTTCGCGCAAACAGCGACTTTGCAAATATCTCGGCTTTGTCGACGACGATCGAGAGCAGTTACTGCATACCACCTGGAAACGTCACTCTCTCGCCTCGCTTTGAGTCTATAGACGACTGGTCTTCAGTCTCTGCAGACGTGGGTAGTACGACGTTCGCGTATACTTCTCTCAACTGGACAGATGGTTCGAGCGGGGGCGTCTATCTGGCTCCGATCACGGTCGACTTGCTTAGTGGTTCTGAGACGCAGTCGGATCCAGTGAGCTTGTATCAAAGCTTGCAGCTCAATTCTAGTACCGAGTATAAACTCCGACTAGCTTTTAAAATCGTCCTGCTGAATAACTACGACGACTACTCTTCGGTAAGATCTCTTCTTTCGGTGTCAGACGCGAATATCGCCGACTAACGCACTCATCCAGGACATCCCCGCCATCGCCATCTCCGTCCCCTCCTCCTCCTCCTCCTCCTCCTCCCCTCTATTCCAATACACCCTCTCGCGATCCGAAGTCGACAGTTTCGCTCTAAACGACACGACAATGACCGTCATCGGCACCTTCACCGCCGACTCAGACGACGGCACCGTCGTCCAGTTTAACTCCTCGGCTGTCATGCAGTACTCGTTCTTGTACCTCGCGAGCGTGTACACTGATACCGATAACTCTACGTGCGGATATTCGGATCCGAATTATGAGCTTTCTGCTGTTGATATAAGTTTTGATGATTAGTCAATAAGCTGATGTTTTGTTCACTTCACCGCCGACTCAGACGACGGCACCGTCGTCCAGTTTAACTCCTCGGCTGTCATGCAGTACTCGTTCTTGTACCTCGTGAGCGTGTACACTGATACCGATAACTCGACGTGCGGGTATTCGGATCCGAATTACGAGCTTTCGGCTGTTGATTTGAGTTTTTAAGAATGAGCTGGTGGTTTGTTCACTTCACCGCAGACTCAGACGACGGCACCGGCGTTCGGTTTAACTCCTCGGCTGGCATGCAGTACTCGTTCTTGTATCTCGCGAGCGTGTATACTGATACCGATAACTCTACGTGTGGGTACTCGGATCCGAATTACGAGCTTTCGGCTGTTGATTTGAGTTTTTAAGAATGAGCTGGTGGTTTGTTCACTTCACCGCAGACTCAGACGACGGCACCGGCGTTCGGTTTAACTCCTCGGCTGGCATGCAGTACTCGTTCTTGTATCTCGCGAGCGTATATACTGATACCGATAACTCTACGTGTGGGTACTCGGATCCGAATTATGAGCTTTCGGCTGTTGATTTGGGTTTTGATTAATGAACTGGTGTTTGTACTTTTGACATGTTCTTGTAATTTTGTATAATAGGCGACAGATTTAGTTAAACACGGTTCTTACTCAACGCAACAATCTCACAGCTCTTTGACCACCGTCGTATGGCGATGCTTCTCCTCCATAACAGAGTCAGACACCTCAGCCCTATACCCCGCCTCGTCGCCAACCGGAATAAGCACGTCCTCCTTATCGATCGCCAACCCAAGCTCATTATAGACCTTTCCGCGCTTCTTTGCCTCCCACCGAACATAGTACCAAAACATCGGCACCGTGAGCATCGCGAGCCCGTAAAACATCGCAGAAATCTGGTATCCGACCGGATAATGCGGCGCCAGGTTGGTAGGGTACATCACGAGCGGCAGCCAGGCCGACATCGCGTAGTTGATTGTATTCCCGAATCCGACCACGAGACCGCGCGTTTCGGCGTCGTCTTGGAAGGCTTCTGCCGCCCAGGCAATCACAATCGGCTGGTACCCGAAGCCCGCGTAGTTGAGCAGCTGCACGGCGAGCTTGAACTTGTACGGGATGTTCCACACCGCGAGCACGATGTTGCAGAAAAACGGGACGATCATGACTGCGAACGCGAACGGGCCGCGGCGACCGGTTAGGTCTGAGAGCATAGAGAACGTGTACGTGACGACGATCGAGATCGCGTTGCCGGCAGTCGGCAAGATGTTGATCATCTCGACCGAGAACTTGCCGGTCGACTTTAGCCAAAGATTGAAGTATCCCGAGCTCGATCCGAACCCGGCAACGTTATACGGACCTTGAAAGACATATGCTCGAGGAGACATGAAGAACTGCAGCAGTCGCTTTGCCGTAATCGGCCGCGGCGGTTTCCGACCGATCTTTGCCATTCTCGCGACCGCGTACTCCCTGTCTTTCTGGCTCAGCCAGATCGCTCTCGTGGTTGTCGGAAAGTCAGGAATGCAAAAGTAGCCCATGCAAGCGATCGGCACAGAAATCACACCGTCGATAATAAACGCCCATCGCCATCCGGCAATCCCCAGATGTCCGTTCAAAGTCGCGTAGACTCCGGACTGGATGTACCCCGAAAACATGCCCGCCGCCGAGCTGGAGACTTCAAAAAGAGCCATACGTTTGCCCATCTGGTCGGGATAGTACCAGCTACCGAGAATCAATGCGAATCCGGGGAAGACAGTAGCTTCCGCCAAACCGATGACGAAGCGGATTCCGTAGACTGTCTTTGCGTTCTGAACCGCAGCCAGACACATTACAAGAATACTCCAGACGAGCTCGCAGGTGGGAATGAAGATAGATGCGCGGGTCCGGTTGATGATGATTTGGGATGGGATGGATCCAATCAGATAGCCAATGTTGAAAAACGTGGTAAACAGATTGCGCTCTTGACCTTGAAGATTCAGCTAGAGTCAAACATTAGCAAACCGCAAAGTAAAGAGAGCAATTGAGAGTGGGCCATACATCTTCTTTCATTCCACTAACGTATGCATTCGAAACATTACCCTGGTCCAAGTACTTTACGACATAACTCAGCAGCGAGTACGAAAACAGAAAGAAATCCAGCCGCTGGATAAACCGTCGCTCCTCCGGCTCCAACTTGAACGAGTCCCAAGCAAATCCCACGATCCGTCGCCATCGGGGAGGGTCATATGGCTTGCGGATAGGTGTCGGTGCAGATAGTCGTTGCTCGCCTTTTTCGTCCACGTCGTCGTAGCAGTAAATCGCGGTCACGTCGGGCGCAGGGATCTCCACGTCGACATCAGATGATGCGATAGACGACGATACAACTGCGGTCTCTTTAGTTTGCGTCACCATTTCTATGAGTAGTGTATATCTGTGAACAAGACTCAGACGCTACATATCGGCCGCTCTTTATATCCCGCCATTTCAGACTCACCTAGAGCACGTCTTACTTTGACAGGTCCGCCCTTCAAACCTGTGACGGCCTCGAGAGATAACAGCAGAGATAGGCTAGTGAGTGCCGACAGCACTAAACTCTTGAACCCAACGAGTCATTGTGCGGAGCACCTCGCCCACGCTATCTTGTAGCCCCAACATACCTGGCTGCCTCGATCAAGACAATGGATGAGAACCGCTCTCTGCCGAGTAGTCTCGTAACCATCTTGTCTAATCGCAAAAGCAAAGCTCACTGCAGAGCATAAAAGCGAGCAATAAAGCAATATCGAATAACGATTGCAGCGCGGTAAGCCAGCAAATTAACCCCGCTGACAGGCAACGTGTGCCTGCGAGGATCAAAGGCCCGCCTCGCCGATAAGCAAAAATCCCGATAAGAGCCATTCCATTATCGCGGTTCAAGGAAAGCATACGTCACCTTCTCCCCCCCTCATCATTTTATACGCAGATGATCAATCGTGGAAATATTCACTATGTTGTTTTATTCTTTCATGATGCGCAATATGAAGATGTGTGTAGATAAGGCATCCGTGCTCGAACAAAGGAAGGAGATGATGGTCCATGCCTTTCTTTGTGCAGGGCGCAGGGAGAAAAGTGGCGCACTCCGGTCACGTAATCGCTTTATCCTGCCGCACAATTCTATGGCAGTATTAGTAAATCGCTCTCTGTAAATAACATCTTCTGTTAACAATTGTTATTCTATCAGCTAGATTTTGTATTATCGGTACTGCATATCTTAGATACATTAACGGGAGAAAAGATGCCGCTAACGGCGAAGCTTGGGAGACTGGCGTTTTTATGGCTTATCGCTCGGGCCCCTCGCCTGCTGCTATCTCTTCATCATCCAGGGTTGATCTCGCCAAGATCATAGCTAGGCAAGTTAAGCATTCGACTGGCACTCATCTGGCACTCATAGTAGCATCCAGCCTATAGCTAATATTTTAAAGTAGATTTATTTTCTTCGAGGAAATAAAACGAGGAAGGGAGGAGGGGAGGAGGAACAAGAGGAATCAAAAACAAAAGATAAGACATTGCGCCGATAACGATAAAAACAATTCAAAACCCACTCATAAACCTTTGCCCATATCAACACAAACTTGAAATCATAATAAAGCATGGAGGTCGCAAATAGATATAGTAAAAAGACATGAAAAACCGTTTGTACCTGCCAGATTGTTATCAAAAGAGGTCTAAAAACTTTGCGGGACTTGGGATGCAGGCTATTCAGATATCATCGTTAGTACTTGCAATGTCTTTTAATAAGGGCATCAACAACTTACCGGGCTAGAATGCATCCCGTTCTTGCGCTCATATCGACCCCGTCGCATTTCCTGCTTCAACGCTGCAGAATCCAGAGGCTTCAAGAGCTCAAAACTACACAGCAGCTCTTCAGAGACCGACATCACCGCGCCCCAGTTATCAAACTCGCCACAGTAATTCGGCGCCGAGAAAACCGTGACCAAAGTGCGCTCGTTGAAAAACTCGTATCCATCTTCAACAACCATGTGAGCACGACAGACAAGATCAAACTCGAATTTGGTTAGAAACTTGTTAATCGCCGATTTTCCGAAACAATATGAAACACCGCGTTCGTTATCTTCCCACTCATTCGGCGTATCTGTCGGATCTGACCAAAGAAGATCGTTCAGTAATCCATAGTCGGGAACATCAGTTGGTCGAACAATGTCACGGATTTCATCCATCGAGTTCAGAACTGGCGACAGGCCCCCATGAACGCAAAAGATTTTGGATGCAACGATGGCCGCAATAGGTAAAGTGTTGAAACAGTCGATAAATGTCTTCCAGATCTTGATCCCACATCGCCGCTTGCATTCGTCGTAGAATCCATACACGCGAGTCACATTCGCGCACTCGTGGTTTCCCCGTAAAAGAAAGAAATTTTCTGGATATTTGATTTTGTAGGCCAGAAGAAGTAGGATAGTCTCAAGACCCTGCTTCCCTCGATCGACGTAATCTCCCAAGAACAAAAAGTTCGCAGCAGGAGGAAACCCGCACATCTCAAACATTCTGATGAGATCACCATACTGACCATGAATGTCACCCACTATCTTCACCGGCGGCGACAACTCAATCAATGTGGGCTGAGATAAGAAGATCTCTCGAGCGGTGCGACAGATGACTTGAATTTCCGCATTTTTCAAGCATACATTTTTGGTGGCTTTCCCAGCATAGCCCACATCCAACAGCCGTTGAATGATCTCATCGATATCAATAGTCGAACTGATCTCTGGTCCATGAGGAAATCCTGGCGACAGTGATGAGCCAGACCGAAGTGACATCGCATTGACACCTTCTTCAATGGCCGACGTATTTATGTCAGACACGCCACTGACTCCTCGACGATAGCTCAAGTTTTTCTTTCCAGCTTCTGGAGAGAGATGATCACCATTCGTAATGGCACCGGCCCTAGCATCCTGACCGGTGGCCGAAGAGCTACTACCAGATCGGCCATGCTGTCCTCCTGGAGATGTCGAACCGTCGTTAGACAAGTCAACTGATCGTCTGATTAGAATCGGCTCCTTTGGCTCGTGTACTTGCATCGATGGCGGCAGATATGCGTTGTCGAAACCGGCAGACGTAGGACTAGTCAGATCGGTGCTCGTAGTCACCACACTTAATGTTTTGTTTCCCGCATCCGGTGTAGCTGAGCTAGTAGACGGGGAGTTATTCGTGTCGGATGACGTTCCTATACTCCCTAGCTTTGGCCGTAGAGACCTAATTGACTTTGAGGATCCCTGCGTATCCGTTCGGGAGAAGGATGGATATGACTGCAGACCGTCATTCCCCTTTTTTGAAGGTGTGTTGCCCATTTTATCTATACTCGTGTCAGTACGTCAACAGGCTCAAAAATACAACACAGTGGAAGCCATACACTAGTATTCGATAATCCAAAAGATTACTTGAGCAGCAATATTTTCGTATAGATGTTACAATCGATCTGTAGCTTTCAGAGGATCTCGCGGCACAGGCGGAATAAGGCGGGACTATGATCACCGGAACATTAGCACACATGTCTTCAATACTCACACCTCTATCAAAACTAACTGGGCACGTCTTTGTCTTCTTCTGATCTTTATGCGTGAAATAACGCTACCAGAGCGGCTCAATATTGCGTGAGGAAGCCACGACGTCGACGACCTTCGGCTCGTAGAATGAACCTGCGCCAGCACACTTCGTGATCCCATGGCAAAGTGCTATTGTCGTAGTATTCAAGAAAGCAGCCCCAAATCACAACTACTGTTCTGAGCTGACGAACCGACGGCAGCCAATCACCAGTATCATCAATAGAAATCTGATCGACTGCCCGCCAACCCCTTGCTATGAGCAGAGAGCAACGACCCTTTTTGATCTCCAAGAAACACAATAGAAAAGCACAAACCTTTTAAAGAGTATGATATAACGAATGACTTTATAAAACGATAATGAAGGAGAGTAGCGGCAGATGGACACTCAAGGGCAAAAATGGATGACGGTAGAGGACGGAACTGAGGATGACTCACTCGTGTATGGCCGATATATACACAAATGAAAGATATTCAACAAATCTGGCAATAGCCATATATCTGATCAAGCTTCCTTGTTCCCTGGTCGTTGAAACGTATTCTACAATCTGGGGAGAAGATGCAGGATGTTTGAGGGATGGACGGAGTGAACTAGCGATCTAGCCATGTGCGGTGAGTGATATTGGCGGAGAGCATATTTGGTACCAGCCCCTTGTGATTACAGCTATTTAGATCGTATTCCACTCTATTTTTTTCTATTTTTTTATCTTCCAATACTGCAGTTAACTGCAATGGATCAAGTTGACCAGGAGTGCCTACTAATTGAATATCTAGATACTAATAGTAATCACGAGTACGTCTACTGCAGGCTACAGCCTCTCGGCCCGCTGGGTAGTTTCTCTGCATTGGATCCGGAAAATTATTCTGAAACAACAAATGTACGCTCCCTTTTTTCCCCACCAACACTATCTTCTCTCTGGATCTGATCTATGATGAATTCATATGCTAAATACGTCCGACAATACTCTTGGGGAACGAAAATATGAATCGCTACTCTGACTTGATGAACCAGAGAAGGAGATAGAAGTGACTTACGTGTCGTCCCCGTTTCAAAGTTACTAATTCGAAACTATTTCTTTTAGGACGTTTTCACCCTCTCGGCTATCTGTTTCATACACTTATCTGTCGAGGCAATTATTGGAACACCGCCGAAGTAGTTGATGACAATGAATTTATTTACAAAAACTTCTAAAACTTCTGGTCCAGCCGTAAATACACAAACACCAGTTCACTCTCCCTTCTTCAGAATCTTGGCCTCGGCCCGGTGCTCCAGCTCTTCAAATTTATGCTCCGCTTCCTCGAGAACCGCTATTCCTTCCGGCGCAGGCACCGCACTGAACCAAGACAAGAACGTGTTCCAAGCGATCGAGACAACGTTGACAAACAAAAGTCGGTACTCAAGCGGCATGAATCTGAAGTTGACGATCTGCACAGCCGGCCAGACAAGATAGTTTCCCATCATTGTAGGGTAATACTTGGCTTTGAGCTCGCCTTTGATAGTCTCGAAGGAATGGCCCTGTAGAACCCCCATACTGACGTAGAAAGAGGCAATGCCGAACGGGGCCCAAATCAGCTGGTCGGCCGTCATTCGCGCTAATGCTTCAGTGAATGGCTTGCCTGGTACGTTTATCTTTGTGCCAATCAGTTTGTACCATTGCGATACCAACGGTGCAAACACGACACCACCGTGGAAGACCATTCGAAGAGTACGAACGTAATCGTATTTTCCACCGAGTTCTGGATCTGGCGCTATAACCTGTGCAAGTCCATCACCGACACCAAAAAGGACCTAAACAGTTTTATTAGCATCCAATCGTTCGAGATATATTTGTAATAGAGAGTAGTCAAAAGTGGTAGATCTTACTCCAGTCGATGTACACTGCGTGAGAAGAGGGCGAGCAGCCAGTCTTGCGTTGTACCACTTGTAGAATGAAGCCATGCGCGCGAATAAACCAGAAAAAGGCACTCGATAATTTATAGATACCTGTAAATGATATGACAAGCTATTAGTAACTGACGGAGCATACAGAATCCTAATCTCGCCTCGGGCGGGATCTGGGAGATTGGTCTGATAGCAAGATAAGAAACTCACAATACGATATTACACAGAAGCTTCGGGCCCGCCGATTTCGAGATAAACAAAAATAACAAGCCGGCGGCAATAATTGTCAGAGATATCTGCTATGTTATCGCTTGGTATACTGTATAAAGAGACAATGAAAGGGTTGGAAGTGTAGCGATCGCTGGTTTAGAGGGCTCGAATAAAAGAGTTTACTCGATCTTCCTCGAAGGAAGTGTGACGTCGCCATTGTGCTTATCGGCCACAATGAATCATCACTCTGTAAATCCCAACACCCAACTCCATCAAATCTGAAAAAACAGACCAGCAGTATCCAAACTATTGAACTAGATCTACTTTACATCAAAATATAATATGCATAACATAAGCAAAAACAATTCCAGTTATTGTTAAAAAAAAACAAGCTGTATTCAAGTCAAAGGAGAGAAACAAATGCATCTAATTAAAAAGGTCATTTAACGCGCCAGTAATGTCGTCCGATAACCAGATCATCGGCCTATAAAGTGGAGGAGCACCTTCTTCAGATCTCAAAGCACCCACAAAAGAACACCACACAATAGGCTGACCTTCCAGCGTTTTCACAACTTTCCGATCCAATGCGTCTACATCAACATCATCAACTGGTAGCTTCATCCTCATCGAGCTAACGTAGAAAAGTGTACGCGGCCGGTAGTAGACCACACGTAGATTCCTGGTTTCCCGGCAGATCGTCGACAGCAGCCGTAATATCTGATCTATGAGCTGGTCGATGACGTCGAGATTGAGGTCGAAGGAGGGCACAACATATTCATCCATCGATCTAGCAAAATCGTGAAGAAGTGCTTCTCGATGCTGCTGGTATCCAACGGTACTTTCAAGCGCACCCCTAGACTCTTGATTCGCAAGCAGCTCGCTGGGAAGCAGGGCTTCGACGGTCATGCATCTCCATTTCACGACATCTTCCGGTGAAGACGTTTGCTTGATCTTGCGCTCTACTTCGGATTTGAGCCATTTGGATGTCTCAAGATCGATGGCAGGATGCATGTAGGTGCTAAACACACTCGCGATCCAAGCTGCGATTATTCCACGACCTATATCTTGGGGACGTAACGAAGCGGGTAAACCATCGGCAAGCTTTGATACGTTCCATGCACCGGCTCGTTTCAATCTTGAGGAAATAGATTCAACAGATGCGTCCATTGACTGGAAAAGCTGCATGTACTGTGCATCATCTAGGATACAGCTCGACATCTTGATATTTCTCTGAGCCAGCTTGATGCTCAACTCATTGACCTTCTCTTTCTCAGTGTTGAGATCGTCTCTAAGCTTCACCACATACTTCTTTGATTTGTTGTAGTCCTTTCCAAGTCTTTCCACAGAATCTGCAAACTTGGGCGATTGTGGATATGCCTTCCTGAGCATTTCAGCGATTTGCTTTGGTGGAATGTCTTCGGCAGAGGACCCTGCGGTTTCTTTTGACGTTGGATTCTGAGAAGATCTACACCCCCGCCGAGTTAGAAACACTGTCCGTGATGTATAAAAGAAGTAACGCAAAGAAAGAGCACACACCTAGGTTCGGGGGAGCGACTCAGATCGCGTTGAGATTTCATAGCCTCTGGAATATGAGGTGCGTTTTTCGCCGGATACGTTAATGCCGGAGTTTTTGAAGTTTCTCCGGAAGGCGGCACAGCCAGCCGTGTGTCTTGATCCGCTCTATCTTCCTTTGCGTCTCTGGAAGAGCTTGGTAGAGGGGGCAAAGGCGCTTGGAGCTTGATTTGGCGGTCCGAGGTGCTTTCGTGAACACCATTCGCGGCGGCGATTGGCTCTGAGTAGGCTGATCCTGAAGCTCCAGAAGGCTGCGTGCTGGCTTTGGATTGCGAGCTGTTGCTTCCACTGTCCTTACTGGCCGACTTGGGTTTTGTGCTCAACACATTGTTGATCTTTCGAAAGCTGTTCATGATCGGATGTGTATGAGATTGTGCAGTATGCGCTTGCTGAGTTCTTCGGTGTACTAAAACAATGCTGGCATTCGCCTTATAAACTTCAATAAACTGAATCTTGCACACAAAAGCAGCTATATATGAATTGGAGGAAGGAAGGACGAGACAAGACGATATTTGAATGCGTGGTTTGCGTCGGGCTGTTCTAACAATACGTACGATTGGCGCTCCGTATCTTGGCTTCAGCGTGAAGCGGCTCAACCAGCAGGCCTTGGCCTGTTAAGAACCGAGCCGCTTGGTGGATGAATAAGCAGCTACTTTACTTATTACCTAATATCTTACGAGGTTTCTAATTTGATCTTGAGCCGAGGTTTTTTGGAAAACAAATTGTATTGATTACTATACTAAACTAACTGCACAACATTGTGCAATTGCAATTACCGGGATTGGAGGTAATCCACAGACAAGGTGTTTTACTTCTTGCCAGAGATGTACTCCGAAGCCTGGTTCAAGGCATCCGTAGCGGTCTGCTGAGCGCTGGCAGCGTACTCCTTGGCGGTATCGACGAAGGACGACGCGTTGGAGTCAGCGGACTGCTTAGCATCCGACGATCCACCGGTGACGGTGTCGGCAGCAGACTGGAAGGGAGACTTGGTGTCCTCGGGCTGGACCTCGCGGGCAACCTTGTCGTAGGCACCAGTGGCGCTCTCCTTGACCTGCTCAGCGTACGACTTCTGCGAGTCGGGAGTGAGGGTCTCCGAGACCTTGTCAGAGACGGGTTTTCGGCCAGCTGTTTGAAACACTTCAGTTAGACATCACATTTCAGAACCATCAAGCAGAAATAGGAAATACATACTGTCAGTCATTTTGAAACGAAGTGCGGAACGCGAGAATGATCTTTTGAAGGACTGAATTGTGGGCAACGGTGTTGGCTGAGAGGCTTTGATAGATGATTTACTTCGGACGAAGGTTGATGATCTGGTTGAAACGAACTGGGGAACAGGAGGTGATTATATATGCAATTGTGTGCCCGATGGACGAGACGACGTCATAAAGCCTCCATCCGAGTGATCAGCGGAGGCAGCCGAGTGATCGGCGCGGATTCACGCACTTCGAGAACATCCCGTGACTGAATTATGTCCCGTTGTAGTCTGCTCTTTCTATTTCAAAGTCAATTCTGCATATAGATAGACTATAGATGTGCATTGTATTTTATCGGCAAAGCAAAAGCTATTCAATGCTGTTGTCTCGACAGTTTGAACAGCTTCCTTGAGATAGCACGATCTAGATATCCCAAAGCCGAGACGGGTGGGAGATCCAGAAACCCTTACCCGATCCCTGATAGACCGCAGATCGTCACCCTAATCCGTCATCGAAGCTCGTCATCCGATGATCTTCTCACAGCAAACCAGCCCAGGCCCCACTTTTCTCGCTCAAAAACACCTTTCCTCTGTTTGCCAGATCTTGCCACGGCTACAAACTATATCACATATTGTGACTATCTCTCGGGCTTCTGCGGCCTCGCGAACAGAACAGCCGAACAGCGGGAGCACTAATCGGTCCCTGACAAACACGGCTGGACGTAGAGCGAACAATTCCAAGAGCCTAATGCCTACTGTTTTGCATATATGGTACAGTAATAATCCATTGAATGCATAGAATAACAGCACTCACAATTATAGCCCCCGACTCATAAAATTGATCGCCGGGATCACCTGCAGCGGATGTGAGATGCTAACAGACCGCTGATCCTACCAATGCTCATAAGCAAGACCCGAGCTGTAGCTAGGTGACGTAACGGTCTAAGATCGCTTACTGCCGACTGTCGGCAGCTGCTAGTCTAAACGCTGAGGAGGCTAAGCGGTAGGAAGGTTGGTCGGTAAGAAAGCTCCGTCAGAAAGGCTATGTCTCAAAATAACCTCGCCGAGTATTAACTGGACACGTCATTCTCTCCATGCGTAACAACATATGGAACTAAGACGCTCAACTTTTACAGAAGCCTCTGTCAGCATCTACCATTTCATTTCCTATAACAGGCTCCCAGATGGCTGTCGTCAAGAGCCTGACTTGGCACGTAAATGGCTCGCGGCAGATCGGAGAGTGAGATCTTTCGTGAGCGCTAAATGATAGCTGCTGCTTTCGCAAGTTGATACGATCACCGTCAAGTAAACACATTAAACTCGACTGAGTCGTAACACACCGAGCCGTGCCTTTCTGGTATCAGCATGAGAATGAATAGTCGGATCATGGCAAGGTTGACCTCCAACTATGAGCAGAGCAGAAAACTGCTAATTCACGTGACTCCCACACTTAACACTAATCTCACAATCCCTATATTCTGATATTGAAGAAGTTATCTTCTTCCGGCGCTGAGAACGGCGCAAGTGCAGACACATTGCAAGACGCCGCCCGGTCAGGAGACGCAGAAAAGAAAGGGCTCCACCAGTCATCAGGACTGATTACATTCACATCCCGACCCAATCTTTCTTCCAAAGTGTCCAAGTCGAACAACAATGTCAGCGGTGTACCCCAACACTTGACATAACTATCATACACATCTCTCAGAAAGGTGTATTTCTGCTCTGTAACAGCAGGAGCAGAGTCCCTCTGAAACACTCGACGGAATACCTGCATCGACGCTGCAAACCAGATAGTACTCGAAAATAGGGGATTCACATATTGCAAGTATTCTTCGTTGCAAGTCGCCAGCATATCATATATATTGTCTCCTGAATGTAGACACGTATCGAGCCCTCGTCCATACACCTCAGCTGTGGTAGGAGTCGAAAAGCCAAAAAGTTGCTCGCTAGGCAGCAGCAAACGAACCTTGCCTTCAATCGCATCTTGAACAACATAAATATGATAGATCATAAACCTCGCATGCTCAATCGTCAAAAACAAGCTGAACTTCTCGCTCGCTATATGTCGAGCGGGCTCCGCCGCTGTTTTGCGCAGATTGGTTAGATCGTCGAAACCGCGAAGTGACTCTGGCATTTCATTGCATGCATCTCTGAAAGCAGCGACAAGATTTGAGAATTTGATCCAGTCTTCACCAGAGCATTTCGTTTTGTAAGCGTTTTTGAAATACTGAAGCAAATGGGAAACCTGGTCATCTTGATCAAGATCTAGGAGAAGACCTTGTATATTTCCTCGGCTTAGGACTTGTGCTCCGCACATCAATGATATAAACAGGATGCGCCACGCTGTAGGACTTTCATTCTTAGACTCAACCAGCATCTTCCAGCGCATACCAGGTTCACTGCTAAGTAAACAAGATCTCTGATGATGCGCAGTAAACCAACATGAGTCAGGAACAGGCAAATAGGTATCGATGAAATGACTGTGAACAGCAGTAGGCAGCCGCAAGATAATTGACGCATAAGCATCCATCTCCCATAGTGCCCACCAGCATCGTCGCCTTTCTTCCTTCAAGATCCAGGATCTGATAGACGACTCGTCCGACGGAGGCTCATTCGTCCCTTCATAGTCAATGAGATGGAGACGTAGCTCGTAAGCAACTCGAATCGACATTCCAAGCAGTCTCCAAGAAGTACCACGCACTCCAGCGATGAGCTTATAAAACACCGCTAGGGTCATTGCTTGCAACAGACAGAATGGTGGCGGCTCATCGGAGCAAACTGCAAGCATCTCGTCAATGAGTTTTATAGAGATCTTGTGAAACTTCTGATGACTCTTTTGGCCATCAGAGCTGTCATCCGGGAATAATCCATCCGCTGAAGAATCCGGGAATCGAGTCGAGATCGAGAACATCGCTGCAAGTAATGCGACCAGATAACGGTAGTCAGGGATGTCTCTGATTTTATCGCAGAATGTGGGCTTATGAAATAGAGAGAACCCGACAAAGTTTGCAAAGTATTGACCAATCCTAATGTAATATCTGTGTCAGAAAGTCGACCAACTGCTTAGTTCTATAACTGATAGTACTTACAAGCGCTGTACAACATTGATGCTGAGGCCGAGCTCCTCGCATGTCTGGGTAAGAACGTTTTGAGCGCAAGCCAGCTTGATCAGAAATTCATCTGAAGACGAGCCACTATTGCTCATTGAGAGTTGGGCAATAAAGCTCTCATGTTTCGGATGAAACATTGAAGAAACCGCGATTGCTCTCACAAAATTGAACGCTCTGTCGTTGGATTCTGCTATGCCTTCAGCCTTTGCGTTTGGAATCACGAACTTCTCTGTGATGGGTTTAGACAACAGCGCTTCAGGCGATCCAGAGGAGGAAGATATGGACGGCCTAGCTTCTGGAGAGCGATGACTTTTTTTCGATCTTTTGATTTTAGAGCCTGCTTTCAGTCAGTACACCATGAACAAGGCTCGTCATCTATTGCTTCACTTACCCAGCTTGGGTCCTGGCTTAAGCCTGACATTAGGGTAAGTGCAAGTCTGCGATGTATCGCGGCAGACTTTGCAAACGGGATGTTCACGATCACTAAAGAACGTTAGATTGATAGGCTGGCTACTACGGGTGAGAGGACAAACCATTTCAGTTTCCTTCTATAGATCATTATTCTGTTAGCCATACAAATTGGGTGTATCAAAGTAAAGTTGCGGACAAGATTTCATACTTCCTACACATGAGGCATGCGAGATCTGTCTTGTCAACGGTCATATCAGATTCACTTGAGCTTGAGTGCGATTTATCCATATCGAAAGTAGTGGATTTAATCTACTTTAGAACATTCAAATAGACAAAGAACAGCATCCCATACGCGGGCGATGATCGGGGATGGCATTCACATATATAAAGTGGTTTGAAATGCGGGGTAGAAGATATGGATCGGAACACGAGCGGAGCTGGGACTAAGCGTCACATCCGGAGTTAATAATAAGAGAATTCCACCGTACAGTCAGCATCCAGTCATACGGCCGGGTGACGCCAGTCTCCTGTGTAACAGTGCGTCGCCGCCCGCAAAAAAAACGGGGACTTTCGTAAATGATAATAAAACTGAATGTGAATCGGTTGGTACCCCTCAGGCCGTGCCTACCGATCATAACAACCCCTACACAAAGCATCACGACAGAGTCAGCAATCATAGGTCTGGAAAAGACCACTAAGCCTTTGATTACTAGAAACAACGCTCATCAAACCCACGACTAGTCATAAATATATCTTGTTACTACTATATCTCATACTATGAGTGCATCCCCAGAACTTGGCAGACAGTTACCGAATCTTGGGAGATCCAACTCCTCAACTATTACAACATATTAAGTACAATGATGTCAGACATGAGAGTATAATTGCAAAGTCTTCCTGTTTAACTTCCAACTCTTACCCTTGACCATACCGAAATGCGATGGGCTATTGAAGATTCCACTCTGATCTCTCTTTATTGACTGCAACTTGGAGTTTCTGTGAGCTTCCTGTCACTGAGCGTCTGGCCCTGATATTCTCAATATCTAATGTGATAACATATGCGCACAGTTGCATCAGGTATTCCTGTGTTTAGACTGTTTGATCCTTTCTGGTGAGGCAGGTAGCGCTATCATGCTCCCGCTGCTCCTACGCACCTCCGGTTGAACTTCGGCAGGCTCGCCAGATAGGATAGCGCTATATCTGATCCTTTTGTTGGTAGATTTCACGGAGTGATTCGGAAGTGCGCTGTATACCGGTGATTTGTCCCGGAGGTGGCTGGAACTCGCTGAAGTTGAATTACGTTGAAAAAACCGAACTAGCACCGAATCATATAAATTTTGTTCTCAAATGCGGGGCAGCAGACTACTGTCGACACAGAGTCGCTATTAGCGTTTGACTCTCTAACGTGGTATGAAATATTATCTCAGTTAGTGTTCAACAGGCTCTCCGCATACCCTCATCTCCTCACGCAAAACGCAAAACGACAATGAAGCTTTCTGCTTGTCGCCCACTTATTGTTCTGATCATGGAATCATACCGTCGTCTTGAGCGGGGTAGATGATTGCGGATGATCTGCGGCAATACACCACGTTTTTTTGCGGGGGAGTAGTCAACTACCAGCCGACTCTGTGAAAGTGGAAGTTTGCTATAAGTTGAGATGAATTGCCTTTGCTCATCTAGATCACACATCTGGCTCTTAAAGTGCAATAATACGTTATAGTCATGACTTTGAATGATCCCAAACCCGAGTCCCGGCAAGATGAGTTTTCGATCAGCCATATTGAAAACGGAGATCAATTGGCGAACCACTCCAAATTTCCCAGTCTTTTGAACTTCTTGGTAAGTCCCTTTTCTCCCGTTTGAGAGTTACATCATCAACTGTTGTCTAATGTTATGCAATAGATTGTCCTTACTGCTGCAATCTCCAGTTTTCTATTTGGCTATGGAAATAACGCGGTCGCTGGAAGCTTGGCCCAGCAGACATTTCTTGCAAAGTTTCTGAGTGGACCAGATTATACCGCCATCATTGATGGTATTGAGTCAGTGTAAGTGAGAGATTCTTCATTTGTGTACAGTAGTACTTTTATAACCTGCAATCTAACTCCTGCACAGGTTCTTCGGCGGAGGTTTCATTGGAACGGTGCTGCAAGGAGCGATATCGGACAAGTTTGGACGCAAGATATGCGCAGAGACGGCTGCCATCTTGATGATCATATCCGGAGTTCTCAGTGCTGCGAGTGTTAATCCCGCCATGTTTATCGTCTCCCGAGGATTCTGTGGATTATCTGCCGGTATGATCTTGGGAAATATGCCTGTGTATATGAGCGAGATATCGCCCCCCACGCGCGTGGCCTGCTAGTCGGAATGCACGCTACATTCATTACAATTGGATATATTACGTGCGGAGTTTTTGCGGTTATTTTCAACTTTGTGACATCATCTATTCAATGGCGTCTGCAGTTTATCATGCTGATCTTTTTTTCGGTTGTTTGCGCCATCACAATCTTGATCCTTCCGGAATCTCCAAGATGGTACGTCGAACAGGGAAAGAAAGAAGAAGCTCTTGCAGTCATGGAGCGCCTTCATCGCACCAAATCAGATCCGACGGCAAAACTTGCTCGAGCAGAGTTTCACCAGATTGTCGCCCAAGTTGAGGAGGAAAAGAAGCTTCCACACAGCTGGTGGTATATCTTTTCCAACGCCCATCTTCGCAGGCGGGCCTACTGCTCAATCCTTGCATTCGCCATGGTTCAGTCCAGTGGCCTTTTGGTTATCTTCAATCTCATGCCTATTCTATTCGCATCACTTGGCTTTGACAATCTCATGCAACTAGGACTATCTGTTGTTTGGGTAACGTGTGCAACGATTGGAGCGTCAGTCAACTCCTTGATTGTGGATAGAGTAGGTCGGGTTACGCTTTTAGTTATCGGCGGATATCTTTGCACTATAGCCATGGCTATTCAGTGTGCCCTGCAAAAATACTACCTTCATTCGGACTACAAGCCAGGAATCAACGCTTGCGTGGCATTCTTTTATATCTTCATTCTCTTCTACGCTGTTACTTGCGATGCTACCGTCTATGTTTACAACGCTGAAATCTGGCCAACTCATTTGCGCAGCAAGGGCGTCACATTTGGTCTCGGTTCCTATTTTATCTTTGGCATTGTTTACAGCAGCCCTGCTTCTCAAGCCTTTGATCAAATCGAATGGCGATACTATCTTGTGTTTATCTGCGCGACCTTTGTGGCAGTCAACCTTATCTGGTTGACCTTCCCCGAGACTAAGGGGTTATCTCTTGAGGAAGTCAACATTAAATTTGGAGACACTGTGCAGGTAGCCTTGACAGATATTCGTGTGGATCCCTATAACGTGCCCAAGCCATATCCAGAGAAGACCGAGAATGATTCAAGCTCTTGATCAGTCTTACTGCAATATTTTCTTGTTTGTATTTCTTTTGTCTGATGTCTTGATTCTTTCCTGCTTCTTGTTTCTAATTTCCTGCTTTTTGTTTCTTGTTTCTTGTTTCTTGCTTTTTGCTTATTGCTGCTTGTGTTCAACTGTTGCTCCGTATGTGAACAAATATAGGAAAGTGAAGTGCAACACCTCTATAGTTCTCTCGTTCGGCGACCGGGAGACCGAGAGCTGAAACGCAATATCTGTGTTTCAGTCGTTAGTTTCTCTCGCGCTAAGTGCTTTGGTAGGAAGGCCGAAGAGTCGAGTAAAGCCTCCTCATGTGCTTGAACTTGTACTTTGTTGAATAGCTTCTCTGGTCGCTAAGATGACTAATGGATCAACGCTCTTTTACTAATGTGATGTTGCGCAGAAAAACGATAGCCTGTTGTACGCTGAGATAAGTTGTTAGGCTGAAGAAGAATTTAATTCACTGGTAGTACAATTATCACTATTGACTAATTCCGAGCAACACAAATAAATTGAATCTCAGCACAACGCTTCACATTCGGTACATATGTTCAGTACAAGGCACTCCTGAGGCCACCTACTCCCATTTAGACATAAACTTCATAGCACCCGCCAATTCTCCCTGGACAGTCTTGAGGTGCTCGGGGCTTCGCGGCTTGACAGTGACTTTGTAAGGAAGAGGACGAAGTAAAATTGCAGAGTTATAAGCCTCGACATCCAGAGGGATCACATTACCAGAAACAGGATCCACGGGTTCAGAAAGCTCAAAGGCCCACAATAGTTTGGCAACTATACGCCACATATTGCGCTCGGCCAAGTGCATTCCCGGACAGATCCGACGTCCAGCACCGTACCCATAGTGATCTCTGTTGTTGTAATCGGGCGAAGCGGCATAGTCACTGGCAAGCTTTGGATGATCCAGATATCGGTCGGGGTTGAATTTATCATGGTCAGGATACAGCTTCTCGTCATGATGAATAGCCCATACACCGACGAAGCAAATTGTTCCCTTAGGGATCAACATGCCATCATACCAATAGTCTTCAGTGCAAAGATGCGGCAATCCCCCGGAGGCAGTAGGACGCCATCTCATTCCTTCTTTCACAATGCAGTTAATGTAGGGCATCTGGTCGAAATGAACGGCAAACTGTGGGCTCTGGCTTGCATCGCAAATTGCATCAATCTCCTTTCTTGCTCGCTTCTGAATCTCGGGATATTTTGCGAGCGCCAGGATGAGGGTCAAAATTTGATTGGCGGTCGTATCTGCTCCAGCCTCCAGAAGTTCGCCGAAGAGATTGTTGAACGCATGCTGAGACATAGGCCATCCCTTTTGAGCATACTCGTCAAGCTTGGTATCAATGAAGCAGTCTCTTCGGATCCCTTTGGCTCTGCGCTCGTCGATAATGGCTCTTGCCTTGTCCCACATGTCATCCATCATATCGCGACATTTGTCGGCACGCTTCTTCCATTTGCCAGGGAAATACTTCAAAATTGGAAATTCATCGATAGGTGGATTAGCTCCCGGCTCTTCCGCTTCGATCCACTAAGAGTATCGTCAATATCAAAATATAGAAACAACTCAAGGTAAATAAGGGTTACTCACAACATCCATTAGATCATTGAAATCCTTGAACCAGAAAGAGTTGAGATCGGTGATACGTTGACCCCAGATAAGAGTGCAGGCAACGGACGTCGTATACAGCTTCGCATAGTCCATTATGTGATCCGGATATTTTAGGATGTTGTTCAAGAAGATAGCAGCTCTAAAATATTAGTCAGGTTAGTAACCACGGGAGATATTCTGCTGCATCTAAGGAACTGGGTGTAAATCATACTCTGCTTCCTGGACCTTCCAGTGTTTCTCATCCAACAACGCCGGAGCAAGGTTTCTCGTGACCACCGCGCGCTTCTCTCTCCATGAAGGAGAAACACTTTCGAGCTGCACATGATCACCATGGGTGATATAATTCGTCACGTAGTTGAAGGGTCTGTCGGAGAAGGTCTTGCCTTTCTTGTCCATCATGGCATTGACGGACTTCTTGTCGCAGCAAACAACCATGTTGGTAGGTCCGACTTTGAGAGAGAAGACTGGACCGTACTGATCGGCCCATTCGCGATATCTAGAAAACTGTTGATTAGAAACCTCCCGAGACATATTCTGAAACATCTGTAGCACGTTACTTTCTGCCTATTCCCGTGGTTGGAATCTGGAGTGCGTTACCAAATATCGGGATGGTAGGAGGTCCAGGAGGCATGCGAGGATCACGTCGGCCACTTCTGAGTATCTTGAATACAAGATAGGCCACAACAATAGCTCCCAGAACAAACGAAGGAGTTTGGTAGAACGGCACAGCCGAGGGCTTGATGTAACTATAAAGATCTGCTTTGACTGCCATTGTTTGATGATAAAGATAGCCCAGATGTCAAATGGAAGTAGTCGAACCAGTCAAGAGAAGAAATGGCTGCGATGAGTTCCAGACCACGCCGCTTATATGTGCAGAGCTTGTGCTATCTTCAAAATTGGCCCATCAGAGAAGTCAAGCAAACCTCGGACGGACTGTTGATGGATGTGGGGGGAACATTGATAGCCTCTTTTACGTGGATGATAATATCAAGCGGAACTGCGAATTCGCGAAGAAAATAAGCACCCTGGCGAAATACCCGCGCAAAGTCCGGGTTATTCGACACCATGTGTTGTTGTAAGCTTCACGATGACGTAACCATCCCTACAAATGCCCGACAAAGATGTGGTGTTAGTGTTTCTTTACTGCCAAACATTGTCACTTGTGTTGAAATCAATCCTCCATTCCCCGTTGGCAAAGCCAAGTTTCAATGAGAATTGAGACTGCCCGTCTGAGTCGCCTCTCCACTACCAGCAAGCTAGATCCCGCCTGCAAATATGAGTTTGTCGAATGAGCGGGGAAATCTCAAACTTTAACTTTTTGAACTTTGGCCTGTCAATATGCTTTTGTCGAATAAGAGGGGTAAAAATTCAACTTTCACCTTGTACGAGGACCCGTTGACTTCATCTTCTTCTATGCGACGCGCAATATTATCGCATCCCACAGATTTATTGTTTGGCTTGCAATGTGTGGAGTACACATAATCATGTCTGATGAAGATCAGCAAGACTAGACCGAAAGCGGGCAAGCTGATCCCGATCGGTCAGAGAGATTGATCCGAGTCATACCCGACAATGGCCCGTAATATTAGGCTAGCGAAAATGTGGAGAGAGAGATGCGGGGTCCAGCAATAAGAAACAGTCCAGTTATGTACAGCTGACAAGACTTGATCGGTTTCTTTTTACTGGCTGTTATTTCTGAGTCCCACAAATATCAAATATATAGTAAGTAGCCTCAAGTCATACATACAGCTTTGTGGGTAGTAATAAGAAGTTATCAACACCCTCTCTAACTAGAGTCGTTTGGGTCGCACAGGCTTAAAAGAGGCTCTGTGCGACTTGACTAAACTACATCCGTTTTAACAGGGTGTGGCGCGTGGGCCTCACCGCCACAGAGAATAATAGTATGTGCGTAGGTTTAGGGTTTTTTTGTATGGAGGCGCCTGGTAATTCCCAGACTATGATCACGTGATTCAATCCCACTCTACCATTCTTCTAACTAGTCACTACAACCGCGCCCTTTTTCCACCTATCTACGTCCACCTATCTACGTACTTGCTCATTCTCATTGTACTAGTTTCTGGCTAAGAGGGTTATTTGTTTATTACTATTGATATCAAGTCGAGCAGAAACTCTGAGCAGCCAGCGACAACAGCAACAACAGAGCATCGATTAAGCGAAACAGCAAATCACAACAACAACAACAACAACAACAACAACAACAGCAATCAGGCTGCCTTCTTCGTCTTGTAAATCCGATATTTATCCAATGACATATCAAGTTCCTTTCTCTCGGCTTCCATTTCTCTAACGACAACTCGTTCTGAGGCGCCTTCTTCAATCCTGCGTTCAATGATGTCCATAAGTTGTTTGCGACGCTGGTAAAATTTCTTGTCCTTTCCTGAACTTCTCCATCGCACGCCGAATCTCTTTTCCAATGAAGTCACTGACGGCCTGTTATAGAGTCCTTCCTTCCACTCAAGCCATGCATCGGTAACCGTCGTCAATGTTCGGCTCATCACATATTCCTCCACAGGCTCCTCCACCGGCGCCTCATGCTCGACGATAGGGGCGTTCAATACCACCCCGGGCGTTAGCAGGTATCCACGCGGAGGCGCATGCCCATGGACAGAAGGAGCAGCAGACTGTTGAAGAGTCAGCGCACGTGCCCCAGTATCGGTTTGATCGGTTTGCTGCGGTGGTGGCGGAGCCAAAGGAGGATCTTGGGAATGTTCTTGACCGTTTTGGTTGGGCCACTGCACGTCTTGGGAATGTTGTCCGCTCGAGGCAAGAGCAAGCACCTGACTCATTTGGGCCGACAGTGTCATCATTCCTGCCACAATGCTCGCCAAACTCTGCTCTTGTCTTGCTTGTCCTTCCTCCAGGTTGGCTAATCTCTCCTCTTGTCTCTCTGATTTTTCAACCAGGCTCGCGAGAAGCTGCTCCTGTCTTGCTTGTCCTTCCTCCATGCTGGAGATTCGCTGCTCTAGTCTCGCGGACCGTCCACTCGCCTCCGCTCCAATTCGTTCCAGCACTCGCGCTATCTCTGGCACAGTATCCATTATGCGCAGTGGCAGTGGCGCTTCTTCCGCAGCAGCATCATGCGCCGTACACACTTCATCTGCAAAAGCTTCAAAATCTGGATGCCGAAAAACTTGGTGTCTAAGTATCGGCAGGTTCGGAAATTTCCTTCTGAGTATTGCTGCATCTTGCAAAATAACTGATCTGCATTCGTTTAGGATTTTGAGAAAACTTTGTGCTGCAATATCTGCCTCAACTTCCGGATCTCGTTCGCGGAACCGTGCAAGCCATCCGTCAACTTGAGGAAAGATCATGCTTCGGAGCGTTTCGGGTGGGTCAACCATTGCTCGAGGAAGGTAGTAACTCCCCGGCTCACCCCGAAATCCTGCTTGAATCTTATTTGCTTGCAACGGAATTGAGTTCAGGTACGAGACATTCAAGGAATCGCCTCGCCAGAGCCCCTTGCGCTCAATTTCCGTGTCCGCCCCTCCTCCTATCGACAAGAGCCGGGTACCGGAAGCTCGGCCACTGTGTGTGATTTTTGTGGTTGATATTCCCAGCCGCTCGAAAGTTTTCTTGATAGAGGTATAATGGCCCGTCTGAGACATCTCGGCGTCGGTGTGCTGCTTCGAAGCTGCCGTGGCGATCAACTTCTTAAAGTACCAATTCTCGCGACTGTGGAAATCCGGAAATGGTTCGTTGTTGACTTCAAACCTCTCAAACAGATGAAAGGCGAGTGCATTGAATGTGCAAAGAAGAGGATCTCTATGACGCATGACTGATACGTATCGGTGCTGACCATTTTTGTTTGTCTTTCCTTGATCCATCAACATTACCAATGTTCTCACCGGCGTCATATCAGGGGTGTCCATAGGTTGGACGAAGAAGTCGGGGAGCTCCGCGCGCCGAATACTCTCGCCCCGGAGCAGAAAGTTATGGCTCATCAAAACAATCAATCGGTTTCTCAAATCATATTTTGTTGCCCTTGCGGCCCTTCCGGGCGATCCCAGGAAATCCTCGTTCATCATCACCAGTTCCTCGGTAGTGTAACCATCGTTCATTCCCCCAGCCTGTCTGTCAACAAGGTTCGCGCGATTTCTTTGGGCAGTCTGGGCCGCATGGGTTTTCAACAATTTCCGAACCGAACTGCCTCTGGGATTCGGTTCAGTGCTCAATTTTTGCTCGACCTGTGTGGTCCACAGATTGACTATCGCTGCGACATACAACTCCACTGTTGATTGCGAAATTTCCTTATCGCCCCTCTGAGATTTCCGACCGACTACTTCGTCCGAGAGGAAATGCACGAGCTTCCCCTGGGTGACTATAATATCATAGCCCTTTGTCTGTAGCCAATTCAAGAACTCGCGCTGCTTTGGCTGGTAAGCGCGGTTGGTGTTCTTCGATCGTATGCCCCTATGATTCACATCCACCTGGTCTATTCTTTGTCGTTGTTCATTCATAGTCCTTTCTAATAGAGTCATAGGAGTATCTTGGTCGGGGTCTGGCTCAATGCCCTGCATCGAATCCGTCGCGCTCATGTTTTGCTGTCGCGAATCAAGTAATTTCTGATAGTGAAATAAACTGAATTGAAAATTGTTTCTGAAGGGTGGGAGGGTGAAAGGTGAGCGGAGATGAAGGGGAAAAAAAGAGAAAAAAGAGAGAAAAGAGGTGCGTTGTAGAGATAGAGAAAGCAAGGGGGTGGGTGTGAAGTTCTGTACTACAAGCCGCAACCGATCCATTAGCTAGCTATCTGGGACTTTTACTGCAACGTTTTCAGCGCTAAAGCTGCTGTTAGCTGCTCTATTCTGAATAGAAAAAATAGATATGGCTATTTCCATGTATTTAATGATTCTATATAGCTACAAATCATTTACATTTGACCGCAGGGAAAGCTATGATCGTCTACAGACGGACGAGCAATTTGAGATTTTCCTTTGGCTGGCAGAGTCCTGCTTGAGAGCACCGCCGCAGCAAAGAAAACTCTAATTCCACCGTACAGTCAGCAGCCAGTCATACGGCCGGGTTACGCCAGTCTCCTGTGTAACAGTGCGTCGCCGCCCGCAAAAAAAACGGGGACTTTCGTAAATGATAAAAACAGTTCACATGATTACACCAGAATTGCACTTTGTTAGAACGGGGAGAACAATACCGCCCACCACATTGTAGACATATTAAAGCTATGATTGTCAGCGTCCACGCGATCATGCCGTTTTAGACTGTAGGGAGAGCGGTATCCAAGGGTAATCATCCCCTTCACCGTTGCCAGGATGTGCATCCACGCGCCGACCACCGCCGCTGAGATAAGCCAGCTCTTTGATCTACGGAAAACCGTTTGTGTTCAACCATCATACAAGAAGTTGCGGGGTTTAAGTAACCCCTTACATGCGGTCGGTTACCCTAAGAAGGGTCTGCAGGTAAATTCGCCATCGCCAAGGTCATAAGAGGCCCTGCATATCAGAGAGCACCACGAGACCCACATCTACAGCAACACTATTTATATAATATTACTATTTGCTTCATCATTTGATAGGAAGCTTCGTTCCATCTGTGCCTGTATTCATGTGGTAACTGATGATATTGAATTGCAGTTTTATAATAGATACGATTCTTCACCGCGATTGAAACGCGTCTTCATGCTGATGCAATATGGCACTAACACGCGCTGTAGCCGCCGTCTACAGTCCACTGAGCTATATTATGATGATTTAGTCGTCGGCTGCTACCAAGGAACTGGGCGGGAATCTTACCTCCGGTGACATAAGATGCATCGTCACTTAACATGAAGCATAAAACTTTAGCAACCTCGTCCACATCACCAAGGCGCTTCATGAGAGTACTGTTGTATATGGAAGCTGCGTCAAAGAGTCCCTTCTTTTCTCCGTCTCGAATAATCGGCGTATCGATTGGTCCTCTTATTCAGAGTCAGCCGGGCAGGAAGATTTCCAATCTCAGAAACCAAAGTCATAACTCACGGTAAGATTGCGTTGATTCGAATACCCTCAGTTCCATACTCACCAGCTGCAGACAATGTCAAGCCAATGACCCCAAACTTGCTGGACGAATATGCAGAGTTATTCGGAAACCCGCGCAGACCAGAGGTGCTTGCGACATTGACTATCGCTCCCCCAGGTCGTGTCATTGACTTTAGCTGAGCATGCATACAGTTCATAACTCCTGTTAAGTTGACACCAATCATGCGATCCCAATCACTGTGGTTCTATAATATAAATCAGCCATTGTGTGTTATCACTGTCATTTCAAACATATTCTCTCACCAGACTTGCCACATTACTGCCATCTCCTCCCGCTAATCCAGCCACGTTTGCCGCACCATCGAGTTTTCCAAACTGACTTACAGTCTCCTCAATCCACTGATCAACGTCTTCCGGTTTTCTCACATCAAGGACTGTAGTCGTTATCTTTGACTGATACCGTTCGCCTACAGCCGGGATGTCAGTCGTACTAAATCGGAGAATGGATCTCAATTGATTTCGGAGAGGTCACTCACACAGTTTTATAGTCTCGTTAAGACCAGCTTCATTGACATCACTGATTGCAAGACCTCCAGCGCCCAAGCTTGCCAGTCTGATCACAGTAGCCCTTCCGATGCCAGAAGCGGCGCCTGAAACGCTGTAGATTCTTCCAGAAATTCCGGCCATATTGTTCTATCAATAGTTCAGTTCAATTAGAACTGCAGCAGTGCGATTTGTGAGTTGCAGAAAGCAATAGTAGTAGAGCTGCCTAGACTACCTATGCATGGGCGATCGATCAATTCTCACTGATGCGCAGATAGCTTTTTAAGTAAGGGTCGGTCGCTGAGAAAGTAGTTAGTCTGCAAGATCGCGAAAGTATTGGGCCGAAATTGGGTGACCAAGCATAACCCTCAATCGTCATTATTATTTGCTCATATAAACCGTCCGAGAAAAAGATTGAATGGGCGGGCATACAAGCTGCGCACGGCATCTTGGTGGGCGAAACGGAACAGCAAACTACTAAACTATGTCTTCGCTCAAAGTTAGTCACGCCGCATCGTGTGGGGTAAAAGTAGGTTATATATAACCTATTGGCCGAGATCAGCCCGACCCTCGAGGGGATGATTTGATCACATGATAGTCGTAATTGAAATCTACTGCAAATTGGCATGGTCGGGGGGACAAGCTACTGATCAGAAAGTGAAGGCACAGCTCGATTTTACTCGACCACCCTTTTCAATATTATTATTATCGACTGGTGTAAGTGGTCCTCGGGCTTTAGCCTAAACCTGGAAGCAGGTCTACATATTCGCCGCAAATCAATTGTTACACAGCGTACAAAGAGTAGGACAAGATATATTTTCAGCAAGACGTCACAACCATCACAACAAGTTAAAACTCAACAGCCCGAGTACCAAAGTAAGTAGGGGAAACCACTTCCATAGAATCGAGATTAAAAATAAAATCAAGTCACATATCAAATTATCTCGCAGTAACTCCACCTCGTAAAATCGATAGTGCCAAAGTGGTGATTATTCGTCTTTAGCCGTCGATGCCCCGTTGGACGAAGTTTGATCAAGGTAGCCTGGTGCCCTAGAGCCTCGGGCGGCAGCCTCAGGGTCCCCGGGAATTCGGTTAGGGAACAGATCAACAATCTGCTCACCTCCTTCCGGCTCAGAGTGGATTGCACGCATCAAGAACACTGCGTCAATGGCCAGCTGGAAGCAGAAAGTGATACCAAGAACCCAAAAGGCAATGGCACCGTTATATGCGCCGGCGCCGTACTTGCTGAAGTGGATGCCAGTTGAGCCCGACCAGAAGAAGGGGACAATAAGATTGTAGACAGCAAGCTCCTTGGGAAACAAAGGCTTCTCGCGCTGATCAATGATGATTGCATACGAGAAGCAGAAATTCTGCACCATGAACGTTTCCCACGGCATTAGAGTGCAGATCCAGAAGAAGTCATTCAGAGCCAAGGTAATGTCAGGATTGCGCTCAGGACGGTAGGATGTCGTGGCCAAGATAATTCCGGGTAGAATAAACGTCCAGAGACCAGCGGCAGCTGCACTCAGCTGGAGTTGCTGAACGACATAGTGGAGGTTCGGCACACGGCGCATCTGACTGGAAACCGCCGCGCAGAAAGGCATGTAGAACAGTCCGGAAAGAGTAATCAGTGATGCTCCAATGCGAATCCGATTGGTGTGAGCTCGATAGTGATGAGCTACCTCCTCAGCAGACCAGTAAGGCTTGATCGGGGAAACAAAATCCGCGGCAACAAAACCAAAGAGAAATAGCGCAGAAGAGAGAATTCCGCTAAGAGCACAGTAATACTGAAAAGCATGGGGAGACATCCAGCGGGATTGGGCTACATTAGCCCAATATCTGGTGAGCGAATCTGGACGGCGCATGATAGAATAGTGATAGTCTTGATGGCAGTTGTTTGGACAGGTGAGTAGATATTCGATAGGACAAAGCTTTCTGATTCCAAGTTTTCCGGATTTAAAAGCAGCCAGCTATGACTGTTGCCTTATACCTGCAAGTCAGCAAGAGTTTTGTGGTGAGGCAACAGGCAGACTTCTCTCCGCTCAATAACCCGATGGAATGATCTCGGTTGGACCCAAATATAAGTGATGCATGCAGCGTCGATCTGAATCCCAAACTGCCCGAGCAGCCTTTTTTACAAAGCAAAGCAACAAATTCATATTTTTTCTCACGCGAAGAGGAAAAGAAGAGCAAATGGTGACATTTTCGTATGAACGATGGACGTGACCGTGCAAATGTGAAAAATTAATCAATTACCGTATACGCTCACTGTATAATAGAGTTTGCAGTGTTGTCGAGTCGTCTCTAAAGTGTGTCGACTGAAAAGTGCTCGTAGCAATAGCGAGAAAGCTAGTTTGTCTCTGCCCAAAGTTAAAGCAAGGGCGGGGTAAGCCAATTCGCACACCAGAGTCAGCTTTCAAAATGTTCCGTTGTCGACGTCATTCACGACTTTAGTTGAGACGCTTTAGACCGAGAACAGAGAAAGCATTAGAAACAAATGTGAAAGCAAATGATCACATAATTTACGAATTATATTCCGACAACGTAAGTTAAACAGTTGGTCTGTAACGCTATGGCAAATCAACATCTGTTCTAATCTGACGGCCCTACTGCACACAACTGCGGATATGGCCAGAGCTTCTGTGGCTATAAATCTACAAAAGCTACGGAGTAGCGGTAGTCTAGCTGCCCATTCAGTATGGTAAAGACGGCGACTTGATATATGATGTGAATTGGTTACGACTGTATGTATTTGCCTTCCAAGCTTTGGCTCTATGATAGCGTTGAATCTCTTACACTATAATGCTTACCGATGTCAAATCTATCGTCAAAATATGAACCAAAAAGATTACGGAGACGATGCTAATATGTATCAAGGAGAAACACTTACTTTCTTCCCTCAAACTCCTCTAGGGACCAGGTTTAGTAAGCTCGAAGTTGTTAGAGGGATGATGAAATTTGGTCAAGCTGTTACGAGCAATGGTGTGGATTTCTTTCGCTTGTTGACATAGATTTGAACGAGGTGCCACGTTCCAACAACGATACTGAGCATTGCCACATAGTGTGTTATTTCAAACGCAGGCATGTCTGTACACTCGAACTATGACAGTTGCCTTCTACTGTGACAGCCAGCCTATATTGCGAAGTGTCCCAAAAGAAGGGCTCCAAAGTAGATAAATAGAGAACAAAGTGATAGGGTTTGTGTAGCCTAATTATCAACAATTAGGATTGAGATTACTGCAAAGCTACTGTATACTTATAGATCAAGGTCTCTGTGTTGACGCTTATCATTATGGAGGTCCTTACACACATTCTCCCCAACTCCTGAGAAAAATTTCGCGTTGATCTCGGAGTATTCTGCGTTGATCGTTCACTAAGAGTACCGGCCAGATCCGGCGTTAGACGAAATTCCAGATCAGTCACTAAATTTATCGTTAGTGAAAGCTGTCTGGCTAAAAATACATAAAATATCTATAACATAATCATCTTTAGGGGAGCCTGAAAAGGAGGGAGTGAGCTCAATATTGCGAGACTCGGTGAGAGTTGATGGGGATGCCCCTGATCACAAACGCTTCTGCTTTGTTTTTGCTAGCAAGCAAGCATATGATATACTTACTGTAAAACTACAGACTCCTCTTTTGAAGAGTAGGCTAGTGAGCCAGTAATTAATTTGATGGCCAAGTAAAGAGGGCGAAGCGCAATACATCGCAAAATATGGGCGAGAGGCCTGCGGTGTATTATGTTAGCGAGCTGTGTCGACATTTATGCAGTGCAGTTGAAAATAGGGTTTTTGTCAAAATTTCAACGGAGTTAACACAACTCCGCATAGTACCTAGCTAGTGGTCACCTGTTTCCCACCTCAATATCGTATTTCGAAGATAGACCATTGGCTGATACAGCCGGGGTCCGCCCGGTGTATGGCTAAAGGTGATAATTACTCCGATGGATAAGCTTTTACCTGATCCGAGACCCATTCTCTGAGATATTATTTATACTGTTGTTGACTCCTCTTCGCCGCTTCACCTATCCACTATATCATCAACGTATCACACTCGCAAACCTGTGGACTATTATTATTTCCCTTGGTCATTTCTCGCTACAAATGTTTACCAGTATGGCGGTTTCTATCAATCCCGCAATCGCAGTATCCCTGGGTCTGATAGCTTTAGTTGTTTTCAAACTGAGCCAGATTGGGAAGCGACTGCCCAAGATGCCCCCCGGCCCGCCAACTGTTCCTTTTCTCGGGAACGCTCACCAGATTCCTGCGGACGGATTCTATAAGAAGTGTGTTGCCAATATCCTTTGTTGTGAAATGCACTCAAAAGACATTTACTAACGGACCTTATTGCTCAGAATGAGAGATTGGGCTGATATTTATGGGCGTATATTCTCGCTTACGGTTGGTCCCACAAAGATTGTTGTTTTGTGCGACAGACAAGCCGTGCGCGACTTGATTGACGCAAAGTCCACCATTTACTCGGACAGGCCTCCAGATTACGTTGGAGGATTGCTCACCGGGGGTGATCACACGCTTCTGGATGATTACAACGCGGTGTGGCGCGAGAAGCGCAAGCAGATGGCTCGATGGATATCGCCCAGAGTGATCGACGAGAAGCATGCTCCCATGCAAGAAGCAGAGATCAGATGCTTTTTAGTCGGACTTTTGGAAGACCCGGAACATTTCGCTGAGCACATCAAAAGGACGACTGCCTCTGTTGCGAGCATCATTACGTACGGTCAGAGGGCTCCGACGATCGACCATCCGTACGCGACACAGGTTTTTGATATTATGCAGGAATGGACAGAAGCCATGGGACCTGGTGCAAACCCTCCAGTTGACGTCTACCCGATCTTCAAGCTTATCCCGACACGTTTTTCCTCGTGGAAACAGAGAGCCTATCGCGTTAACAACAAGATGGATGTGATCTGGAGCCGAACCTTGAAAGCAGTTCGTGAACGTCGGGCAAGAGGTGACAAGAGAGACTGTATGGCCGATTCAGTTTTGGAGGAAGCTGAAAAAACTCCCAATTATGTTTTGGGTGAGCATGCGATCCAGAATCTGCTGGGCGAGACTGTTGAAGGCGGTGCAGATACTACGACTGCGCAGCTCTTGACATTTGTCTTGGCAATGGCTACCTATCCGCGGGTACAGGAGAAGGCTCAGGCCCTCATTGATGAGAAAATCGGATCTGGAAGATCTCCACAATGGACGGATTTCAACGAACTGCCGTACATTAATGCTATTGTGAAGGAAGGCCTCCGTTGGAGACCTGTTACCAGCGTGGGATTTGCTCATAGAGTTCGCGAAGGTAAGCAGTCAGTATATTTTTGTAAGGGAGCAGATGTTAACTTTTCAAAACAGACGATACTTACAGAGATATGCTCATCCCTAAGGATTCTACCGTATTTGTTGGTGTTTGGTATGTTGTGCTTCTCTTCTGAGAGGGTCACCGATTTTACAGAGATGCTAAGATGACTAGGGCGCTTAATCATGATCCTTCCCATTTCGAGAACGAGTCGGAATATTGGCCCGAAAGATATGAAGGGTTCAACAAATTGGCAGATAGTTATTCGGGAAGTGGCAACTATGAAGGAAGAGGTGAGTGATCCAGCAGCTCGTAATATTACAACGGCCATATTCTTACTGACACCTACAATCTTTGCAGATCACTATACTTACGGCGCTGGTAGACGTATATGTCCGGGAATACATCTCGCTGAACGCAACCAATGGCGCAACATTGCTAAGATCCTTTGGGGTTTCAAAATCTCGCTCCCCAGGGATCCTATTACCGGCAAGGAAATCCCGATTGATGTCAACGCGTACAAGGCCGGTCTTGCTCAGTCGCCGCTACCTTATAAGGTTGTTTTCACACCTCGCAGCCCTGAACATGTTGCTACTATGCGTCGCGAATGGTCCGAAGCGCAAGAGATCTTGAAGAAATGGGAATAGCTGGAAGCCATTTGCTAAACCGTTATGCAGTGAAGTGCCTTAGTATTTGACCCAGTAATCGATTTTACGTTTAGTTCAATGTGATATTGTATAACCTATATTTACTTCCATATATTCAGTAAATCGTCTGCGGATTTCAGTGAAGGCAAACTATGGATTGATAATAATATTATTGGACACTGAAGTCACTTCTACCGAAGACTACCAATTGTAGTCTTGAGAATGTAGACATGCCTTAGAGTACTTCGGCAGACCACGATCCTTCCGTTTCTGCTATTGACCAGTGTACACATAAGGCACTACATACCGAATCTTCGTCTACGACTTATAAACAATATTGAATAAGGAAAATGTATTTCGAACTGATAGCACATTTGAATACTTCAGTAGTAAGGTCAATGCAAACACATAGACTAGCAAAGAGTTGGCTGACACTCTTTGAGAAAGACCTCGTAAATACAAAGGGCTTTGCTCCTATGCGGTAGGATATTTCAAATCCAGATGCCCATTGAAAGCTCCCGCTTTATACTTGTCGGTTTTGGATACAAGAGGTTTCACTTCATCGATAAGTTTAGCAAAAGCCTCGGACTTCTCGAAAGCTGCGTGAGTATCAAGCGTTCGTACTCTGGTTTAATTGAAATAGGTTAGCTATGTGAGAAAAATCAAAACTTAACGCTATAGATACTGTTGTGATATACATACCTCACCCACAAGGTTGCCATAGTTGGGAATCTGATTTCTTTCAAAACGATGGCACTCTGGACGGCTGCATCAAGCTCACCAGATCTGTAGCTGTTGACGAAGCTCAACAGTTTGTCCAAAATCTCAGGGCGAGTCTCTTCCGTAGTAGACCAAAAATGGTAGACTGCGATAATGCTGTCTTTGGCATCCCTATCAGGGTCGTTGTCGCGCTTAAGAAAGCCACCAACAAGATCATAATGATGTAAATCATAGTCGCGACTGTCTAGTCCTTGCTCGTGTTTGAGAAGCTCGTCCGAATCAATCAAAGCGCCTTGCTCCTTGAAGGTATCGGTCTCGAAGTGACCAATAAAGAACCCCACCGCGTGCGTATATCCTTCCAACCCGCAAATAGTGTCTGGGTCGCCTTCCAGTGACGAACCCCAATAGTAAGTGTCACCAAGCTTCTCGGTGGCGGACACAGCGCATAGGCTGACAATTCTTTCTTTCCACTATCATGTACTAAAGGTTAGTAAGGTCGCTCTACCAAAAAGATCAATATGTTTCAACCATATCACATGCATACCAAAGGAAGTGCGTTATCTCTACCGGTAACACGGGCAACAACAAAGAACTTTGTGCCAGACATGATGAAGAATTGAATAAAGAGTAAAATGTTAAGAGTCGATACTAGTGTACAGAAGGATGTACAATCATTTTTCTGATCCCTAAAGGGATCTGTCGTTATATACTTCCCCCGGCTGTCGCTGACTAGCTGCGCATTAAACAGCGGGGTCAAATCTTGCTGTCGTTAAGAATCGGATGAACCAACGGTCCAATTTCGGATCCATGATGGCTTTCGGTGTTAAATATGAGAGTAGAGTAGGGTTCTGTATATGAGGATTGCCCTTGAGTGCTCCGGAGATATCAAATGCAAATGAGGGGTACGCGGGGTATGCGGGGTATTGCTGTATCGAGAACAACCCGGATTTAGCCCGCGCCAGCACTTCTATGTCACCAGAAGAAATCTTTACGGTGTCCGATTTTCTGATTCTGTTAGTTAGGCCTATCGTCACAGCAATATCAAGGACGCCTAACTGATTTAGCTAGCGAAGGCGACAAGTGGTGCAATCTACAAATATGACATACATCTGCACATAGCCCCGCTGACGACTTGATAGCTTGACAAGAACTGCTCTGTGCTCATTGCCAATTGTTACCTGCTTCTCGATTTTTTTAAATCAAATGCATCAAGCCGAGGACGAGGCCAAGACCGCTGTGGATGAACTGGAAACAGTGCCGGAAATCTATCTCGAAGACGATGCTGATGGCGTACCGGTATCGCATTCCCGGTTTCCCAGTCTACTCAATTTTTTGGTGAGTCTCTCAGAGTATATCAGTTTCCAGCATAGTAAATTATCATATTCTTCATATTCTAATAATCATAGTAGATTATTCTTGTGGCAGCGACTTCTAGTTTTCTTTTCGGATACGGAAACAATGCAGTTGCCGGAAGTCTCGCTCAGGAGTCTTTTATTGAAAAGTTTCTGAGCGGCCCTAATGCCAGCGCTCTGATTGACGGAATGTCCGCTGTGTGAGCAAATCAAGTCCCTATCCAGATGCTGTACCTTTTTGCTAATATCTTCGCAGATTTTTTGCTGGCGGATTTATCGGCACCTTCATCCAAGGCTACGTCTCCGATAAATTCGGACGACGCTTCTGCGCGGAGATGGCAGCACTATTTATGGTACTCTCTGGTGTTCTTGGTGCAGCAAGCGTAAACCCAGCAATGTTCATTGTTTCACGAGGTATCTGTGGGATATCTGGAGGAATGATTATGACAAACATGCCGGTTTACATGAGTGAAATTGCCCCCGCCCACGCACGTGGGTTACTAGTGGGAATGCATGCGACCTATCTAATTCTCGGATACATTGTCTGCGGACTTGCTGCGCTTGGATTCAATTTTATTACCAAGCCAATCCAGTGGCGGTTGCAATTCATCATGCTCACCTTCTTTGCTGTCGTCTGTGCCGTTTCTGTCATGTTCATACCGGAGTCGCCAAGATGGTATGTCGAGCAGGGACGTTTGGAGGAAGCGACCGCCATTATGGAAAGGCTACATCGCACCAAAGATGATCCGACCGCTCGTATGGCGCGTGCGGAATTTGCGCAGATTGTGGCCCAGGTTAATGCAGAGAGAGACCTACCTCACAGCTATTGGTATATTCTGTCTAATCCGCATCTGCGGAAGCGTGCCTATTGCTCAGTTTTGCTATTTGCAATGGTGCAGTCCAGTGGCCAGCTGGTTATATTTAACCTCATGCCAATTCTTTTTGCAGGACTTGGCTTTAACAATGTATTGCAGCTTGGGCTTTCCGTTGCCTGGGTCGCTGTAGCAGGACTCGGAAGTACAACCAACGCATTGATTGTGGACAGGGTTAATCGAGTCAAACTGCTAGGAATATGCGGATATCTTATGGCTATAGCAATGTCAATCGAAGCAACACTTCAGAGGTTCTATCTCAATTCTGACAGTAAACCAGGAATGAACGCTGCCGTTGCCTTTTTCTTCATTTTCATGGCATGTTATTCTTTTACTGCTGACTGCGTTGTTTATGTTTACAACGCAGAAATCTGGCCGACTCACTTACGAAGCAAAGGTGTGACATTCGGGTTGGGTGCGTTCTTCTTGTTTGGTATTATCTATAACAGTCCCTCGGCGCAGGCGTTTGAATCCATCGGCTGGAAATACTACCTTGTGTTCATTTGCATGACTCTTGTCTGCACAACTCTGATCGTCTTCACGTTTCCTGAGACTAGGGGTCTTACGCTAGAAGGTAGGAAATTGCATGCCATCTTCACCTTATCTTCTAAAGTCATTGCTAACTTAGTACGTTCCAGAGGTGAATAGCAAATTTGGCGATCAAGTAGAGCTTCCAATGACTGCTCTGAAATAGTCTGGTAAAGCACATGATTCTCTATCGATGATGATTAGGATTAAATATACTCGAATATAGGGACATATTGAAGACTGTATAGGTTGTAGTAGTTATAGATAGTGCACGTTACTTTAATAGCGTGAGGTGGATGCGCGGGCGGGTTCTGGCGAGCACTGTTCCCCAACGCAATTCACTCTCGATTTGCTCAAAAGATCTCGCTCGATATAATCAGACTTGGATTGATCATCTTGCTATTATTATATATAGCGCCTGCGTTTGGACAAGTGATGTGGCTACTGAACTGCTGAAATGGATTGCGTGGGAGGCGAAGTAGCATGCTATAGGTGGTTCCCTCACTGCCATTGCAGATGCAGGTGAGCCTACTTCACGTGATCTGATCCTGTCTCTCGGCAGCAGCATCATCATCGAAGAACGGCTCATGCGACATACAACTGAGCCGCACACTCGCTTCTGAGAGTCCTCGGGGACGCTAGATGGCGGTGAAATAGAAAAACTGCATTCTTCTACCTTCCTGGACTTCTGTGGATGATAAAAGTAGATCAAAAGACTGATGTAAAGGAGAGCTACACAGCAAGCATAAATAGAAGCTCTAAGAGTTAGTGTGGGCTCAGAGATCATGGATTAAATAACAGCATTCGCTCATAGCGAATCGGCCTGGGAGACACATTATAAGCCCTCGTCCACCCATCGCCTCTCTTCCTCTCCTCTCCTCACCGCCGTACAGTGTCCCCCCTTCCCCGTTTGTTTCAAACCGTGAAGTCTAGCTCTACTGCAATCCAACCTACAAAACAACCTTCCAAGCTTCCCTTTGCCTCTCATCGCTGCCCCCTTCGTTTTACCTATCCAGATTATTGAAAGAGCGGATCCCGAATCCGAGTATATTCTGAATAGCTGGCCACCATGAGATTCACATTCAAGTTTACCCCCACCAACCTCAACCTTTTCTTCTCTACCGATCCCCAGGACGCCGCTGGCTCTGTGCATTTCAACGTTCTGCAAACTCCTCAACGCATGGAGTTTCAGTTCATGCACAACAGCAACGTCTCCTTCCCCTCCTCTACAGTCCCCAGCGCTGAAGTCGACTCGGACTACTACGACACCACCTACGCCGACTACGACTTTCCTACGTCATCTTTCGAGGTACTTCCTGACAATAGTATATCCGAGGAAACCTCCGGCCAGCCTGACGCGTCCGAGTCCACTATCAGCAACGAATACCGTGCTAGCTACGGCAGCACCCACGTCGGTCATTCCGACAATCTTGAGACGATCGACTCTGCTCAGTCCATTGATCAAGCTGAATCCGACCCCCAGAGCGCGACTGGCTCTGACGATCTCAGCTCCCCGTCGGAGCAGTCTGCCAACGAGAACGACGACCCTGCAGAGCTTGAGCCCGCGACGCTCGCTACTGCCACGCCGCCCTCCGCTGATTTTCCCGTCAGACAGCCGTCCCCTGAAACCAGCAGCCGTGCTCTTACTGCTCGCGAGATCATTCTGGCGATGATCGGCCACCATTCCGTGACTCGCGACGCGTGTTTCGGAAGCGGCACGCAAGCTCTCAGTCCTGGGCAAGCGGCCGGTCGTCGTATCCTGGATCTGATTCAGCCCCCCAGACTCACCCCAAGACAAGCAGCCGGTCGTCTCATCCTCGCCCTGATCAAGCCCAAGTCGAGCATCGATCATGGAACTCTAGACGTCGTCAAGAATCGTGTTAGCAGCGTATCCTCGGATCCAGCCATCGTGTCTTTTGCTCGCGACACCAAAACAGAGTCTGAGCAGCCAGCGGGCAGCTCCTCTGCTTCCACGCAAGAAAACGATTCATCTTCTGAGATACTCATCCAGAAACATAGATCCTTTAGTGCTCCTAATCGTCCGTCCGTTCCCATTCGCCGCTTCTACCGCTTCTCGAGCTTTGCGGGCAACTGCACCGAGCCTCTCGACTACTTTGTGTGCAAGGCGCCGCACAGCGCTCAGACTCACCGCGCCGCCGCCGCAGAGTCGCAGCCGGCTGAGATCAAAGTCCGTCACCAGCTCAAGTCTTCTGAGCGCAAGAAGAAGAGTTATGGCGAGATCAAGAGCAGCGTTGTCGCGACTACGACGAAGGAAGACTCTACAGCTCAGCCAGAGTTAGATTTGCTCTCTCAACTCCCGATCGATTCCGTCCAGTTGCTCGTCGAGAAGTTCGAAGCACTGCAAGCTACGGTCCCCGATCCTAAATTTCTCCACTCCAAGTTCTACCGTTCTCGTGCCTCTAGCAGATCGGTTTTGTCTGGGATCCGGGAGAACGTGGCGGACGGCCCTTCTCAAAAGGCTAGCGAGCCTGTTGTGCCCGAGAAGGCCGATGAGCCGGTAAGCTTATTTTGGTCTCTCTTTTTTCCCACGCCAGAAGCGATACTGATTATTTTACAGGAACCAATCGTCAATGGACCATCTGAAGCCATCCAGGAGGATCACCTTGCTGGCTCTGCAACGGTCTCGACCGGTATGCAGCTGGTATTGCGACATGGAGCCTACCACTTGGACAACCCTGCGCCTGTATGCCGTCGAATGGTGCTTCCTGATTGGGTCCTCCTTGGTCTCCAGTCTCCGTTCAGGCCGTCCATCAGCCGCGAGCTTGCCCTATCTGTTCGAGGTCCTCTAGATCTGCTGGCGCCGCCAGAGTTGTCTGCCCTCGTGCTTTATCGCTCTTCGTCCAGACAGGCTCCGCTCGCGCTTCCTCCGGCACCCGAACCGGTATCTGACCGCCAGCTTGTGCTCTACAGACAGAGCACCTTCGAAGCCGTTCTCCTGTCTTCGCCAGAGCCGGTCCGAGACCGCGGTTTTGTGCTCTACCGAGCACTGACGGTGAAGCAAGGCTTGCTCTCCCTGCCCGCACCAGTTCATCTCTCCTTGCGATCCCCGTTCGCTAACAGAGCATCCGCTCTTATTATGCACGCGCGATATGCGTGCTGCGAGATCATCGCTTTCGGATTTGTTTACTCCGTTGCCGCCCTGGCTTTTTTAACGCACTTGGCGCCCACCGTTCTACGATATACGGGTCAGACGGTCTCATTTGCTTGGGGGATTATTCTCGCTATATTCATCTCATTCCGAGGAGAGTTTCGCTATCAACTTCAGTTGAGAAAGCAGAAAAAACAGGCTGCGCTTGACTGTAGATCCCTTGTGATCTACCGGCCTCCCCCCGCTTCCTTTTCCTCTATCGTTATCCCGTATGTTACTGCGCTGGGCAGTCTTTGTGTACGTGGAGGAAGAGTTTCCAAAGCCGTCGCTATTTCCATGGTTTCCAGTCTTTCCGGTTTTGTGGATCTCAGCTTCAAAGCTGTTCTTGTGGTGATAATTATTCTGCTGGCAGGACTCGCCCGCGGTCTCCAGAGATCCTTCCAGCTTGTCCGCGTTTCGACTACCGCGGTACGCACCTTCGTCACCACTAACGGGTCTTCTATTTATTCTCTTTGGCGGTTTATTTGGTTGGTTTATAATTTGACTGTAAAGTACCGGTTCAACATGGGAGATAGGCAGCTCTCTGAACTTTTGGTGCTTTTGCAGGCTAATTGGCGTGTGTTTGGGCAGTTTTTTGTTATTATGGTTTCTTTTTTCCTTTTTTCTTCTATTCCCTATTTTTATGATGATTCTCAGCAGAGAGAGCAGAGTCTGCAGACCGTGCAGGGTATTTTTTCAGACGAGACGGTAAGTCCTCCAGCCTACTTTTCGAAAACGAATCTCAGCTGACAAGATGACATTAGTTTGAAACGCACGACAGAGAGCTAGAGCAAGAGAAGTCTATCGCCGCGGCCGCACCCACGACCGGTGGTGCGAGCCATATCGATGCGCGACCTTCACTTACGCTGACTACAGAGCTTGCTATCGTGAGAATAAACCCCTGCTGCTGTTTTCCGTTGAATGATACTGATATCTGTGATAGTCGAGTATGAAGGACAGTAGCCCGGCTACTGAGTTTTCTTCTTTGGAGCTATCGCCCTTCTCTAGCCCGTCTCTCCCAGCCTCATCGCCAGCCTCTTCGGTGCCTTCGCCTGACACAGTCCTGGAGAAGCCCGAGCCCTTCTCTCAATACGGCACGGAGGAGGTTGTGTCCCACGACGATGAAGTGGATTATGAGATGGACTACTCCCCTGCGATCCCCGATGAGATCGAATATAGGGGGGAGGGCGATAGCTCGATTCATACGAACTGTCCCTCCGACTGGTACTTTTCCGATTACGAGCAAGTCCTTGACGGAGCCGATGGTTCGCACTATCAGATTTCTGACATGGAGCCGTGCTTGTCTATCTTTTTGGTTGACGAGTCTACCATTCCGTGGTAAAGCGGCTTCAGTGGTGGGATGAGGGTATTACTACTAATTCCACGCACATTTCATTTCAGAAGCATCCGCTTTTGGACCTTCGCATTCGCATACAACATTGCATATACCACTGCATTTGCATACAACATCGCATACAGCATCGCATACAACATCAACTTTGGACACATCACCGCATACAACATCGCATACACTTTGGCTACAACATCGCATATAACACTGCATATCACTTGGACACAACATTGCATACGACATTGCATACAACACCGCACTCGCATACAACTCTGGACACAACATTGCATTCGCATACAACTTTGGACACAACATCGCATACCACTTTGGACACAACCACATCACATACCACATCGCATATCACTTTGGATACCACATCGCATACAAAACATCATATTTGCATACAACTTTGGACACATCGCATACCCCATTTCATACCCCATTGCATACGACATCGCATTCGCATAAAACACCGCATTCGCATACACCTTTGGACACATCATCGCATATCACTTTGGACACATCATCGCATACAGCATCGCATACATGTTTGGCTATACTTGCATACAGCACTGCATATCATGCTACCTGAAACACTATGTGCAACGCTACACTAGTGGAGGATGATAGAAATACCAATCTACGCAACACCCCACACGACCAGGAATCTGAGGAACAAGGAGAAGATCGAGAACACATACCCGATATCGAGTCTCTTTCTACTGTCTGTCTGCCGTCGGTCTGATTTTCACCATCTGTCATGGTGCCTCGCTTCTGCTACTGCTTTACGTGCTGATTTCCCAAAGCACTGCTCTGCTTGTGGGAAATCAATCACGAATACTCTGCTGAAACCGAACTACTGCTCTAGTTCGGTATTTCTTCTCTGCTGATCATCATCATTTTTCTTCATCCTTTTTCTTCTTGGTCATAACTGTAACTGCCTACTGTTATGACTGTTACTGCCCTTTTTCTAGTTTATTACTCCTATCAAATATCAAGTATTATTATTATTATTATTATTATCATTCGTAGTATTAATATATCAATACGACAGAAGCTTTGTAGACGTAGTGAAGTCGTGAAGTCGCAATTAAAATCCTTCTATCCGTTTGATCGAGAAGAATTCACTCGAAATGGCTCCTCCCGTATCCACGGCCAAACTCACCGCCCCGGAGACCACCCCCATCGCATTACCGACCAGCTTGGTCCCGAAACCGCTTTGGGTGCGATCCCTGCCGCACTGGTCCTCTCCGAGTTTTCTAATGACGGGTCCCCTACTATGAATATGACGATCCGCTTCATCGAGCAGATTCAGCAGATGCAGCGCCAGCTGTAGGAGATTCTCTTGTCGAGACTGGACACGCCCTCTTCCTCGGGTTCCGTGGCTCGAGTCCCGCATATAGTACTATAGTAAGCGCAGTAAGGTCTTGAAGCGAGCGGACGCGAGGTTTGGGTGGGTGGTGCAGGTGGGCAGCGTCAGTGTCAGCGTCGAGGTAGAGAAATAATACGGAACCAAAAGAGCGACGCATATCAAGCCAGAGCCGAAGAAGACCAAGGGTACAGAAACATAGTACAAAGAAAAAAAAAGCGGCGCAGTTAGGTATTGAAGCGGTTCAATTGATTGAAGAGCGTGCAGTTCTACACGTTTGGCGAGTATGAGATACTCCTCTTGGGTTTGAGAGAAGAGTGGGCGCGCTTGGGCTGAATGTCGAATGAGTGGGAATGATACTGAATAGATGATAGAGAAGTACTGAGGAATTGCTAGTGCGTCATGGGATCTACGAGGTGTTATCTACAGGAGAGGAGCGATTTGAAAAAAAAAAAAGGTAGACACTAGCAATCAAATGCGGTTCAGAGATGATCCCTAGTGACAACCCGTTGTAGATAATATTGATGAAAAGCAAAAACGAAACTGAAAAGACTTGGAAAAGGGTCCGACGAGGACTTGAAAAGCGTGATATACGCGCGGGAGAATCAAGCGACAGAGCCCAGTGAGTGATTCGCCTCCAGCTCTGCGCGATTAGGTGATTGTTTCTTTTTTTTGGTATTTGGCGGGATTAAAGATAACCCTATTTCACAGAAAAAAAAGAGAGGGTATTCCGAGCCAGTACATTGCAGAGGCCATTGGTTTTAACGTCCATAGGCGACCGTACAGCAGGGAAGGTGGTGGTGCAGACAGACAGGTGGGTTACTTCTTGAGGCATATACCAACATGTGGTGCGATGAGATGACTTCAGCAAGGGTATTCTGTACAATGGGTATAAGACAGAAACGGGGAGGGGTAGACCACTTCTCACATCGGATGTTGGGGTATTAGCCTGAACAGTAGTCGAAGTATAGGACTCTTCTGGTTCGTTCCAGGGTGAATAGATATGCTGCAGAAAGGGTGGACTAGAAAGGGCAACAAGGGTCAGTCGGAGAGTTGCAGAGCAAAGCTAACAAGGGCATATACATACGTCGGCCGCTATTATAGCGAAGCCTTCACCAGCGATTGAAAATCTTTATAAACAAAGCACGATCACAGGCAGTTAAAAACAGAAATCCGTAGGATGATCCGGTGCCTAGCTGGTCCTTATGTTGCCTTTTGTCGATGCGAGAGGCGAAGTTGTCGTAGACAAAGTCGAGCCCGTGAAATATCAGGGCGTCGTTGAGGCGGATGCGAGAGAGAACCACGTTAAAGACCGGGGATTGTCTCTCTTCGGGGATCAAGTCGTCGTCGTCGTGGGCGGCGAAGCAAGTGCTGGGCTGAAGGCGTCCGTAGCCTCTCTCGGTCGTCGGATAGCCCGCAAAAGCAGATTCGAGCCGCGGTTGCGCGTATGTAGGGAGATGTCGGCAGCGACGGTGCATGTAGAACGCAGCAGCAGTATGCGATGCACTGGAGGGGCGTGTTCCCCTCCAGTGCCGAAAACCATTGTTGGAAAAGCACGGGAAGGGTGGGTGTTGCTGAAGTTCTGAAAGTAGTGAGAGGTGAGGAAGAAGAGAAGAAAAGAGAGAGCGGCAGGAGAGTGGACTATATATATAATTTTCCATCCTTGTTCAAACAAAGGCGGGCGGCCTTGTTGCTCGTAAAGACGCGTTCTGAAGGTAGTCAACAAGGCTTTTGTCACTTGTTGCAATACAGTCACGTGACTGTCTATTGCTATGGTCCACACAGCGTTATCGCCTATTGGTAGTACTGTGCTCAATTTGTTCTCCCTCGTTGGGTGTCAGCTCTCCTAAACGTTTGGAGCCGCAACTGGAAAGCAGAGATGGTCAACGATAGCTCGCTTGCATTATTTCAGGGTTTTGTGTAGATATCTCCTTCTTCTAAAATGTTTCCAACCGTTCTACATAGCTCAGACCCTACACAAACTCCTCTAGCTCAGCAGGGTTCAGATACAAGGCCGCCCTTGTTCGAACAAGGCACAAATGGTCAACACAAAAGGCCTCGCTGACTCCATCTATCCTCATTTCTCGGCACAACTCAATACTTTCTTACCTCAGCAACCACCTTCCGCGCGTCCCTATTCCCAACAATGGCTGTCGATAAGAAGAAAACACGTTCTTCTCGTGCATCGCAACATGCTGCTGTGTGCCCCAAGCACAATAGACGACCGATTCCGACTCATAGGCACCCGCTTCTCTTGTTGCAAAGCAACTCGATGACTGAGAGAGGCACCGGGTGTCACTTGCTCCGCAACGCGACGAAAACTACGTCTTCGAATCACAATGGAAAGAGCGCATCAACGAATTTCATATCAACAGGGTGCTCCTTCTTAACCGCTCCCCTCCCAGACGCTCATAAACAATGAGCTAAAATGCCGCGCACGATAATGCCGCCTCTCGTGCTGGCAAAAGCAACATCAAGGACCAGCTAGGCAGAACCGCAGGATCTAGTCCGGGTTTCTGTTATTAACTGCCTATGGTCGTGCTCGCTCGAAAAGATCTTCGATCGCTGGTTATCAAGGCTTCGCTGTATAGTAGCCAGCATATGTATAACGGTCCTATGATCCCCCTTTCCTTCTCTCAAGTCTCTCAAGCTTTACTGACTTCCCCTTGTTCATCTAGCTGTCCCCCCGCAGCATATTACATCCTGGAACGAACCAGAAGAGTCCTATACGTCGACTACTGCTCAGGAAGATACGCCAACACTCAAGAGAGAAGTGATCCACCTCTACTGTGTATCTGACATATGCCATTGTACAAGATACCCTCGCTAACGTCATCTCATCGGACTACATGCTGGTTTCTGTTTAAAGAAGTAACGCTACTGTCTGTCTGCACCCCTTCCCTGCTGTACGGTCGTCACTGAATGTCAAATCATTGGCCTTTGGAAAGTACGCTCGGAATACCCTCCATATCCTTCTGTGAGACAGTGTTATCTTTAATCCCGCCGAAAATTATCGAATTGCGCAAGACTGGGGGCGGATCATTATTTCCGGACTCTGTCGCTTGATTCTCGCGTGTGCAATAGCTCGTGTTATTTCAATTTAACACTCCTTTCAGTTTCCTATTACTGGTTCTGTTTTTGGTTTTGTCTTTGTCTTTGCATTTAAAATATATTCGGGGTCATTGTAGATCATTTTGATTGCTGGTGGCTCCCTTCACCTTATTTATTCTGTAGCCGTGTTTGTAGATCGCTGTATAATACTGCAGCATTTAATATACATCACCCCTCGCTCCTATAAAAGTCCATAAATATGCAATCACATTAAATTTAGTGAAGAGCTACACATCACCAGTCTGTTGGTGCATCCTTGTGTAGCTTGCTGCTCTGGATCGCCGTAAAATGTTGATTTATTATGATTCACAGAAGTGGTGTCCTCAGCAGTTCTCAGCTCAAAATGCGACATCAGCAAGTTGACATCGGCGTAACGAATGATCTCTAATGTCGGGATTTATTATTATTATTATTATTTAAGAGTTAAGATTTATTATTATAAGTACCGGTCTAAATTGTATTATTATTTAATATCCAGAAGAAAGTGACCAAAGAAATGACCAAAGCCGCCAAAAGCTGAAGCACTGATTGTGGGACTGGGATTGCTACAAGGCAAACCCTAATTATCTGAGACCATGTTCTCACCTCCCAGCAACTCTCTCTTGTTCAAAAACAGCTCGAACAGCGCGAGGTACCGTCGCATCAATAATATATCGTGCATGATGATTTGATTCAAACAACGAGTCTGGCCTGTATGGATATATTGTTACCGGTTTTACGAATACCAGAGACAGGAAAGGAGAGGCCGGCGGCAAGGAGAATGACTATCTTGCTAGTTTTCCGGTCAACAAGGCTTCGACTTGCACAGCAATCACGGCCTTCTTTCCGTACCTGACGAAGCCACCCTTTGCCCTTCATTTTTAGCTACCATGTGCGGCCTCCTGCCTTGTTTGCTTGCTATGCCTGGTTATAAAATGTACGTCCCACGCCCTTCTTTCCTTTCTTCTTCTCTCCCCTCATACCTTTCCTTTCGATCAGCACCTCGTTCCCAACCTTCGGCTCTCCCAATGACCATGGCTTCTTTTGATCTTTATAGTGATCAAGCTGTCCTCGATCTTCTTTTCTCTTCCACTTTTCTCGATCCTGTGCCGCCCACGGAAAGTCCACCCGCGTACGAACCTGTTCAAGGACGCGAAGTCATAGACCACTCGAACCCCTTGATCCGTTCGCTCGTTCGGCGGATTCCACACACTCCCGGCTCACACAGCACGTTGGAGTCTTTTGAACTCCACCTCCCGCAGGTCTTGAACGATTTTCTGAACCGTCAAAGATCTCTTACGCGAGAGGGCTTTGAACGCATGGTCAACACACCCTATCCCGAACGACTTTTGAGTAAAGAGGGCTGGCGCTTAACTCATGAAAACATGTCCACGGTCACCTTCTCGTCTCTGTTAACAAATATCGACGTTCATTGCCCTTCGTTTGAATTCATCCCTTTCAAGGCAGTGGCAGATGGTCGACTCAGCCTTCGCCAATTGGACTCTGCTTTGACGACCTTGATGCGCGACTACGAGCGTATCAATCATCTCAGTCGCTGCTACTCCATCTATCTCACAATTGACCCCGACCACAGACAGATCAGACAGGAGTGGGTCGACGCCGTTCTCCTACAGCATAGGTTATCTCTGCTTGGAAACACGCTCATGCGCGAAGATTGCGAGCGTTTCTTGGGCAGGCTTGCTAGAGTCGATCAAGTCGGCTACGGCTACAGGTTTCGTGCTCTCGTCACCGCTTCATTGAACAAGTCATACTTTGAAGATGAGCTCGTCTGCCCTGAATATGCTGAGAGCGTTCCGGAACAAGGATACCGAAGAACCCATCCCCACGGCGGCTTCACTGTGTTTTCAGATGCACTAAAGCTCTCCGTATCCCCCAACGATCACAAAAATGTGTACCAGGTGTGCAGAGAGATAATCTGGTTCAAAATGCTAACGCCAAGTCAGCGCGAGATGTTCCAGATGCTGCACGATGAGATGAGGGCCGTTTTCTACATTGTGCATCCAGAGCACGCGCCTCCGTCTTATGACCCGGAACATCAACAGACCCCAGTTGAGAATAACGAACAATTAGGCGCTGTCGGATCTCCTTTGTCTGTGAGCAGTCAGGTTAATCCAGCCAAGCGCGTCGCCGACACGGATGCAGATGCAGACCTGCGCCCAGTGAAACGACGACGATGCTTGGCTGGTAGCGAAGGAGACCACAGACGCTGTCCCTTTAGTTAATTCGATTCTGCGGAAGTTTCAAGTAGTGATCACGGGGATGGTTTTGGAGGATAACATCACATGGACGATCGCAACGAGTGTCATCTCTAGCTCTTGCCGACTCGTCTGATCCTTTTAGTTTCCTGCGCGCTCACTCGTTTATCTGTTTTTTCTGTCTGTGTGTCTGTCCTTCTGTCGGCCTGTCTCAAGCATCTGCTGTCGGCATTGTATTATGTGAACGTTCTTGTTTTTTGTATAGGCATTGTTTTGTGTAATATATTATCATCATTATTATTATTATTGTACCTTGTAGTTGACACTGCTCCAACAATCCCATGAGAACTGCGATTCACTACGTTCTCGAGATCTAGTTGGAAGAGCAGTTGATAGAGATATTGTTTATCAAAAGCAGCAGCAGACACATGGCGCGTCAAAAAGTAGAAGCATGCGACCAGCAGATCGTGGTCAATGCTATGTTCTCGGCTTTGACAATAACTGTTTAGCGCTTCCGGAGAGTTTGGCGCAACTCGACGCGACTACAAGGGATGCCACTGAGAAGTGCACAGCTCGATGCGTTCAGGGTATCTGGTCCGGTGAGCGACCAGGAAACGTTGATCCGACAAGGTTAGAATTGTAGACGTCAAGGTGAGTGCAAGAAGAGGTAAGATAAGCGTGAGGTAGGCACTGGATGAATGTGGGTAGGTAAGCATCCTGATCGTCGGGTAAAAGCAAGGGCCGAGGATAAGACAAGGACACAAAACCTCGACGAACAAGCAGTAGCGGAAGAAAGTGGTTTCAGTCGTCTTAGAGACGTGGCCTATTAGTGGTCTCCATCTTCACTCGTTCTGTGAGATTCACCCAAGAGCTTGCGCCTTTGTCGAATCCTGGAATAGGAAGTGTAGACGTAGGGGAACGGAGGCATGAGAGGATAAAAGACGTAAGCGTGATATTAAGGGCGAGGAGAGGCAGTATCAGCGTCAAAAACAGCGAAGCGTAAGGGCGAAGCACATGAAACAGGAATCGTTGACAAGCTCGGCGCACGTCCGGAGACTGGCTCGGGAGGTTGGCTCTTAGCAGGTAGCAACGATAAACGAGCTAAAGCTAAGGGACTAAGTAGCGTGCTTAGGAGACTCGGTTGAGGAGCGTGACGCTGGACGCGCCTGGCACGTCCAAAAAGACTTGACCAGACAAGAGCTAGGAAGCGTGAGTCGGACGGACCTGGAAGCATGGGAATAGGATCAAGAGTAAGGAGAGGAAAGTGCGCTTGGTAAGCGTAAGGGCACAAACCAGGTTACAATGGCAAAGGCGCGACCAACAGCACGCCACAGAGTAGAGCA